TCCATGTTACGTGTCAGGGCTCCTTGATTTTTGTGAAGATTTCGGCTCGGCTCTGTGGTGAGTGTGTAATTTTGAACGAATGTCCGGTGCACAACATGGCTACGTGGATCCATCATCTAACAAAGGTGCAGCAGATGAGACTGATGAGGTCGATCTTCAGGTGCTGTGCTTGACCGGAGAAGCAGTAACATTAAGCGCCCCTGGCTCCATGCTTGGGTATGACCTGCGCAGATTGGTGTCGGAGAAACTTCCATGCAAGCCAGGCGCAAAGCTCGCCGTGCATCATGTGAATCAACAGCTGACGCTGGATCAAAACTTGGGAGAGCAGGAAATTACTAGAGAATCGGCAGTGCTGTCCTGCACTTACATACCAACAAACGTGTATACAGCATGGCGTTATGTCCGGGGGCTTCCAAATGGTGAGAGACAGTTTGCGCTAGAAGGTGTTACAAAACTTGAAGGAGCAAAGCACGGAGACTATTTACATCATCTGCCCCGCAGCCTTGAAAGATTGGCTTTTGGCTATCACTTCGACCAAAGCCTGGAGCGGGTGACCTTGCCATCGAGTCTTCAAAGCTTGAGTTTTGGCGATTGCTTCAACCAAAGCCTGGAGCGGGTGGCCTTGCCATCGAGTCTTCAAAGCTTGACTTTTGGCAATGGCTTCAACCAAAGCCTGGAGCGGGTGACCTTGCCATCGAGTCTTCAAAACTTGAGTTTTGGCGAAGGCTTCAACCAAAGCCTGGAGCGGGTGGCCTTGCCATCGAGTCTTCAAAGCTTAAGTTTTGGCAAGAAAATCAACCAAAGCCTGGAGCACGTGACCTTGCCATCGAGTCTTCAAAGCTTGAGTTTTGGCGACAAATTCAACCAAAGCCTGGAGCGGGTGACCCTGCCATCGAGTCTTCAAAGCTTAAGTGTTGGCGCTTTCTTAAACCAAAGCCTGGAGCGGGTGACCTTGCCATCGAGTCTTCAAAGCTTGAGTTTTGGCGATAGCTTCAACGAAAGCCTGGAGCGGGCGACCCTGCCGTCGAGTCTTCAAAGCTTAAGTTTTGGCGCTTTCTTCAACAAAAGCCTAGAGCGGGTGACCTTGCCATCGAGTCTTCAAAGCTTGAGTTTCGGCGAGAAATTCAACCAAAGCCTGGAGCGGGTGACCCTGCCATCGACTCTGCAAAGCTTGAGTTTTGGCTATCACTTCGACCAAAGCCTGGAGCGGGTGACCTTGCCATCGAGTCTTCAAAGCTTAAGTTTTGGCGCTTTCGGGAACCAAAGCCTGGAGCGGGTGACCTTGCCATCGAGTCTTCAAAGCTTAAGTTTTGGCGCTTTCTTCAACCAAAGCCTGGAGCGAGTGACCTTGCCATCGAGTCTTCAAAGCTTGAGTTTTGGCGATTGCTTCAACAAAAGCCTGAAGCGGGTGAGCTTGCCATCGAGTCTTCAAAACTTGACTTTTGGCGATGGCTTCAACCAAAGCCTGGAGCGGGTGACCTTGCCATCGAGTCTTCAAAGCTTGAGTTTTGGCGAAGGCTTCAACCAAAGCCTGGAGCGGGTGGCCTTGCCATCGAGTCTTCAAAGCTTAAGTTTTGGCTATCACTTCGACCAAAGCCTGGAGCGGGTGACCTTGCCATCGAGTCTTCAAAGCTTGAGTTTTGGCGATTGTTTCAACGAAAGCCTGGGGCGGGTGGCCTTGCCATCGAGTCTTCAAAGCTTGACTTTTGGCGATGGCTTCAACCAAAGCCTGGAGCAGGTGACCTTGCCATCGAGTCTTCAAAGCTTGAGTTTTGGCGAAGGCTTCAACCAAAGCCTGGAGCGGGTGGCCTTGCCATCGAGTCTTCAAAGCTTAAGTTTTGGCTATCACTTCGACCAAAGCCTGGAGCGGGTGACCTTGCCATCGAGTCTTCAAAACTTGACTTTTGGCGATGGCTTCAACAAAAGCCTGGAGCGGGTGACCTTGCCATCGAGTTTTCAAAGCTTAAGTTTTGGCGCTTTCTTCAGCCAAAGCCAGCTGGAGAGGGTGACCTTGCCATCGAGCCTCCATTGCTTCAGTTGCTTCAGTTCTCTCCATCGGATCTCTGTCAGCTCTGCCATTTGCGTTTGATTTGTCGGAGCTATTCGCGAATATAATCCCCAATGAAGATTCCTGAGCAAAAGAGGCTTGCTTTGCCAGGGATGGGTGAGGGGTCCAACCTCGGGTGCTTGAGGCATCTTGAGGCGACCCGAACCAGAACCAGTTAATTTTGTAGAAGCATTTCCTCCTCTCGTTGATGGTCTTTTTAATGAATCCCCATGGTTCCCCCCAGACTTTGGAAACTTTGCACGCATAATTTTGTAGAAGAGTTGATGTTGGCTCTGATTTGTCGTGGAGCAAAATGTTCTGATACAAGGAAGACAGAAGAAGGAGGGAAGGAGAGAAGGAGGGAAGGAGTGAGCAAGACAAGGAAGGAGGAGTTGCACCTTTGTTAGAATCCACAGGAATGGCCGTAAGAACACTTTGAAACCACATCAATTAAATGAGTGCCTGCAGGCATGACTTAGGCGTGAGTTTCTCGCTTGCCTGTAGAGACCCAACGTAACTCAATGTTGGATAGGAAGTTCTGCTGCCAGCACTTGAGTAGGCATGTGAGTTGATTTGAGACGATGATTTCATCAAGGGGTAGCGGTAGATGATTGCAAGAAATTTATTTTCCCTTTATATTATTTTTGGCCAAAGCCACCCTCCCCGCACAACAACCCTGAATGTGAGTGCAAATTATATGCAGTATTTGTTGCCATACCCCTCACTGGTGCGTGCACATTTTTTTACAACAGACATATTATGGAAATGGATGGAAATGAAGATATCACAGTCATAGTATTAAACTATAACTTGGAGTATTTGCTTAATGAGGTCTAACAGTGGCAATAGTTTGACCAATTCAGGTTGCGTAAAAAAGGTATGTCCCGTAGGTTATTTCCATGCAAACCGATGAGGATGAAGAACCGATAAGATCTACTTATATATGCCCATGAGAGCTGATTTACTTATTTTTCTGTTTGCAAAACAATTTTCGGCAGACGACATCCTATTCGCATCCATTTTCATGTTACTTCACCACTGAAGGTGACCAACCTTTCAAGCCCAGAGTCTTTTTCGAATGAGAAAATATGCAGGAAAGCTTTCTATTTGCTAGGCAGACCATGGTTTCAACCCCGGATTTTCCCAACCAAACCAATGAATTGATTCACCAACTGTTCGTGTCCGCGCCTCTGACGCGACCAGGTACAGCAGTTGCTTCACATGTTGAATCCAGAGATTGTCGAATCCGGCGAACGCCTGCTAGGGGCCGTGCTCAGGAATTTGATGCTCAGAGCAATGGCGAGGTGGGAGATACCCCAGGAGGTTGGGAAGTATGGTAATGGTCATGGTCAATCGGGTTTCGCATGGGAAAACGCTACTTTATGAAGATGTTCTTGCCATGTTTGAAACAATCGAGTCAGGTTACAGTGAACAACTGCATTGGATTCTGGCAGTGCCTTTACCTGAGCGTAGCTTACGGACATGCTTTGGGACTTGGTTCACAGAAGGTTGGAGATGCAGCAGGATGTACTTCAATGATTTCAGAAATCCCAAGTTAAAGCTATGTTTCAGGGATATGGTTATAGATCAATATCATTATATAAATAGATTGCTATAAATTCGTATGAGCCACGTTCAAAACTGCCGGCAATTGATTTTAGTTTTCGATAAAAATTCATGTTTGAAAATTTTAAAGAATTGAATGGCGTCACACGCGCGCAAACTTTTCACAAGCTTCGCGCAAGCTCATGTACGCGCAAGCTTCGCGCAAGCCCGAAATCACGTAGATAATTGAATCATAAATATACATGAATATACAACGAAAAGGTTTACACATCATGATGGGACGAGATGGGTGAGGAGTTCCATTGCTTCCTTGTTGCATTGTTTGATTAGTGTGTCAACCCTCTGTATTGCAAAGGTATAGTCAGTTTATTGCATATTTTGGTATATTATGAAGATCCATAAATCCTGCAGCGATTTTCATCGGATACGGGGTGCCATTGCCAATGGGCCATTGGGCCATCCCCATATTCCTGTGCCGAGGACCCAGTTCCTGGAGAAGGATGGAGAGGCCGCAGACAAGTTCCGACGGAATCACACCCGGAGCGTCACTCGGCTGGATGGCTTCTGCTGTGTACATGGGAACATGAACTCCCAGCCTGGGTCAACGGACCAAACATGGGAAATCCTCCAAACAAGGGCATTTAAGTATGACAATCATCAATAAATTCATATAAATTCCATAAATATCCATAAATGGTGGATTTTCCATTGCCATGTTTGATTGCCAGAGGGTAAGCATACAATCAAGTGAGATGTAAAATCATGATACTAAGGAATGGCCTCAACCCCGTCTTTTGAAGCAGAATGTGCTGCTGTCGAACACGGCCCAGGTGATCGATCGCACCTTCAAAGTCCTTTGTACCAACTGTTCCCGAGAGACCTTCGGAAACCCGGATGAGGAGGTTCCCTAAGCTGCAGCCTGGTGAATCATGTGAATCACCTTTCGTTGGAAGATTTTCCCATCACAACCAGCTAGATATACATATATATATATATATATATATATATGTTTTTCTTCAAATATATTTCCGTGGATTTCCCTTAAATCCAAGCTGGCATCTGGCAATCCAAAAATCCACCATAGTTTTGTTGCTTAACATGCCATTAATTAGGCCATTTTTATTCCAGGAACAAAAGATCACCCTCAGCGAGCAGTGCGTTCAAGTGCTGATTACCGCCTCCTTCCAGCCTCTGCTCCGGCGACATCTTCGGGGGGAGGCTGGAAATGTTGGGGAAATGGTGGTATAATCGGGATATCATGGGAATATAGTATGGGACAGTATTTGATATATATATATATATATGGCAGTGTGTCAAAACCTTGTACCCCTGTAGTTCACATCAAAATAGCTGGGATTTATGGATGTCCATTCCCCTAAAAATGGTATTAATAGGTATTGATCCATAGCCATATGGATTGGGATGTTCCAATCCGAGCCTTGGGGGTCGAAGAATCACCCAGCCATGGTGCTGATAAATATGGATACATGAAACCTCCAAAATGGCTCATGTGTCCCAAGCACTCAAGATATATTATACATGTTTAGCGTGCTTGCAGCATATGGAAAGATAAAAGGACTGATTGATGAATTGTATTTTCTTGATGGCGACAACATTTTGAGCTGTGCAGTCCGCAGTCCCCAGCCGCCATGAGCCCTGCCACGTGAGGTGGCAAAAGATTTCCTGAAGATGCTGAAGGATCATGCACCTTTGTTAAATCACTGGCCTGGGTCAATGTTGTGATTCATAATATTCAATAGAAAAGCCAAATCCTGCAAAACATAGTATATGATAGTATATGCGTCCATCTTTTTGCGGGGTTCCTCTTATGTAATTGTGAGCCCCTCTGAAACGACCGTAGATGAAGCAATCCGTCAAAGTTTGAGCGGGAACTTCCCTGTGTTCCACAGAGGAGCATCATGGATTTGAAGGGAAGTCAGCAGTTCCACATGTTTTCTTCACCAGGGCTCCGCAAGCAGCACATAGGGTTTTTTTCGGTGCAAACTGCTGCAGATGGGCACTGATGTGCCAGACGATGTTGAAATAGATGGAACCAAGATACATCACAGATACATCTCTGCAAACTCAAAGGATTGAGGGCCCCAACTGTCCATTTTTGTCGCAGAAACTGTGGAATGCAATTGCCAAGCTCTGGCTCTGCGACGGTACCCCAATGTGATAGAGTCGCATACAGTCAGCTGCCATACCAACCAGAAATCATTTCACTTTATGGCAATTTCAATGGAGAACATGATCTTCTAAGCCATTATTTTGATTGTTTATTTATTACCTTTCGATTTTAATGGATGGTTTATGATGTTGCCAGTTCATAAGTCCTTTGTATGGTACCTTATGTTTCACAAAAAATACCCAACCGAACCATCAAATATATCCGCAGGTTGATTGGTATTATAATGGGTTCTGCTACCTGTGGATTGTTACAACCCGTTTCATAGGGCCAATTTTTGACCAACCATACCAGCTGGTAGTATAATAACTCCCTATGATGAATTCATCTTATCCCATCATGCTAAGATCCAACTCAATTATCATCATGATGAGTCTCATGAGTCATCCACTTCTAGTTAATCCATGTTTAGTCTATGTTGATATATAATGGCTATGTTCATAGTCCCAGTGAATCTATGGCTATTTCATGGTGCCCTGGCTCCTCATGGCTCATCCGTTTTCATACCGCTGCCGGTAGTACAACCCATAGTTCCCTATAGTTATAGTATGTTATAATGAGTTATAATCCATATAACATCATATAACCCTTTATCTCAAGATATATTAATTTCAATTCTCCCAGGTATTTTCAGATATCTTACTCTCAGCTCTCCTAGCTATTTTCGCCTTTTTTCGCTATTTTCTATGGTCTCCTGGCCCCAGTGGCCGTTGAGGAAACGTTGGACTCGTGGAACTGCCGCGATATGAATCTGGAACTCACCTGGACGGGGCGACACTTGGACCTCCTCCTCTCGTGCCTCAACACGGTGCGCGGTCAGCAGGGCCGGGCGGGGTGGCGTTTGGAGTTGCGTCGTACGTTGCAATTAAGGGAAGATCCCCACGATATCAAGCAATTCGTGGTGAAATATCCCCAATGAGTGGATGATATTTAAGTATATGGACATATCCCCAATTGCATTTTTTTGCCCCCAATGAATGGAATATCGGGATGGTATATGAAATATAAACCACTGATGCTAAGTGGGAGGCACATCCAAGTAGGTACGAAACAATGGTGATGTAATAATGCAGATATAATATGATATAATAAAGACAACTATTGTTTTGTGGTTTGGACAACCCTTGTGCAGATATGTTATGTTACTATAACTGAAATTGTAATCATAGATGCAGATTTAGTTTGTAAACCAAATTCCAGATGCAACTAGATTATATGTAGCGGAGGGTGCTGAAACATGCCCTGAAATTATTGATTGGTAGTTTTCAGTACGGGCATGTAAAAAGTTCAGACCAAAGGGTACTTGGTTGGTCATTTTGGGGTGTTTGTTTGTTTCTTACACTTCATTTTAGTTACAGTACTGTATAGTAACTAGTAAACCGAACCCATGAATTGTGTGCTCTCCTTTTTTTTGTCCTGATGATCATGTTATGTTGTGTCATTGATGGAGCAGACCCTTCCAAAATGTCATGTTCATTTGAACATCATATGAATAACAATGTCAATTGATGGAGCATGTTGTGTGCTTATTTGTTTTATGTCATGTTAGTTGATGAACGGATCATTTTTAAATAATACATTAATGTTAACATTAGTCTGATTACAGTTGTTGACACATTAGTTATTTATCATTCTGATGTTGTTCATTCCAATGTCCATGGTGCATCTAATCTTTTGACATGATCCCAGCACTCGTGGGATGCGCGCCTTGACCGCACCAAAAAAGCAGGGTTTTCTTGGCAGCCGCTCGACTTTTTTGGTCCCCCCAAAAGTGCCTGAAACACCGTTGTGAACTATTTATGACTTATGAAAATATATAAGTGCTATATAGATATAGTACAGCGATATTATATAATTGTAATATTGTGTAGTTGGACCACGGCTTATAGACGGCCGTGGGTTTTGGGGGGTTTTGGGTGGTTTGGGGGGGTTTTGGGGGGGGCTGATAACGTTCTTGGCTGCCCGCCTTACAAGATATTCTCTTGGACTTGCTGCTACGCTATCCACTCTTCTCTTGCACCGTACCCTGGCACACGCTATCAACTTCTTCTTGTAACTTGCAAGACACTCTTGATTTTTGCATTGTTGTTTCTTGGGGGGGTTTTGGGGGGGGCTGATAACGTTCTTGGCTGCCCGCCTTACAAGATATTCTCTTGGACTTGCTGCTACGCTATCCACTCTTCTCTTGCACCGTACCCTGGCACACGTCATCAACTTCTTCTTGTACCTTGCAAGACACTCTTGATGTTTGCATTGTTGTTTCTTGGGGGGGGGTTTGGGGGGGTTTGGGTGGGGGCTGATAACGTTCTTGGCTGGCCGTCTTCTTACTTGCAACATTGGCATGTGTATGTGTTACTGTTATTGTCTAAACGTGTTTTTTTTCAAATGAAGAATGTCCATTCACCCGTCCTGTGATGAGAAAACCGTCATCTGTACTCAGTTCGGTTGCCGGTACTCAGAGTATTGACAGGGCATGGCGTACACTCAAAGCTTGGCTACCCCAAAAATTGAAGACATACGAAAAGAGAAATGGCCATCACAAAATGAGTCAAGGTTTGCATTCAATGATCCAGCAATGGATGTGGCGTCAAACAATTTTGCTGATGTCATGCCTTGTCGATCTGCTGAAGAAATATCATGACTTTCAATGACGGCTTCATCCACTGAAACAAATAGTTTGACTGCATTGCAAAATGACTAAAAAACATATTTTCCCCATCTAATTACGAGATGAAGCCGCTTTAACCAATGGCACGGCTGCGTGAAAGATCCGAAATGGACTGGAATGCTCTGACCACTGTAAATCAGCAGAAAAACAAGTGCTCAGCATTGCTGATGTGCTGAATTCCTCACGGCCGCCTGTGAGCCGTGTACCTAGTTATATAATTGTAGATGTTGGCGGTCTGTTTTTGGTGCCATAGTGGGCACTGTCAGTGGCACAGTGCAAGAGCCACAATTTGAGAAGCCAAGAAATCAAAAAGTCTGACTATGTTTGACCGGAAAAAAACAATGGCTTTTGTAGGGCATTGTTTGACTCATGTAAAGCATTGTTTGACTATGTCTGTCAGCCATTTTTGCAGGGAAAGTAATGACTCATATTATCATATTTGACCCTTTTCCCATGTCCCGTGTTTGATTGCTTGATCAATGCTGAGACATCACTACAGCTGTTTTTTTTGCAGGCCTCACCGATGTGTTTGCGGAATGATATGAAGCAGGCACCGGAGATCTCCGGCAAAGGAGGGAATTGATTAGCCAAGTAGCAGCTTAAATCAGCGAAATATCTGATTTGATGCATAGATAGCACATTTATCACTTGTTATATGTTTATAAGATTCTTCATGACTGTCTAGGCCAGTGTGTTGGGAATGTAGCCAGACAGGACAGAAAGAAAGAACACGGGGTATGACTCACCGATGGTCATTCGTTGCTTCGACCGTCGGACTTCCTTGCAGGTCTGAAACAAGATACCCCAAACCGCATATTCATGGATTTATATTTGGATCTCCCGCGTTAATATCAAAGCCAATATGTTGTTGATTATTAATGATGATTATGTATAACATACATGTTTATACATATATATATATATATACATACATATATTCCTTGTCCAAAATCCATTCACCATAAGGTCCCATGTTTTCCCCATATTTTCGCAACTATCTCACCAGGTCTTTTCGTGAAACTCTGGCAGAGGGTCAAGCACAGCGACAGTCATGGTCCGTCCGTCTGAGGCGTTTCGTGTCTTTCACCGCATTGCCAATGTCATGGCTGGGGTTGGCGACACGCCTGACATGGCAAGTGCCTTGGCGGCTGAACAAATCCCATGGGTGCCAGGGATTGACCTGGCTGGGTGATGCTGGGAGTACAAATCTTAGCCTTCGGAACAGACTACACCTTCCTGTCAACGCTCTGTCAACTTGTAAATTTGACGCTTGAGCCGTATCCAATGTTTTTCGTTTGGTATCTAAATGTATCTAACAGGGTTTCCAATCCAATGTTGTATCGGAATGTATCCAATGTGTTATCCAATTTGTTATCCAATTTCTATCAACTTCAATGTGTAACCTGTAGGAACCGCAGAGGAACGAGCGGCTGAGGAGCCTTGCAGCAATCGGTTGGGTGGTGACTGACAGCGTTGGGAATGTCATCATCCCAAATGACTCATCTTTTTCAGAGGGGCTGAAACCACCAACCAGAATGATGTTGGATGACATCAAGAACTATTCGTTAATAACTAGTGTATCATCACTGGTTAGTGGTGTCAAACATGCTTTCAAGCATGCTTTTCATTTCAAGTTGGGCGACCCCTGTTAGTTTGTATGCCACGGAGGGGTTGAGGACGAAGGTCATGATGGTGGTCGGCATTGATCACAAGTCAAAAAAGTCATGTTTTGCAATGAGACAGCCCAACATGTTCCAACTGATTTTCAAAGTAATACTGTAGATATATATCTGTGGATGAAATATTACTTTCAGGTTTATAGTTTACATCTTGAGATTAATTAAACGAAGCACTTCAGGACAGGCTAGCCCTATATTGAACAAATTACTTACTTCTAGGTTCATGCAAATGCGGCCAAGCTAGATTACTCCCTTTTTACAGTACAGCCTGAGAGTACACCCTAGTAGAAATCACGTGAAATCACCACACATGGCTAAAAAATAGTGAAGTTCTAGAAGAAAATCCCGCGGAATGGCGTTGCAACTAACCCAGGGTGACATGCCATGCCAATGCCTGCAATGGTTTGACAGTCTTTCAATTCAAAAGAAGCTGACTGCAGAAAAGGCCCCCGCAATTACAAATTGCCTATAGTTGCCTGTAATCACATCTAGTTATCGAAATGTTATCGATCTATATATCCAGAACCAACTGATCAATCTAGGGGGGCCCTTTCTGAAAGAATACACATTAGCTATTGAGTGTTGTTCAAAAATGGTGGTATGCCCCAATGTTATCGCTCGGGCCAATTGCTGTGGCCATTTTACCAGGGTGGTTTTCTGTTTGGGCCCACCTCAGATATGCGGGAACTTAGCATTTTTTAACAGATGTTCAGAAGATATTCTGATGATGTTCCCCATGCCATTTTTGTCCTTTGAATTTCCCTGTGTTTGGCTATTTTGAGTGTTTCAACCGCATGTTGTTTTTCCGGTACCATGACTCATTGAGAGGGATGACCCTCACAGATGTGGCCCCACTTCGCCCGGCCAGTTCATCCCATAAGAAAACCATGGGGATATTCCATCATCAAAACTGATGAAACTTGGAGGTATAAGCCATTATCATCCCTATTATTATCTCATTATTTTGATATGTCCAGTTCCAACGTATGATTTTTGTTATATGATATGTGTAGATAATTATCATTTCCATCATTGCTAGCCATATGATACTATCATTATTATCCATAGAGCATTGGATACATTATTATCTTCCCATCATTATTGGAAAATTGTGGTATTATTCTCCCTATTAAAAAAAAAAACAAAAAAATCAGTATCCAATGACTATTAAAAACACCATAAAAGAAAACAACCAGTATCCAATGATTACTAAAACCACCATTTAAAAAAAACGTATCAGTTTATAGTGTTTATTAAAAACATATTACCCAATGATTATTTAAAATAATATCCCTTGGATTCCCATTAAACCACACAAAAAAAACACCCTAGACCGACCTTCCGCGCGCCACGCCATCCCATGGGCACTGCCGTCGGTCTCCTGCGCGCCACGCAGGAGACGGTGATGTGGAACGAAAAACTCATGCGCCAGGAGGAGCGCGGGAACCCCACGCGGGCAACAGATGTGTATATTAATATATTTATATTATATGAAAATTTATTATATTATATTATGCTATTTTATATCATATTATATTATATTATATTTTATTATTTATTATGTTAAATTCTATTCTATTATACTATATTATATTGTATTATATCATATTATAATATATTATGGTATATTATTTTATATTATACTATATTATATTATATTATATTTTATTATTTATTATGTTATATTATAATATATTATACTTTATTATATTATATTATAGTTTATTATTTATTATGTTAAATTATATTATACTATATTAAATTATATTATATCATATTATACTATATTAAGTTTTATTATATTATATTATACTTTATTATATTATATTGTTTATTTATTATGTTATATTATATTATATTATATGTTATTTTATTATTTATTATGTTATATTATATTATATTCTATTATATTATATTGTATTATTTCATATAATAATATATTATGTTATATTATTTTATGTTATACTATATTATATTATTTTATAGTTTATTATTTATTTTGTTAAATTATATTATATTATACTATATTATATTATATTGTATTATAATATTTTAGACTATATAGTTTAATATTATATTTTATTATGTTGTATGATATTACCCTATACTATATTATATTATATTTTTTATATTATATTATATTATATTATATATTATAATATATTTTGTTATATTAAATTAAATTATACTATATTATTTTATATTATACTATATTATATTGTATTTTATTTTAGTATATTATATTATATTATACTATAATATATTTTATTATATTATATTATATACTATGTTATATTATATTCTATTATATTGTAGCATATTATAATCTATTATGTTATATTATATTATATTTTATTTTATTATTTACTATGTTATATTATAATTCACTATATTATATTAGATTATATTATGTTATATTATATTAGATTATATTATGTTATATTATATTTTATTATACTATATTATATTATATTATAATATATATTTTTATATTATATTATATTATATTTTAACATATATATATATATTTATATTATTATATTATAAAATATTATGTTTTTTTTTTTTACTATATTATATTTTATTATATTATAATTTAACATAATATATTATAATGTATTATGTTGTATTATATTATATAATATTTTATTATACTAAATTATATTATATTATAATATATTATGTTATATTATATTATATTATACTATATTATATTACAATATTTTTTTTATTATATTATATTATACTATATTATATTATATGTTTATCATACTATATTATATGATATTTAATTATAATATATTATGTTATATTATATTATATTGTGGTATATTATATCATATTATACTATATTATATTATACTATGGTATATAATATTATATTGTACTATATTATATTATATTATATCATATTTTAGTAAATTTTATTATAAAACATTATGTTATATTATATTAGTTTATACTATATTATTTTATTTTAATATATTTTTTTTATTATATTATAGTATAGTATATTATTTTATATTATATTATTTTATACTCTATTATATTATATTATATTTTATTAAAATATATTATGTTATATTAGATTTTATTATACTATATTATATGATATTATATTATGTTCTCTTAATATATATTATATTATACTATATTATATTATAATATATTATGTTATATTTTATTATATTATACTATGTTATATTATGTTATATTAAAATTTAATATATTATCTATTTATATTTATTTAATATTATACACTGTATCTTTTTGTTTGACCATATTACAGGAGTTGCCACAATTATAGAACGGAATTAGGAGCACAAAAGTACGGTAAAATACCGTACTTTCGTACTCCTCCGGATCCCGATTCCGCGCGGATTCGGATCCTGTTTTATCATTAATTTTTGACTGTTCTATAATCAATTTGTGCTCCTCAAATTTCCATTGAAACCACCGGCAACACGCAGATTGTGTGAGTCTTGGAGGTGACTTACATGTATTTACATCATTTTATGTATCTTTCTGGGACCCCGAGAGAAAGTACATAGAACTCCCATATACGATTTAATAGTAGCATACTATATTATACATGGATAGATTACAACGACCTCACCGTGAAGTCACTGGAATGCTGGATAGGATTGGGGAAACTATCCCCAAATGGCGTCATTTCAGGTTAGTGAATCATTGTCGTTTATGTATTTCTATATGTATATAGATTTACAAGTACATATATTTTACATATTGTGTCCATACATACATACATACATACATACATACATAGAGATAGGTATAGAACCCCAAGTGTAGCTGAGATTGACTGAGGTCTGGCACCTAGCTGCAAAGAGCCCATTTTTGGCAAACCTCCACAAAGAGGCTACTGATCTTGGCTTGTACAAGCTGAAGGATTGGCTCAAGATGACATGCCAAACATTGAACAGTTGAACACCCATAAAAGTTGAGTAGTTATATAGTATAGTTGCTTAAAATGGTCAGCCCATTCGCATGTCCATAGCCATAGCAAGCTCATTGATGTATTCACAAACACGTTTCACGAATTTGCGCGGATTTTATATGTTATGATACTGATACATTTGTGGTTCTCGAAAGATGAACACTCCCAGCATTCTGCTACCCTTCTTTCCAGTAACATTTCGCCGCTCATCATTCTTTCCCAGCCATGGAGGAGACTGAGCCCCTGGCAGGTCTAGGCAGCGATGGCAGCCATGATGTGACCCTTGGCACCCTGACATGTTCGGTCTCTTTGCCAAGTGGACACTGTGAAGATGTCGTGGTTGCGATGAATGGTACGGTTGGTGACCTGAAAATGGCAGTACAACGCTCTTTGGGAAGACCTTTCTTGAGGCTCGCTGCGGCTGATGGACGCATTTTGAATTCAACCGAGTCTCTTCAATCTGCTGGTGTAGAGAATGGAAGCTGCATTGCTGCAATTGCACAGCAGCCAAAGATAGCTGCAACACAGAGTGCCTTTGCTTTGTGGTGCGCGGGGGGTGACAGGATTGTTACATGGGGAAAATCTGACTCTGGTGGTGACAGCACTGCAGTCCAAGATCAACTCAGAAACGTTGAGCAGGTGCATGCCACAAACACTGCTTTTGCTGCAGTCTTGTCCGGTGGAACCGTGGTGACATGGGGAAATCCTTGCTGTGGTGGTAGCAGCACTGCAGTCCAAGATCAACTCAGAGACGTTCAGCAGGTGCAGGCCACAAACTTTGCTTTTGCTGCAATCTTGTCCGATGGAACCGTGGTCACATGGGGACGTTCTGACTGTGGTGGTGACAGCACTATAGTCCAAGATCATCTCAGAAACGTTCAGCAGGTTCATGCTACAAAGAGTGCTTTTGCTGCTATCTTGTCCGATGGAACCGTAGTGACATGGGGACATTCTGCCTCTGGTGGTGACAGCACTGCAGTCCAAGATCAACTCAGAAACGTTCAGCAGGTTCATGCTACAAACGCTGCGTTCGCTGCAATCTTGTCCGATGGAACAGTGGCCACATGGGGACATTCTGACTCTGGTGGTGACAGCTCTGCAGTCCAAGATAAACTCCGAAACGTTCAGCAGGTGCATGCTACACACTCTGCTTTTGCTGCAGTCTTGTCCGGTGGAACCGTGGTGACATGGGGAAATCCTTACTGTGGTGGTAACAGCACTGGAGTCCAAGATCAACTCAGAGACGTTCAGCAGGTGCATGCCACAAACGTTGCTTTTGCTGCAATCTTGTCCGATGGAACCGTGGTCACATGGGGACGTTCTGACTGTGGTGGTGACAGCACTATAGTCCAAGATCAACTCAGAAACGTTGAGCAGGTGCATGCCACAAACACTGCGTTCGCTGCCATTTTGGACAATGGAACCGTGGTGACATGGGGAAATCCTTTTTGTGGTGGTAGCAGCACTGCAGTCCAAGATCAACTCAGAGACGTTCAGCAGGTGCATGCCACAAACTTTGCTTTTGCTGCAATCTTGTCCGATGGAACCGTGGTCACATGGGGACATTCTGACTTGGGTGGTGACAGCTCTGCAGTCCAAGATAAACTCCGAAACGTTCAGCAGGTGCATGCTACACACTCTGCTTTTGCTGCAGTCTTGTCCGATGGAACCGTAGTGACATGGGGACATTCTGCCTCTGGTGGTGACAGCACTGCAGTTCAACAGCAGCTCATTGGCTTGTAGCAAATGGATGCAAATGGTAGGTGACCGCGATGGTTGTGCTGTCCAAAGGCGTGAGCACTTGCGATCAGCATGTGTTGTTATGTTTTGCCATAGACGTAGTGAGATGAACCATCAAATACAGACAAATCAACTGTGTATACTCTAACGAACAACAATCGCCAACTTACATGTATAATATGGGTTAGTATTTTTTTCCGTGGTCCTAGATATGTATTGGTGGAAGGTGGCGCTCTTGCGAAGCATACCCCCGAAGCACACCCCGAAGCATAGCCCCGAAGCATACCCCGAAGCAAACCCCCAAAATGAAGATCATTTTTGAGGGCTTGTTGATGGTTGTTGTTTGGAGATCATGGGTCGCGACACTTGCTTCATGCTGCCTTTAGGCGCCCTTTGCGCCATCCCGCCCTCCATCCCCGCAGTCTGGCTGCCCTATGCAGAAAGTAGGTTGAAGACAGCTTCGGTGCTGACAGGCCGCTGTAGCTTCATGCTGCCTTTAGGCGCCCCTTTGCGCCATCCCGCCCTCCATCCCCACAGTCTGGCTGCCATGTGCAGACAAGTAGGTTGAAGACAGCTTCGGTGCTGACTGGCCGCTGTAGCTTCATTGTGGCAGCCGATACCGTTTGCATCGACCAGCTTCTGGTGCTGACTGGCCGTTGTAGCTCCTGTCTAGACCTGATACGGTGTGCTGAATAGTGCTCCACGAATCATACCCGAATCAAACCCGAATCACACCCGTTTCATACCTCAAACCTTCAACTTCCAGACCCTGGCACATTTTGAACGCGTGAGTAAGATACTTCACATCTCTGCAAACCCCTGAAAATAAGACATCCTTGCCCATACCGCCATGGCACCAAAGCTATGGCTTGAACCAACCACCTGCTGTCAGGAACGAACGTGCTTCCTACAGCCAGCTATGCCTTGAACCAACTATACCTAGCCTTGGGCTTCACCTGTACTTGGGAAAGCCAGACTCTGGCCCTTGGCGGTTGATTTAGACCAGAAAACCATACGTGACCCTCTCTCTCTCTCTCTATATATATATATATGCGTGCAAGGATATACACAGAGATATATCAAAAATTGGAAAGTTTGTTGGAAGCCTCTGAGATATGAAGTAAGTTCCATGTGATGAAGTTCATGCGAAGCAGACCCCGAAGCATACCCCCGAAGCAAACCCCGAAGCAAACCCCGAAGCATACCCCCTAGACAAACCTTCCAGTGGGGATACGGTATTTCCAGACGAACCCATATATATAATATATATATATATATATGTATATATATAATATATATAATATATATATATATATATATAATATATAATATATATATATTTATATATTGTTTTTCCTATATATCTCCTTAGAATACACATATAATGTATGTATTGTTGGATACTGATTAGTGTACGGCCCCCCCAAACAATTTTAGGCTACTCAACAACTCGGCATTTTCCGGGCCCCCCTCCCCTCAACAATTTTTAGGATAGTCAACTTAAGTAAGGATTTCAATTGACATCAATCTATATACTTTCAATTGATTTTCCTTTTAAGTCCAAAACAAATTGCCCCAACAGTTTTTGTGCATAATAGGGCACCATTGAACTATTTACATTATTGAGGATCTGGCTCACTCATGAGGCACCCCCTTGAAAAATTGTTTGGGTGCTGTGCTGTTTTTAAATAAGGGTTTACTAAGGCATCTAATTATTTGGGAAACCTTGCATTTTTAAGGCTTTAACATGGATATGGTGTTCTAAAGTAAATGGACCAGTTTTACCCAAAAAAAATGTATAAAGGTGGATAAAGTTCCTCCTGAAAAAAATGGATCTGAGAAAAAACTTCTCGCAATAGAGGCCCGCCCCCCCATTCACAAGATACTCAATATATTTTTTTGAAATTGTCTCACAATAGAGTCCCAGGACAATCGGTAACCAACACTACGTATATATATATATATATATATTGTACGTGTGATATATTTTTATATGACATATAGAGGCTAATATATACTTATATACTTATATGCATTATATATATAAATATACGTATAGTATGTATAATATATATATATATATTCATTTATATATTTATTTATTTAAGTACAGGGCCATTTTCCAGAAAATGATGCCGTTTTTGACGCCAGCATTGCAGGCCAACCTGTTGGACGACGTGGCGTACGACGATCAGCTCCAGCAGCAGCTGATCTTCTTCTCCTTCAGCGGCATCGAACGGATGGTGCCCATGGCGGGAAACGCGTTGTGGTTGTTGAAACCGCCCGTTATGGATAGAAGCAGGGAACAACAATTCATGTGGGATGATACTGATAATGATATCACCCAGGAATTTCGTAAGTTCGATTTTACAATCATGAATCATATACCATATATCTACCATAAACCCTAGTTAAGCTACAGAATTAAACCAACTTAGCTAAGTAGGAGGCCTCACATGTGGCAAGGGATTTGGATGGATTTGGCGCTTGGATGTCATGGGGTGAATGCTTGGTTTGTTGCATGGGTTGATGGTTTCCATTTTGGTAAACAAACATGGCCATGTAGAAGTCGTTGTTATTCTTGTTTGTTGGGGCTACTAGTCATGTCATATTTCAAAGGTTAGCAATGCGTTGTTGGAGTCTTTGATGGATATGCAAGGGTAGACCCGTGGTGAAGAGTTGGGAACACATTAGAATTAGAATGGGAACACCTCCATCAGCCCATACTCCCATTTGTGGTTATCCCTTTCATGAAAGGACCGAAGGCCTGCTCATTTGTGTTGCGATGTCTCTTGTTGAACTGAGCAGTGGCCAGTTGACATCATCAACCAGCAGAAACCCACAGTAAGGGGTCAACAAAACATCTTTGAATTTGTTGGCATGATAAAACTGGACTTTCTCTACATGTGGGTACAGGTTGTAGCCCAGGTTGTAGCCCACTATTTTTGAACAGAAGGGTACCAGGCTTGTAACCCGTAGCCAGATTTCCTATTGTTTCCCATTATTATTACTATGATATACTTGGTTATTCAGTATGTTTAAGAATGATAAAACATATATAGACAACATGTTCAACATATTTCTGTAGATATTGTTTTTGTCAAAAGAGTTATCCCATGATTTCCCACTATGTTTTTCCATCATCCCATGATTTCTTCCCTTTCACTCCATCACGAAGCGCCACGCCCAAGGTGCACTTCTTGGAAATGCCACCGGAAGACGGCCGTGAGAACTTAGTGGAAGAGACCCCCAGCCCGGGGAACAAGAAGAGCGTTTCTTGGTGCCCGGGCCATGGGTTTCGTTTTTTTTGGGAAACGGTGATGAAATACTATGAACAAAATGTGACTTAATGGGAATATCATGAGACTAATGCTATTTGGTTATTTAGCATATTGATTTGTTTGCTATAGAAGCCATGGCCCATGGCTAGTTCGATGATCAATTTACGATGATCTACCTGCTATAAGGATGTAAATAATCAGAGGCTAATCCCACCATATCCCAGTGATTGGTCAGGTTTAATGGAGAACATATTGCGCTTTCCGAGGGAACATGTGCAGATGGCAGAGATAGATTGAAAGGTGAAGATTTTGGAAGACATGGAGCGTTTGTGGAACTTGAGGACAACATGATTGAATTTTTGATTACTGAGTTCCAGTGTGAATTTTGGGACTATAGTGCATGGGAATTCGAACCAGTTGTCGAATGATTATTTTGAGAAAGATAGAATATGAATATATCATCATTTGCCATATGTATTCACAACTAGCCCATTGTATATATATATATATATAATATATATATATATGCAATTGCTACCCACATCAAGGAGGAAAATTGGGAAAGAAAACACATCGTGTTCATCGCTCGTCTCAAAGTTTTCACTTCAGGATAGGTCCGTGGCCATCGAGCTACAGCAACAAGCCCGAAGCTACTTGGAGGCCTCGGCATGCCTAGGTGGCCTGATGTTCTACCAGTTCCCAACACCATGGTGCTTGTGGATGCTTGTGGTATATATAGTAAACCCCAAAAATGTAGGATAAGGATAATGTAGGTGTTCTTTATCTGTAATTACATATGATATTTTGTTCTGATTTTTGTAGGACTTTAATTTTATATCTTTTGGGAGGTTGCCATACTACCGTCCCAAGTGATTTCTTACACCCAAACAAAAACACACATCGGACATGTCCCAGCCGGGTCCCAGCGGTTGTTGGGGAAAACTGGAAATATACCGGGGATATCATGGGGATTTTTCACATGATATAACCGGATATAGCCAACAATATGATACAAATGCTGAATAGTATGTCCCAAACCTGACAAGCTGTGTTGTGTGACAAGCCGTATTCACCCCGCTTCGCGTGGGGTGGCCGCCCACACCGCAGGTTTATTTCGGTCCGTGAGAGGGGCTAAGGGTGGTTTTCCCCCGTGGGGGCTCCCCAAGCTAAGAATTTTCACTTTCCCCCCCCGTGGGGGCTCCCCAAGCTAGGGAATTTTCACTTTTCCCTGCCGTGGGGGCTCCCCAAGCTAGGGAATTTTCACTTTTCCTCCCCAAGCTAGGGAATTTTCACTTTTCCCCCCCAAGCTAGGGAATTTTCACTTTTCCCCCCGTGGGGGCTTCCCAAGCTAGGGAATTTTCACTTTTCCCCCCCGTGGGGGCTTCCCAAGCTAGGGAATTTTCACTTTTCCCCCCCCGCTTCCCAAGCTAGGGAATTTTCACTTTTCCCCGCCGTGACAGTCCCAAGCTATGGAATTTTCACTTTTCCCTCCCTTGGAGGCTCTCCAAGCTGCGGAATTTCAAATAGCTAGTCCCCCAAATCCCGTGTTCTTTGAATGCGTTTCCATGTTTTTGCAATGGTTTCCTTCAAAGCATGGTACTTTACACTTTTGTCGCCATAAAACCGGTCGAAAACATCATGTTCGACAATGCTTCCAATTCCCTTATCTCCCCAACCGTTGAAAATACCGCTATTTACAGTGTTTTCTTCAATTTTTCCATGTGCCAATGCCGGTAGCCAACTCCAACATATATATAAGAAATCCTTCCAAAACATTGTTTTTGACAGTGTTTTTCCAATGTTTCCAGTCAAACAGACGGTAATTTACACGTTTTTTGCCATAAAGGCAGTAAATCCTTCCAAAACATTGCTTTTGACAGTGTTTTTGTAATGTTTCCAGTCAAGCATACGGTAATTTACACGTTTTTTGCTATAACGTCAGTCCAAAACACTTGTTTTTGCAGTGTTTTCAATGCTCTGGCATCCAAAAACCCTGCAAAATCTTGCTATGTACAATGTTTTTTTCATTTTTGGCCGTTTTTCCATTGCCGGAAAGCTACCAAAATGACCCAAAATTCCATTTCAATACCCTCTTGCGCTCAGACACCCAAAAATCCTCGAAAAATGTCGAAAACACCACCGTATTCTGGTCTCGGTGCGAAACCGTTTTTGGCCCCCCCCCCCAGCTAAAGCTGATACAGCGACTGCTATATTAACAAATGTCATTGAGCATTTAGTGTTGCTGTTTTGCCCCCCAATAAGCACGCCTTCACCGCCAAAGCGGTGTGGGCGGATTTGCAGCCTTTATTGAAGAAATTACATGTATATATTGAAGTTGCAAGGAAACCGTCTATGTCCAAGAGACAGTCCACCTTTTTCTTGAGAATTGACACGGCTCGGGTGACATTGAGTTTCTACTTATTGGAAACGATATTTACGTCTTGATGCTCGTGGTTCAAATGAAAGTCTTAGGTGACAAAACTCCCATGATGATTTATGATGACCTCCATGTTGACCACACCCAATAGATCATGGCTTGTGCGGATTGACTCGCACGTTCACAGACTCTGACCATTTCAGATTCCGCTAATCTTGAATAAAAAAAGAGAAACACAAAAACATGGTTACTTGTAGAGCTGATTTGTTTCCCAACATGGCTGGTTTGGGACTTATCATACATATTTACAAATTGTCCCGACATATTTGCATTCACACCACATTCTTGTTTCTACAAGTACAGTACTATGTATATATATATATACATACACGTAATATAAACATGTTTATATATTATATATATATACATGAATAAATATAGATTATATACATAATCTTTTGAATTGTTGTAGTAATATATGATATATATATATATATGTATCCTTGCTACGGCTGCTCCTTGCCATAGGAGTTGATGGCCGATGTCAAAGGCTCCAATGAGGCACCACCGAACGGATGGTTGAAACCCTATAAATACCCGCTGGGAAACGTTTACATAACTATGGAAAATCACCATCTTCAATAGGTAAATCAACTATCAATGGGCCATTTTCAATAGCTATGTTCAATTACCAGAGGGTAGTGGAATAAACCATCTACCAACTGGTGATTCGGATTTCGCTGGCCCATCCACAGTTTGTCATTGTTTTTTTATGACTTGGTAATGACTTGGATGGGACCATTTTAGGATACCCTCCGCCACGCCGCCGCCCATGATGGCCATAAGGCCCTCAGGCAGCGTAGTGCCAAGTCGGCGGAGCGTAGCTCGGCAATGGCTTGACCATGGTATGGTCAAGATATGTCAAGATGGGTACGTGGTGGTTCATCCCACGTAGTAAGTACATAGGTTATAACCCTGGTTATAAATGGGATAAGTAGGGTTAATTCACTTAGAACTGGGGTTATAACCTACTTGCAACGTGGGATGAGCCACCAAGTATCATTGGATACATGATTAATATCCCATTATATATATATCAAAATGGTGGTATAACAATGATGTACTGGGATGCTTGATGGGATGATATAAATCAATTACTGTAATCGGTATTGATCATGTGGATCATCACAGTATTTGGTTTCAATTTGCAAACTTGTAAATCACATGTTTTTTTGGTTTGGTAAATATTCGAACTACATGTTAAAAGACCAGAGCGTAACACAAGGTGGTGCCCCCCAGTGATGTTTGTTGGTTTATAAGCGAGTGCAAATCCCATAAATCCCACTGCTGAAATATCTACCAACTTAGATCAATATGGGGACCACCTTACATAGTGAAACCATATTTAACCACCAAATGGAGGTTTTAACCAATTAAAATATGATTGCTTATTTGCAACGACCAAAATTGGTGCTGTCACCAGCTAAGATAGGTTTTAAGCAATGACATGGAGGTCAATCTTGTTGTTTTTAATTATTGGTGGCCACCAAAAAGGATGTGTTTAACAAACCCAAAAGGGGAGATCATTTGTACCTGGCAGTTCAAAGATTTTCAAAGTGACCATGTCTTGGTCATGAAATGACCTCAAACCATCGGAGAAAATCACCTCAATCACCTCGCAGCCACGGATCGTAACTGGAAATGCCCCAACTATGTGGAGGATTTTACAGCTAGCCACGTCTGATTGGAGGGTAACTGGTTAGTGACAAAGGTCGTTTTTTTTTTGTTTTTTGTCCCCATTGGTGCGTCAAAATGATCATCATTGGTGTTGTGAAACACATCTGATGACTGTAACTGATCTCTTGTTGATCAGTTTTCCGATGAACATGGACAATAATCAAGCCTTTCTACCTACTCATCAATTATAGTCATAAAATTCATAAACGTAGACAATCACACAGAAACCTGGGTGGATATGTTTTTTATTTGGGGGGAGGGGCGGTTTTTGCCAAATCATTTCGAGGTCTGAGCGAAGATCTGTGGCAAAATCCCGATGATAAGGGAAGAACAACTTCCTTTTGTTGGTGAAATCCTTGGTTGTGTAACAAAACTTAAGAGCAATATCTTAAAATATCTTAAATGGCTTAAATAACTTAGATTATAAACATCTTTAAACATCTTAAACATATTTTAAGACCTTCTTACCACCTTAAAGCCCACAAACGTTGGTAAAATCCTCTGTTCTTCTTGCATTTCTTGGCTTCGCCGTTTCAGGTGAGGATCCAGAGACGGTGGAAATGGGCGACGTGGAAATCGTCCACCCAGGGGCTGTGGGGGAGCAGCTGCTGCGCGAGGTGTGGGTCACGTGGGTCGGGATGGGGGAGATCATGGGTCATGGGGATTCTTTTTGATTGCTGGAGTATTGTTTGATCTGTTTGTGTGGGATGAATTTGCTGGAATTTGTGTTTTTCCATGTTTGGATATATGTGGGATGAATTATGATATGACTGTCTGCTAGAAGAACTATCAACCAGTATATCTGGATGAAATTGAGCATGATCTCATGTCGTGACGTCACTGGAATGATGGGAATTGGATTCCGGGAATCATCTCCAGATGGTGGTATGAGAACAGCTGTTTTCAAGTTAGCGAATTATTGCAGTTCAGCCAGATAATTGATGGATTAAATTATATGTGGGATATATATATACTTATATATAATTACGGTTGGTTCCACCATTGCATCCCAGGGTTGATCATCATGTTTCCCATTTTTTATCACCAGCCATAACCATTCACGTTTGCTGATGTTTAACATCATTCCTTTTTCCATAGCAGCTTTTCTTATCACATATGAAGTCTCTAGGATGGAGGTGTTTTAAAATGGTGTTCATATGCTTCAGATATGATTTGTCTTTGGGATTTGTTTCTGGCCTGGTTTTGCAGTTATGATTTTGATATGGTTTCAGTTATGATGTTGACATGGGTCAACATTGTGATTTTGATGGGCAAAAATGTGAAATTCTTGAAAACATCTCAGAATCATATCAGACAGAATCACATCAAAATCGCCTCAGACTCAACATCGCATCAAAACCATATCAAAACCGTATCAAAATCATATCAAAACAATTCAAAATTCAAACCATAAAAAAAAAACTCAAAATTGACCCAAAACCTGTCCCTGGGCTGTTTCTATTTCCTTTGTTGAAGCCAACCCATTGGGAACCCTGAAAAAGGTGCTCCGTTCCCAAACCATGTCAAAACCATATCAACATCATTTCCAAAGGTCCACAACCATATCTAAACCAGAACCCAAACCATATCAAAAAACATATCAATACCATGTAGAAATCACAACCCCAGATTCGAAGCGTATGAAATGTATATCTGAATATCACATCAACACCATATTAAACTCATCAAAGCAATAATTCTTGACTTTGGCTTCCTAGATTCCTAGAGGGATTTACGTCATAGAGTTTTTCGATTTTTTAGTATGGGAGTATGGACAATATTGGCAATATTGGATCCATCAAGTTGTTGGAAATACCACTGTATACTTTCTGATTGGGTATAATGGGAATATTCCATGTGAACATAATGCAGATATTATTCATGGATCTATATAAATATATGAAATATGAACATATAGTGGTCAACAAGATATGATGGATGGACTGCACATACGCTTGACCTTTAGACACATTTATACAGCCTGTTGGGGACCAGATGTGTTTACCACGTTTTTTTTTATTCACGTGAATCCCACTAAAAGTAGAACTTTTGCTGTGGTATCATCCAACTACCAAGTATAACATGGGATAGATGGCCTGTGGAATACTGCATGTTTTAGCCAGCAACTAGTTGGGGAAACGTGGGATATCATTGGGATATAGGAAGTAAAACCAATGTTTAAAAACAATGAACATCATGGAACATATATTAGGTACTGTATCATGCGATATGATGGGATATATTTTCTTTAAATAAATGATAGAATATTCAATATCAATATCATAAATATGTGACTATAGATTGATATTGCACATATTTCTGTGGGATAAAGAATCCCCAAACTTAGAGTCGCTGACAGGCTGACGCCGAATCTGACAACCACTAAAGATTGATTGTTTCTCCAACAGAATACTTGGGGATGGATATCCATTTGGAGGATCTCCTGTATGGCAAAGGCCATTGGGCTCCCTGGTATACATTGAGAGACTCTTCTAAAATTCAACATGCTTTCTGTCCATTTCAAGTTTTACCCTCTGGTAAACTAACATAGCTATGGAAAATCACTATTTTTCATGGGAAAACTCACTATTTCAATGACCGTTTTCAATAGCAAACTGTAAACGTTTACCAGAGGGTAAGCGCCACATTTCATAGTCATATCATGAGATCCAATGCAGCATTTTTCTGGTCGCCTGGAGGTCTTCGCTCTGGAAGGCAGCAGCGGTTGCACGACGGTGATGAACCGACTAAGCCGGTTACGCCAGGTATTTCCATACCCTGATTGATTGGTTCTTTTTGGGAGATTATGGAAATACTTAGACCAACTAAGTGGGAATGTACTTGAAATAGAATAAATAAAAACATATCTATATATATTATATATAAATATATATATATATATATATAATGGGAAATTGGCTCACTCAGGATTTAGCCATGAACAAATACCCTGGTTGATTGTTTGTTGGGAGTCATACTGCCAAAGTGACTGGGGATTATGAACTCACCCAGTGTAGGATGTTGTAGGGAACCGGTTTCCAACCAACTAGTAGAATGAGATAGGATCGGGGTATTCTAATGGCTTACCGATCTTACCGGCTTTATTGGGGACCATGAACTATAGTGCATTTTCTTCAAGGATGTGTTTTTCTCCGCAAGGCAAGTCCGTGTATATATATATATATACTGGTTAGTAGGTTCACTGTGGTGGAAATATCATGAAATATCTATAGTTTTAGTTCATGAAGTTTTTGAAACCAGCTTATTACTCAGGGGTACCACCTTGTAGCCCTTAAATAGAACCTGAATTTGCGATTAAGCAAATTCCCATTGGGAAATCCACTATTTCGGGAATCTACAGGGAATATATATATATATATATACATGTTTTGGTTCTTTAAGAAATCCTTAAAGAAATCCAAGAGAATTAAAAGGTAAAATGCCAAACATGACCAGTATAGTGGCTTCCATTTGAAGTGCAGAGGATATGGCGATGTGTCAGCTATTTGGGAAGTGGAAACCAGGCTACCGAGCTTTCATCCGTCCATGTTTTCCTGGTGACGATTCCCATGTTGGTTGGATACAATATGTAAATGCTCGTCTAACAGATACACATAAATCCTGGTATAATCGTGTTCCACCTTCATTCATTCATGTGGGTTTATATATGCATAGTTGTCTCTTGGATGGTGCTGCTTGTTGCATTTGTTAAATTGATCCTTTTCGCCCCGAGCCCATTCCCAATTTGTCTTTGTTTTCATTTGTTCTTCGTATTGATGGCATGTTGTGCTCCCGTTCCAGATACCTAAATTGTTGGTTAGTCCATGCCCGTTTCCATATGTTCTTCTCCATTATTTATCCCATGTGTTCTTCATGCTAGCAATGATTGTTTGTTGAGTGTTTGAACCATACCATGTCCAGCTGATAAGTATGATACTTCGGCATGTTGCCATATTTTTACTGTTATAAATTAATCATTCCCCTACCATCGATCCCTCTCATTTTTGTTGGTACTTTTTGTCCACAGTCTAGTCAAAACCCTTCCACATTGGTTGATATAGGGCCCAAGAGTGCATCAAAAAAACACCAGGATTCAATCGTTTTAACCTCAACAGCCTCAACATGTTGTAATTATAGAAATTGATCTTTTTGCCCTAGATTTAATTTGGATATGTGGATCCATACGTGACATTCCTCCGTCAGGTTGGCAGTCCCTCTCGGCGCCTGAGGAAGATGTTGAGCTGCCAGAGGTCAGTGGTGGTTACTGGAAGCCATGGAAAAACACAAAAAAACAGTGACCAACAACGACATGTATAATACAACTGGTTCCCCATAGTTAGGTTGGTTTATAAGAATTTATAAGCAGTTTCACTATATGGTCTGTGCATGTCTGTGCTAGACATATATATATATATATATATATGTATATATATATATAGCTGGTTGTCATGGGGTTTATATAAACGAACTTATGTGCCATGCTCAGAAAGTTGGATTATATAGCCACTACTTGGGGGATGGTCCGAGCACGATGACCACCATCAGAAACGTGAGTTAAAATGGCTAGACCATAAGGATTCCCAATAATGCTGGTTTTATGACCAAGAAACCCTGGCCAGATGTGGTCTTAACCAGCAAACGAAACGCGTATTGACATGGGAGAAGCTCCGAGCTCGCACTGGGAACAGGGCTCCTTCTGTCTACATTTCAAGTGGAATTTCCACCGGAAAAGTGTTGCTGTTGATTTTAGAGTATTTGTATGTATTTGGTTTGGGGGATCCTGCAATCATGTTTTTACTCTTCCAACTCTCGTTGTTGTTTTGATTGCTTTAATTTGGGGTATCCCCCCATCTTCAGAATCTTCAGACATACCCAAACATCATAGTGTTCATTGTTATTAAAAAAACATTTGTTTATCCATTAAGTTGGCTTATAAGGATAATTCCATAGTTATTTATATATTCATCATTTAGTCATATACGTATCCAACTTTCCAACCTTGGCTGTGGGCACATTGTATTCACATGGCTACTGAGATCGCCTTCCTGAGCAGGACCCTTCTGTGGAAATGCAACAGGACGAGGCTGGGCCGAAGAGTTTTCAAGGTGTTCAAGTGGTCATAAAAAATGGAACAAAAACAATGGCTGGTTGGTGGTTTGGAACATTTTTTTTTCGTATATTGGGAATAATCATCCCAACTGACTTTCATATTTTTCAGAGGGTTTTAAACCACCAACCAGATGAAAAAAAATGAAAAAACAGACTACAGCAATGCAGTTATTGTAGCTTGTGGATGACAACTGTGTTTTCAAAAATCTCCGCAGGAAAGGCAGGCCAAAGCGCTGAGAAAGCCTCCATTTGAACAAAACCAATTAGAGTTTTGAATCAAGGAGTTTCGAACACATCCGCAAAACATCCCACAATGTGTTCCTAAATTAAGGATAACTTTTGTTTGGGGGTCAGGAAACATCTCCCAATCTAATGATCTTACCACGGTAACGATGATGGCATTGCAGTGATATTTAATATGAACGAATGTTTATCGGATTTAATCCCAAATTCGTTTGGTGATGAAGCCATTTCGAGTGATCCAAATCTCAAAGTTTTGGTTTGTTAGTGGTATAGAAGGATCATGTTAGGATTCACTATTGTCTTATTATCTTATTATATATTATTATATATTATTATATCTTATTACAGTATATCTTATTATATATTATTATGTCTTGTTTGATCATGTTAGGTTTCATCTATGTTCACTTGATATAACATGTTAAGTTCATCATTATGTTAGGTTTCAACATGTTTCATTAAATTATATGGTTATAGGTTATATGTTATATCATATTAGGTTCATCATTAAGTTCATCATTTGTTTTTTCATCATTCACTTTTTTAATGTTTAATGTTTAGTGGTGAGGATCCTGTTTCTCGTTGATCGCTTGATGGTGTCAGATCCTCAGGTGGGCCAGATGACCCGACAGACGGGGGGCATTGCCAACCTTTTGGAGGCCCGGGGCAGAGGCCGAGCCGAACTCATCAATTACAACGGGGATATAATGATATTATGTAATAAGTACGGAATATTCATGGAATATGAACGGTGAACTCTCGTAATTCAGCTAGAATCCAAGTTCTTTTATTGTTTTGATGTCAATGTTTACACCATGGTGGCTTACCAAGCCCACAAGTTGTTCGGGAAACAACCATTCTACTAGGCTTGATGTGATTTCTACAGGTGCACCAGGCTCCTTAAATGACTCTAATATTTGCCTACGAAGCCCCAGTTGTGTCAACCATGGTTGTTGATATTCCGATGCAGTAATATATTCTGGAACTGTTGATGTGTATTGATACGCATACAGTCTGCTGCATACATGGCATTGTTATTCGAACAATGACCAAATGGATGCTGACGTTAGTGGGGGTTATAATATACTCACTGGTTTCGTGGGGGTGGTTGGAATCCAATATCGATTTAAATGAGAATGACACAATTATCAACCAGTAGAGTGATTCGAAAGAGGGGCTTTGAGCGCTTCTCAATACAATGTAATAATATATTATGACAGTTAGAATGGTTGTGATGGTGTTGGATGTGTTGGAAGCTAGTGGATATCATGATGCTTCCAATCCAACCAGGAGATTATGATATATCTACAGTTCGAATGGGGTTCCCTTCAAGCCTCGGTGAGATGTACTTTGTACACAAGCAACAATGGAACTGTACATTCACCAGCCCAAAAGTGGAGATCCGACAGGTCTTTGCGATTTGTTTCATGGCTATTCTGTATCATCAACAGAAGCATTGTTTATAGTTTATATTTTATCATATCGATATCACATATACAAACACATCCCATATCCATCAAATCATCAAAGTATGGTATATCCGCTTTCACGCACCTCCTATTGTTCTATATTTCCTGGGTGGCCCCCCTGGCACCAGTGTTGTCCTCACATGAACAAGAACTTGGTAGCTTGGGGTCTCCCATTGCTTAAGCAACCCAAGAATTCTCATGTTGATGGTTCAATCACCATTCATCGCCAATTGTTCATGGCTAAAATCCACGGGTTTTTTGAGACACCCTCTGGCCCACCACAGGACCTGTTTCAGCGCGGGCAGCAGAGCTTTTGGACGCCAGAGGTGTGCCCTGTGGCGCTGCCGCACGTGTCCAAGCGACTGCAAAGGACGGGTTTCGGAAGTGCGGTGGAGCTGGGTTTGTCTGAAACACTTGGGAAAAAGAAGGCCAACTTCGGCCAAATCCAGTGGTTTACCATGATTTTCCGAAAGTGGCAAGATTGGGGTAGCCTGAGGGTTGGATAAGACTCCGAAGGGTTGAACTGAGGGTTCTTAGCTACCTATTGGTTGGATCATACCATATTTGATTATGTTTGAGGCGAGGTATTATATATATATATATATGTAATCTCCCTGGCATGTTCTCCTCACTTGAGAAAGACAATAAACTTTGACAAAACAAGTGATTAGCGTAGAAGGCTGTGGATCTTGTTGGCTGAGTTGTGCTGCAATTCCAGTGGCTGAGCACATCTTGGTGACTCAGTTGGAGGGGGAGGCCTACAAAAAAATTAGCCAGGCAAAATATCCAAAAATATCCAAAAGCTCAACGGCGCTTTTGGGAAAAACTGGCTCATTGATTTTCATTGATATTCATTGAATACCCCAAACAATTCCCACTCAGGTCATTTTTTGGGGGTATTTCATTGATATTTATTGATCACACAGGATGGCTGGCCCAGCTGAGCATTGCACCATCTTCACAGCGGAAGGAAAATTGATGACAGCTCTGATAGCAGCTCCAGCACTGAACCGGAATTATATAAAGGATATTAAAGGTGGTACTCGTTTCGAAAGGTGGTACTCGTTTCAGTGATTGTGGCGAGCTCAAATTCTTGTACAGTCCTGCAGCTGCACTTCATCGGTGACAAACCCAGGTTGTATCAATGGTTTCAAATCTTGATACATGATGTAGGAGGGTGTGAGATTTAAAGGCAACGATGGAGGCATTGAAGCCCCATATTTTTCCATGATAATCCATCAGCCTGTATAGTTTACCCCATTAGGCCCATATTGTTGCAACCCCCCCAAAAAAAGGATGGTTTAATCCCCATCAACCAGGTGATACGCATTTTTTTGATGTTTTTTGAAGATGGAACGGAAGAAAGGCTGCGAAAAACGCAGGTTTTGCCCTCGCAGATTTCACCGATGCATCCACCCAGGGGGCCCTGGTACTCTGCAGGACAAACAGCTTCTTTATCCCAGGCTGCCGGTCCTTCTCGTGTGATGTTCCCGCGTGTTCCGGGCACGCTGGAATGACGCTTATTTTTAGGGGAATCATCATGAATTATCCCAAAAAAAATCGGCAAATGATCTTATTTCAGGGTAGTGAACCATTCCTATTATATAATATTATATAACATATAAATTATATAAATTATATAATATTTTTTAACCGCTATTTATCCAGATACATAACCAAATTGAAGCTGCGGTTTCATTTGTTCACATGATTTCTTGGGATTCAACACTGATATGCACCTGGTATCATGGGTGGTTTAGATGGACATGCTCAGGAAGTTTTTCTGCATGTGGATGATACAACTACGATTTCTGTGAAGTTGTTTCATTTGAATCAACCGGGAGGGACACGAAATCACTTTTGGATGTCAAGCTACTCCTTCCTCATGGAACAAAATCCTCCAAGCACCCCTTGCACCCCCATCATCATCCCATTATTTCCCCATGTTAAAATTCTGGTGATTTAACAGTTTGCTATTGAAGCCATAGCCCATGAGAAATAGTTGATTTACCTATTCAAAATGGTGATTTTCTATATATATATATATATATTATATATATATATGATCTGGTATGATATGATCTGATATGATACGATATGTTCTATATTAAAGATGGTGATTTTCTATATGTTTGCCAGAGGGTAACCCATTGTTTTTTCCCGCAGGCAGCTCCCTGGTGCAGTCCTCCTTCTTCGTCAGCGCGCTGCTGCGGACCATCTTCGCGGCCTTGACGTTGCCCTCCACGGAGTCAGTCAGCAGCCTGGTGAACCTCCGCAGCTCGGCAGGGCGGGATGGTGGGACGGGGGATGTCCTGTCCATGGCATTTTAGGTATGTTACATTGATTTTTTAGATATCACATGATATCACCTTAGGTGCGAAAACGGTGCTTTTCGCTTGAAACCTCACTTCAAAAATGATTCTGAGGCTTCCAGGCTTATATCTCCAGAAAATTGTTAAAATTGAGGCAACATTTGCAAACACCATGCAGAGACAAGGGCTTGGCCGCAGTGCAGATTATTTTTCAAAAGTTTGGAGTTGCACATTTATATTTTTATAATCCAAGTTGATCCGTACCATCTTTGCACTTTTTTTGCAAGACACCAAGCCAGCAGATAGCAATGTTTGTTCTGTCGAAGCATGCTGGTTGTGAACACATTTTTGCTGGTGTATTTGTGGCTTCGGCTCTAAAAAACAAGTGATTTGTGTATATTTGTGTATCAGTCTTGTAATTTGTGGATTTTCCAGGTGGGAGGTTTGATGGGGGATCCAATCTCACTGAAGCTGAGCTGGTCCGTATCTCACCGCAATACCATCCTTCAACGACCTGGGAAAATCATGGAACATATCTGGGAATGCCATAGTCATCAACTTTCATCCCTTTGCCATGCATTTGTTTCTCAAATCATTGGCATAGATAGCGGCATATCCATCACCACAAAGGTGTGGTCATGATTAACCATCATTAACCATCATTAACCGAGGTCTGCGCAATCCCATCATGCAGCTGCGTTTGATCACCCTTTTGGAGTTCCTTGCTGAGTCCAGACTTTCGGGGGAGTGGCTGAAAGACTCCAGGATCTCAATTTCCAGTGGCACCATTCAAATTTGGTTGCTTCCAATGGTTTGAACTCCCCATATTTTTGCTGAAACCTTCGAAAACACATTTTTGTAAACTAACAAAAACATCTCTTTTCGTTTCAATACACAGTCAATTTCCAAACAAACAGACTTTTGTTGTATATATTCTGGTTGTTGGTTTCAAACATGTTTTATTTTCCCCAATAGCTGGGATGATGATCCAATCTGACTAGATCATATTTTTCAGGGGGGTAGGTATACCACCAACTAGTATACCATCTGGTTATTTAACAGTTCGCCATGGAAAATCACCATTTTTCATAGGTAAACCATCTATTTCTATGGGCCATCAAAAAACCATGGCTATATTTGTAAAAAAAACAAACAGTTTTTCTCCATTTATAGATGAGTTTACCTATTAAAAATGGGTGGATTTCTACCATAACTCATGGATACCTATGGTATAAAAATGGAGATTTACCTATTAAAAATGGTGATTTTACCTATTAAAAATGGAGATTTATACCTAGGCATCAAGTCTCCATGAGTTCCCTGCGTCTCAGGAAATCGGGGAGCTACTTGGACTGTCACCTCGCAGCCAAGTTGACGCTCGCTCCAGACCTGGATGCCATGGTAGATATGCGGCGTTGTGGTTTCGTGATGGTTGATGATAATGTATGTACTGTATACACATACACATAATTATATATATATATAATATTATGTACATATTATGCATATATATATATACACACGTTATATATATATTATATATATTATATATATATATATTATATAATATATATATATATACATTATATATATTATATATATATATATTATATATATAATATATATATATATATATTATATATATTATATATATATACAGTAGATACAATAATACCTGTGAGAAGGACATATGTATTTGAGGCCATCAACTTTGGTGATTCATTCCAAGTTATCCTTACGTAGTATTTTTTCTGTATACAGTGCAAACTATGTTCATGTATACACATCCACAGCATAGGTTTATATATATAATTATATATGTAGAGAGAGACGCGCACGTATAGCTGAGATTACTTGGGATATTGCATACCTGAAAGTGTGCCATGTGATATTTACTGGTTGGTAGAACAGCCAGCAGGAATTAAGGCTCAGCAACCATGGGGCAACTGTAGCTCGAAAAAAGATATGAAATATGAACTACATTGAGCTAAATCGCTACTATCAGTGCGACCCCAAAGACACAAGGGGTAGGTGAGTGGTGATGAACTGGGGAAGTATGCCTGTGACAGTGATGTTTGGTGTTTTAGGCCCCAGTCACTAACCATGTACCTCGCGGCATGTCCCCATTGTTCATTTGAATTTAGAGGAACATCCCATTCCTAGCCAGTTGAACAATGTACCGCCCATGACTAAATACCACGAACAAAACGTAAATGTTAATCCCTTTCCTTTTTGTGTGTTTTGTTTCCAGTATAGTTGAGATGCTAATCCTTAATTGACAAATGTGGGCTGAAACCACCACCACTTATCTTCAAATGGAGCATCAGACGCTTCTCAGCTCTTGAATCTACGGTACATACAAATCGTGTAATTATGTGTATATATATATATATGTGTGTCGGTATGTGTGTGTGTGACATGTACATGTGTACAGTATGTGTTTGTGTATTGTGTGCGTGTTATATGTATTGTGTATATTGTGTGCTATGTGCATTCAGTGTAGACCGTGTAGAGTGTGTTTACTTGTATTGTGTGTATTGCGTGTAGTATGTGTATTCTGTTTATTCTGTGTTTTACATTGTGTCATGTTGTGCATATATATATATGTATATATATATATACACATATGTATATGCATAAATGTGTATATATATATATATGCATATGTATATGCATGATGTAAATATGCATATGCATATATATATATATGTATCTATCCGTGCATCCTTCAAAAGAAAGGTGAGATTGAACCAGGCAGATGGTCACATGAGAATGCTCCTAGTTTATGATTTGGGACAGACATATTTCTACGCCAGAGAGACGACATGGTCCCCACTGTCACCCATGAAACATGGGGACCAACTGCTTGCGGATCCTTGCGGGACGTCTTGGCCCTCACGTTTTTTTCGTATGTAAATTTGAATCCCTCTAGCTGCCACACCCAGTTTTGTCAAACCTCCGCACATACTGATCGGGTTGATTCTGGGAGTCCGCAAGTTTGTGGAAGATCAGGTTTGTACAAGCTGAAGGATTGGCTCAAGTTGAAACCCATGCCAAGCATTGAGCAAACCAAAAAAATGATTAGTTGGTGGCTACAGATGGCCCATTCGCATGTCCATAGCCATAGCCACCTGATTGATGTTTCAACCGTGCGATGCACCACATGATCTTTTTCGGACATGATGCGCTTCCGTACGGAAAGACGAACACTTCCAGCATTTTGCTATACCCTTTCTTTCTTCCAGCAATATTTCGCCGCTCATCATTCTTTCCCAGCCATGGAACCTGGAACTAAAAGGTGCAAGGTCACAATCCAGGAGACTGAGCTCCTGGCAGGCCTAGGCAGCGATGGCAGCCATCATGTGACCCCTGCCACGCTCACATGCTCGGTCTCTTTGCCAAGTGGACACTGTGAAGATGTCGTGGTTGCAATGAATGGTACTGTTGGTGACCTGAAAATGGCAGCACAACGCTCTTTGGGAAGACCTTTCTTGAGGCTCGCTGCGGCTGATGGGCGTATTTTGAATCCAACAGAATCTCTTCAATCTGCTGGTGTAGAGAATGGAAGCTGCATTGCTGCCATTGCACAGCAGCCAAAGATAGCTGCAACACAGAGTGCCTTTGCTTTGTGGTGCGCGGGGGGTGACAGGATTGTTGCATGGGGAAAATCTGACTCTGGTGGTAACAGCACTGCAGTCCAAGATCAACTCAGAGACGTTCAGCAGGTGCATGCCACAAACTTTGCTTTTGCTGCCATTCTGGCCAATGGAACCGTAGTGACATGGGGACGTTCTGACTGTGGTGGTGACAGCACTGCAGTCCAAGATCAACTCAGAAACGTTCAGCAGGTTCATGCTACGAAGAGTGCTTTTGCTGCTATCTTGTCCGATGGAACCGTGGTGACATGGGGACATCCTTACTATGGTGGTGACAGCACTGCAGTGCAAGATCAACTCAGAGACGTTCAGCAGGTTCATGCTACAAACACAGCGTTCGCTGCAATCTTGTCCAATGGAACCGTGGTGACATGGGGAGCTTCTGTCTATGGTGGTGACAGCACTGCAGTCCAAGATCAACTCAGAAACGTTCAGCAGGTTCATGCTACGAACGGTGCTTTTGCTGCAATCTTGTCCAATGGAACCGTGGTGACATGGGGATACTCTTGCGGCGGTGGGAACAGCACTGCAGTCCAAGATCAACTCAGAAACGTTCAGCAGGTTCATGCTACGAACGGTGCTTTTGCTGCAATCTTGTCCAATGGAACCGTGGTGACATGGGGATACTCTTGCGGCGGTGGGAACAGCAACTTGTCGTCAGCAAGAACCGTGGTGACAAACGTTCAGCACATGCAGTTTGCCTACGAGCGGTGCTTTTGCTGCAATCTTGTCCAATGGAACCGTGGTGACATGGGGAGCTTCTGTCTATGGTGGTGACAGCATTGCAGTCCAAGATCAACTCACAAACGTTCAGCAGGTTCATGCTACGAACGGTGCTTTTGCTGCAATCTTGTCCAATGGAACCGTGGTGACATGGGGATACTCTTGCGGCGGTGGGGACAGCACTGCAGTCCAAGATCAAGTCAGAAACGTTCAGCAGGTTCATGCTACGAACAGTGCTTTTGCTGCAATCTTGTCCAATGGAACCGTGGTGACATGGGGATACTCTTGCGGCGGTGGGAACAGCACTGCAGTCCAAGATCAACTCAGAAACGTTCAGCAGGTTCATGCTACGAGCGGTGCTTTTGCTGCAATCTTGTCCGATGGAACCGTGGTGACATGGGGAGATCCTGACTGCGGTGGTGACAGCACTGCAGTCCAAGATCAACTCAGAAACGTTCAGCAGGTTCATGCTACGAACGGTGCTTTTGCTGCAATCTTGTCCAATGGAACCGTGGTGACATGGGGATACTCTTGCGGCGGTGGGGACAGCACTGCAGTCCAAGATCAAGTCAGAAACGTTCAGCAGGTTCATGCTACGAACAGTGCTTTTGCTGCAATCTTGTCCAATGGAACCGTGGTGACATGGGGAGCTTCTGTCTATGGTGGTGACAGCATTGCAGTCCAAGATCAACTCACAAACGTTCAGCAGGTTCATGCTACGAACGGTGCTTTTGCTGCAATCTTGTCCAATGGAACCGTGGTGACATGGGGATACTCTTGCGGCGGTGGGGACAGCACTGCAGTCCAAGATCAAGTCAGAAACGTTCAGCAGGTTCATGCTACGAACAGTGCTTTTGCTGCAATCTTGTCCAATGGAACCGTGGTGACATGGGGATACTCTTGCGGCGGTGGGAACAGCACTGCAGTCCAAGATCAACTCAGAAACGTTCAGCAGGTTCATGCTACGAGCGGTGCTTTTGCTGCAATCTTGTCCGATGGAACCGTGGTGACATGGGGAGATCCTGACTGCGGTGGTGACAGCACTGCAGTCCAAGAGCAGCTTATTGGTTTGTAGCAAAAGTTAGGCGGATGCAATGTTTGTGCTGTCAAAAGACGTGAACACTTTTAATCAGTATCGGTTGTTTTGTCGTTTTATCTAGTGAGATCTAGTGAGATAAATGATAAATCATTACATGCATATCGACTAACTGGGGATACTCTAAACAACGACAATGGCGTACGCGTTTTTTTCAAAAAATATTTAACTAGTAATAGTAATATGTTAAACATGTTACATATTATGATACATTATGTGTGTATATATATAATATATGTATATAATATGTATGTGTAGTAATATTATATAATATAATATACATTATCCCGCATGTCACCCAAGTACTCTTCATGCTTTGATGCCGATCCAGGATGCGTATCCTGTCCATGGTCTTGCGCCTACATCCGGACGAGTCCAGCCTCAGACCGGAGGCCATGAAAAACTGACTATTGACTCTTGGATAAGTAGAAAATATATGAGGTATACCATTGTTACCTATAAGATAAGTAGAAAATATATTGACTGTTGGAGAAGTAGAAAATATAAGATCATGTCTGTGTCAAAAAATCCACTTGGTAGTGTTCACATTACTATATTTTGATGATCTGTTGGATGATTTGAGGGTACACCTTGGGAAATCCGACTCGAGTCTTGGATTTTTGTTTGCTCATCTAAGATGACGATAGTCTTTAAACATCTTTAAACAATTAGCCTTATCATTGTTCGTTACATGACGTTTTTGTTCGCCAAAACTGGGTATTATCATGTATTATCCATATACATCAGTGGTGTTGCTGCTTGAATCCACCAATTTCAACAATTTTTATCTAGGTGTCCTGTGCAATCCCTTTACGTAAATCAATCCATTGAAAATCAAATAAGGTGTTGGTATGAGTTGGCAAATCCTCATTTTTGAAGCATAGAAATCCCGATGGTTACCGGTAAACGTTAACATAACTATGGAAAGATCCACCATTTTCAATGGGTAAATCCACTATTTCTATAGCCATTTTCCATAGCTATGTTAAATTACCAGAGGGTATATCCCATTAAATCCCATTAAATCCCATTAAATCCCATTAAATCCCATTAAATCCCATTAAACCACCATAATTACCCAATTACATGGGGCCAGGATTCATTTAACAATGACGTGCCAGGAGAACGAGTGGCAGCACTGCATCGGCCTAGTCATTGCAGCAGGGTTGGCCGGGCGAGTTACTGGGTGTTGATTGGGTAGCCCAGTCAGAAAACCGGTTTCAATAAAATGAATGGATGGTTAAGCGCCTATATTTGGATGGTTAGATCAACCCCCTATATATATATATATATATATTAGATATATTAGATATATATATATATATATTAGATATATATATATGATTGGTGGTTTGGAACATGGTTTATGTTTCCACATATTAGGAAAAATAATCCCAACTGACGAACTCATATTTTTCAGAGGGGATAGGTCAACCACCAACCAGATGATCTGATGACTTGGATCAATGGTTTGGTTTTCTTGGGAGAAACCGGATGGCGCCCCATGATCTTCATGGGAACATCGATGCTTTCCGTTGAAGATTTTCCCAACAAAAAAACAATCCATTGATTGGATGATCTCTTTTCTGTACCACTATTTTAGGAATTGGAAAATGGATGAAATAGTACTATAATAGTTTCCCATGAGAAAATGGAAATGGAGATCAACAAATAGAGATCATCATTTTTCTATAGTTCCATGAGCATGGAAATCCATGGAGATCAATTGAAATAGGAAAGCCATGGACATGGAATGACATGGAAACCTCCTGATAATCTGATATGGATCAATACCGATACCTTTTTTTAGGGCAATGAAGACACCATGTTTTGCCAGCTATGTTGATGTCATCCAGGGGTACAGGCTGTTTCACCCACACCCATATATAACTCCCTAAAAACGTGAATGACCACCGTTGCATATGTTTACCATAGAATTGAAAACATAGTCTAGAAATTTAGAACAAGTTTATACATGTTATACAAACTCCATAGATTTTTCCCAACCATAGTCAGATCATAGTTTCTTGACCATCCATGGCTCCTAAACTTTGGCTCCAAAAAACACCCGAGGTTTTGCAGCTCTTGGAGCCTTTGTTGAAGCATTTGGGCCGAGGCCCGGACTGTGCTGGCGGCATTGATGTTGCTGTTGTTCTTCTTGCTGTAGATACAATTAGATACACTCAAAATTGTTTCGCTGAAGAATGTTGTATGTTTTTTGGGCTTATAATTTTTATATATGAACATCTCAATAAATCTACTGTATTTTGTTTGTTGTTGATGCACTCAAAATCAAATCTTTCTGCGAATAAACTCGATCCTGCCGACACAAATGAGGCTTTGAGCTGGAATATTCGCACCTCGTCCTTGCCCGCGAAGCCGCCAGAAAGCCAAGCTGCGAAAGCCGGTAGTTGAGATGAGTGGCTGACATGCTTGAAGCTCCCATGTTTCAATCATTTTTTGCAGGTCACTTCATTCTTGGAAATAGATACAGAACTAATAGTTGTGAACTTATTTGGAATGATGATCCGATAATTCCTAGACTGCTTCAGGGGTTTTTCACCACCAGACAGGTTGTGTTTTGGGTCCAGCTGCATATCGCCTGTGTGACGCCAAGGTGCGGTTGGTTCAAACCATCACATCTACTGCCACTTGGTTTCGACGGTGCCATGGGAGGATCATGTGGCCCGGGTGCCTCCTGCGGATGATGCATGCAATGTGGCCGCTGCAGCCAAGAAGTTGTTTTATCAATCCATTTGATGTCTGAGTATAATAATCTATAGATATCATAGTAGTAATAAATAATAATCAAGTATTTATAATCTATAGTATATAATCTGAGTATAATAATCAAGAATAAATAATTAATATCCACCATAAAGATCCATTAAACAAAATGTAACCCTACAGTTATATAAACCATCAAATTACTCAAACGCCGCACCTGCTAAGCGAGGTGAGTCGCATTCATTTCTCACAGACCCTGGAGCTTCAGAAACATGCCCTCGAGGCGGGTGGCAAAGCAGCTGGGAATTGGTGGGTTGTACTAGTGTATGAATAACCGGCAAAATTAGCCGAAGACTAAAGTAGTAGGGAGTGGACTTGGGATGTTCAAATTTGTGTGAAAACCTTCAACCCACTTGCCGATGCCTATTTTTACACATAACATGGAAGTACAAACCTTCACATCCGATAGGGGACAACCCACTTTGGACATGTCCATTGCGAGTAGTACGTATTTTGTCCGCCACTCATATATATATATACACACATATAGATATTTGCTTGAGGTAACCAGCACCCAACCAAAAACTCTGAAAAGAAGGGGGAGGGGATATGATTTACCATGCTTTAGCTAAGAGCCTCGTCTGAAAAGCAACATGGAAGTGGGAAGACCATTTGTCAAAGCACAAACATCTAGAAAGGGCTGTACTTGTATGCTTGTTGCCTCGTGGATCTGTCTTGTTTGGGTCAATACTTTTTATTCTAGGCGTTATTCAACCGTCTGCGTGCATGAACACACTTTTACTTGTTTGCTGTTTGGCACTAATCGGGAAATGTCAAAGTCAAAGGACTCCTGCAAAGTATATGTTGACCGCGTTTTTCTCCAAACTCAGGTGATGGTCTTGGACCTCATCCCCATGCCGACGATGAAGGCTGGGCTATTCCCCACTAGGTTCTCGGTCTGGGGGTCTGGGTACTGCCAATTCGAGGGGTTTGCAGTTTGCCTACTTCGCTACTAGATGAGCAACTGACAGTATAGAGGTAAAACTATTCCAGAACAAAATTTGTGTATATATATATTATACTGACCAGTATTATCACTTAAACAATGGTTTTATATCATTATCAATAGTTGTTCTTTCATATGTTTAATTTAGCTAAGGTAAAAAAAACAAATAAACACAACTTTCAAGTAACAAAAAAAAACATGGTGTACATTAGTTACGGCTGATTCACTGCGTGGGCATGAAAATGATGAGATTAGTCTGTGAAAAAGGGACGGGTATCCAGATATTTCCCGGCGTGATTTAAGGGATCACCTTATGGATTTTTAAAATGTATAACTTGTTGTTGTTTTCAAACATGTTTTATTATCCATAATATATGGGATAATCCTTCCATTGACTAATATTTTTCAAGTTGGTTAAAACCACCAACCAGTAAACTATCTTTGTCAGAAACCATCATGGAGAAAACAATCGGTGATCTTGGTAACATTATGATGGTATCACGATGGTTTTGTGTTTTTTCTCGTTTAGCCCAGTGACGCTGGTGAGCCGTGAACGCCGTGGCAAGGTCATTGTGATGATTTTGCTCTACGACATGCAGGCGATGACGTGGCTTTTGCACTGCCAGACTTGGATGGGACGAGTTACAGGACCTCTAAATCGGGTGGTAAAACAAAATTAATTACATGATTTGCTGTAACACATAGCACCAAGAACGGATAGTCGACGTGATAACAACAACTTGACACAGTCATACAATAGATTGAGCAATATTTATCACAATAGGTAGTTTTATTTGTTGAGCAATATTATCAAATATATCACAAAATTTATCACAATAGTTTAGGATCGCATTATTTCATGTTACTTTTCTGGGTCCATGAGTCCGGGCCTGGGATCTGTTTTGTCCGTCTAGGTGGCCGCCAATGTTCAGGGCAGCAAGGATGCGGCCTGTCGCAATCTCCGGTGGAGCCTCGACTGGAAATTCGATCATCTTGGGGTCTTGGGGGATGAATGGATTTCTCAGAGCTTTGCATCTACCCTCTGGTCATGTAACAGTTTGCCATGGAAAATCCCTTATATGTGAAGGTTTTAATGGGAAAATCATCTATAAATGGGCCATGGTTTCCATGGCTATGTTAAATAACCAGAGGGACCAGAGGGTAATGGGATCCATAACTTGGAATCCATTGCTCTGCCCAGTGAAGCGGACAAAAAATTGAGCATTTTTCGCCATGCACTGAGTGCCTGTGTGTTTCTGTATTCCGCCCCTTTCGATGAAATGACCCAGCTGTAAGTTGATCGAACTAAAGTGACCATAAATCCGGCCTACTCAAAAAGCAACAGCAACCTATCCTTTGGGGGATAATACACATATATAATATGAGCAAATCACATCAAGATCCCATGAGATCCCCATTACTCTTGGTGATTAAATCCCCTTATGTTTGATGTTCTTATGTGCATCAGCATCATATCTGTATAGTACTATCATGCGACAATCTCCCCGACATGTTCAAAGGCTCTCGCCTTGGAGCAGCTGGAGGGGTTGCCATCTCCCTGCTAAGTCCTAAGTGTTTGTTGATGTTCCATGCCCGAAAGGAGGCACGGGTGTCTGAAACTGTGATATACCCCAGCAGGGCGCTATGTTAATGAGAAAATCATGACCAGGGGGATTTAGAGGTACCATATCAGACAAAACCCATGGTTACTGAGCGGTGACCCCAAGCTCAGTTGTATGGCAAGACATGATGTTTGCAGTTGTTGTTTGCCTGTCTTCACCATGAAGTACTGTGTATAACACTGTATTAATACTGTGATACAAAATGATACAAATTTAAAATCACAGAATATACGTGATCCGATATCCATGTATTGAACGGTTGCCAACATTTACCCCAAAAATAACCCAGTGATGTAGGTATTCATATACTATCCCCGTGGAGCACGTTTACATCTCCATATAATAATATCCCACAGTATCTATTATGTATATATATATATATCAGAATATCCCACACACTATATATATATATACATACAGAAACAAATAAACAAATAAACAAATAAACGAATAAATGAATATACCTATGTAAACTAAAAAAGCATTAAATATATATATGTAAATAAGCAATATGTCAAACAATATATATATATACGTTATACTATGTGTATATACAATTTTCTACCAGCATCTCCGTGCTATCCAACGGCATCCCATTGCGGCATACCGAGGCAGGAGCTGCATGGCCTCTGCTCCGAGACCTTATCGCAGCTGATGCACCTGGCGCCGAGCATCCGCTACGAGGATGGGTGACGTCACAGTTGGCAACGGTGGTACAACATGGTACAACATAGAAACAGAATTCAAATATATTTTAATACATATTCATACAACATTGTAGGATATTTATTTGTTTATTAAATATTTTAAATATATATATAATTATATGTTATATAATTATATTATATATATATAAATTTTAAATGTGTGTGTGTGTTCAGGAACCAGACACGCCGGAACAGTGTTTTCCGGCCATCAGGGCCGGAAGTGTTTGCCCAAAGTTCCCTTCATCTGCAGTGAGTAGTTTCAAAGAGTCATCGACCCGGATTGGGAGGCTATTCACGGTCTAGTGTATTCGCACATGGATCCTTTGACAAAGTCTTTGGATGCCTGAAAGCCAAGTGTTGGAACTAGAGTCTAGAGGGTGCAAACATGTGCAAACCTCAAATTTTCAGATTCTTAGCAGTTCACTTATACCATCATTTGGATGGCTTAAGGAATTTTCAGAGGATTTGCAACAACCCTCATAGTTGATGGAATGGACAAAAAACATGGTTTACTTGTGTTCACTGATGTTTATTGCAAAATGTCGCCTAAAATCTAAAAAAATAAGTAAACATCATCCCCATAGGAATAACCGTTTATTGCTGGTATTTCGAGTTTTGACTGTAGTTTTCCCATATGTTTCCCATATTTTACCAATGACATTAGGCCATGAAATCAGCGATGTTTCAGCTTTTTTTTGGAGGCTGTGGAGTTGATGAATCGCCACAAGGTCTTAGGACACAAGCAGGTGGGACAGCCGGACGTCAGGTGACGGGACTCGACAACAAAAATAATTAATGAGATATGGGGGGTTCCCTACATGGTACCCCAAAATGAATGGTTTATAATGGAAAGTCCTACTAAGATTTATGATTTTATGGGATACCCCTGTTGATATTAGTGGATCTAATCTAAAGGGACTTGTCTAAAGACCCTATCTAAAGATAAGACGCAAGGTACATATTAATCCATAAGGTATACATTTTATATCCTAATGTCTTATTGCCATAAGGTATATATTCATGGATATACTTGTACCCTTATCTAAAGGGACTTATAGGGATTTATAGGTATATACTGCAATTGTGATCTTATGTGAAATAAAATGGAACAGGCCATTTGGTGTCATCAAACGTTAATAATGAGTAATAATGATTTATTGTGATTATAATGATTAATACTGGTTCTTAACCCCAGTGTTCAAAATCACTGTTGGTTCATGATTACCCTCTGGTAACCAAACATGGCAATGAACATTCCCACCATTTATAGTTGATGTGCCGTTTTTTTCGCCTCCCTTTATAGGGGATGTTCAATTGCTATGTAGGGTATGTTTTTGGATGATATATATATATAATCACTATTTGTGGATAAACAATTGCTGTGTATCATGGATGTTTGTAGGGATTCTCACTGAGAATCGTGGCCACGGCCAGTTGCACACCTCCTTCATCTCCGATCTGTTGGATCGTTCGGAGATGCACCGCTTGGTCCGCGCCTTCGATTTGCTCCCTGGGCTGAGGAAGAGCTGGGTTGGTCATGATTTGGATGAACCAGAGATTTTTTTGGGAAACCCAGAGATATGTTTGAAAATGAATTATCTTTGATGTGTAAAGTGGATGAATTGATTGATTTTGTAGATATGTAAAGTGGATGAATTATGATTTTTCAGGTCATCAGAACCAGAGTTTTTTGGGGAAATCACTAGAAGATGATCATGTTTGGATTGGTCAAGAGTCAAGACCCATTCATCCATGGATCCATGAATCGAATCATTATTCAGAAGTCCATCCAATTTATCCATCACATACCTTTGATTGACTGAATATATTATAAAATGCTATAAAGATATGAATATTTTAGTTATGTATATATATATGTAATATATATATATATATGTATCAACTATCCCAAGGTCCCAACATAGTCATTGATTATGACAATGCTGGCATTGTGTCCAGAATTGGCTTCGGAGCATGTCCGATTCGAGGCTTTTGCCGGAGCTCGAACACTACCAACCCAACGAGAGGGCGGCCTGGTTGGGGTTTAACGGACTCTTTGGACCGGTAAGAAACGCCCGTTGACTTTGTTCAATTGAACATGATATATGATATATATATATATATATGCAATATAAAATGTATGTTCATGTATACACTGTATGTCTATTTCTGTAAATTTATGATAATTTTGGTATACATAGATTAGACGATGATCAACCATCATTTTCTTTGCTGCACCGAAGTTCAGACAAACCCAGCTATAGATGATTCGCCTCAATGTAAAACTGAATCCGTAGGTGAACTATATACATTGGGAATGAGTTTTGAAAATAAAGAGGACCAAGGTAAAATTGAAAATGGTAAATTACCTTAGTACCTTAGTTCATCTCAGTATTTTGGACATCTCCAATTGTTCCTTTAGTATCCTAGTTCTATATTTCATTCTGTTCAAAATTGCATTTATTTTTCCTTCTACCCTTCTGTAATCAAACGTGGAAATGGGAGTCCCCTATGAATGGAGGTTTTTAGCTGGAAAAAACATCGAACCAAATGACGGATTTTCCAGCTAGCCATGTTTGACTACCGGATAATTTGTAAAACGCTGGTTTTGGACAAGGACGCGTTGCTGGGAGTCAGCAGGATCCAGGATAGCTTTTGGAATCCCAAAGAACAACTGACAGCATGATATACCTGAGATACATCGAGATACCATCAATGACCGTAAAACCCATAAAGTATTTCTTGCACAAGAAACACCGTGACACGTGCAATCTTTCTGGATTGTACTTCGAGGGAACATTCCAAGGAATAGCCAAATCGGATCAGGGAATCCAAATCCAATGTACAATATTTACATATATGTATAATATATATATATATAGAAACATATAGAAACATATATACAATATCAATCAATGAACTAAATTGCCATGGTCATCATCATCATCATCATCATCATCATCATCAGCAGCAGCAGCAGCAGCTACCAGCACCAGCGGACTCCCGCTGAACGCGTTGAGGTCTTACAACTTGCCTGGGCCGAAATGCCCGAGGTGCGCGTGGAAAAGACAGTTTTTCGACCCGAATTGTGGCTAAGTTTCTTTCAAAATGGGGTGTACCCCTTTGTCATCAAACATGGAGAGCTGGAAGATGGTTCAATGCGGAAATCATCCACAAATGGCGGATTGCGCATTGCCATGTTTGATTACCAGAGTGTATAAGTGTGGCCCAAGGCTGGCAAGCACACGAATAGTGAAGATATATGCAACAAGAATCGGACATAATTGTTCATATCACACATCATAAAATATGGAAATATTGATTATAAGCAAGCAAGGATTGCACTTGGGTTGTCTAATGCATCCTTCCGATGACCAGGCTTTTGTGTTTCGATTGGTAGACCAGGGTGTGTCTGGAAATGGCGTACATACCCCCAATTTCTAGCTGTGTGTAGGAAATTGTTGATACACCATTGAATTTAGGTAATTACCCATTTTCCAACAATATAAACCAACAAATTGTGGAAAAAAATGTGTGATTACCCGGATGTTTAATTACATTTATATAATTACCCTATATTGCTCCTCCATTTTCCAGATACCATCCGGTTTGCTCAAACATTGTTTTTTCGGGAGAATCCTCAATTTTCTTCGGTGATATTGCAGCACTTCCATCTAGTTCGGGGATTTCCCAGTCAGCAATATTTGCTTAGAGGAACATAATCCAGGTATTTCATTAATATCCCATTAAGATACCATTTATATCCCTATTAAGAAAAAAAACATGTTACCACCATGACCCCGTTCATACGCCGTTGCCGAAAACTTATCATTCCCAAAGGTTTCCCACCCAGTTGCCTTTCTATCTGACAGGAAGGTGCCAAGAGTTTCTTCTCCATGGCTATGGGCTTGGTGAGGACAGGCTCTAGACGGTGAGTTTTCGGTACATGATAGCCGTTTTTCCGTGGGAATCGATGTTTAAACTCCTTAAACTGCTGGGCTTTAGAATAGGGACATTACTCTATATCCAAAAAACAATAGTGAATGGGGATAATAGACCACTGTAGTAGTGCAGGAGTTTTTTTTGTCAGAGATGCGCACAAAACATTGTAAAGGGATAGCCATATCCATTGGCATCCAACTCGCTCGCTCTCTTTTCTCTCTCTCTCTCTCTCTGTCGTTTTTGTGGCAAATTTCCTTTGAACAATGGCATACGTTGGAGGGGTTGTTTAGCGATAACCTTAGCAATAACTTAGCGATAACCATTTCTTGCACTCGGTTCCCTGGCCAAGCCATAGAGCCATGTCCATAACTTTAGAAAGAAATGAAAGGACATGAATGCAACATGAAACGAACATGCATGCAAATGAAAGGAATATGAAAGGACATGAATGCACGTTGGAATCAAAATGAAAGGAGTACATGAAATGAAAAAGAATGGAAATGAACACAAATGAAAGGAACATGAAAGGATAATGAAAGGAAATTACTGCAAAATGAAGGAAAATGCATACAAATGAATGCAACATGAAAGGAACATGAAGTGTTGCCGAAGCACCTGAAACCAACAAAACAACTCCTCGATCCATTTCCGAGCTTCTTTAGGAATGGATTTTGGCTTCATGTTGGATCTCGAATATGCTGATTCCCACAAAACCCTGGAAAGCGATAGTGCCCCCCCCAAAAGCGATAACCACAGCAGTAGCAACTACTCAGATGCAAAGGATTTTGACGGGAGCTCATATGATAATATATAGTATGATAATATCCATTTTCCTCGCCAAACATGGTATTTGGGGTGGCCCCCGGTTGGGGAGCCTGGCCAGAGTTGGACATGTCCATAGCGCAGATGATTTGGGATTTGGGATGATTACTCACACAGCCAAGTTCCATAAAGCCATGGCAAGGGATGCTACTATCACTGGATTGGTTTAAGGGAAAAATTACAGGAAACCCATGGGTTTTTACCATCAAATTGGTTGGGCTTTCCTGTAAATTTTCCCATCATCCAATTCTATGATACTAGCATGCGGTTGAGCAGTGGACAAAACTCTCGTAATTCTACTACTGGTGCAGGTTCTACTACTGGTGCTATGTGATTTAGAAGTGTTGATCAGATCTGTTCCTCAATAGAAACCACGAAAAAACAAACCAGTAGAACCAATCTGCAAGTCACTGGATGGTGGTTGTTATGTTTATGTTCTATCCCTACAACATGAGATACTCGCCCCTGATTGACTGACTATGTAACACGTTTTTGAATGAGCTGAAACCACCTGCCATGATGACTGTGGATTGTTTATGCCTATACAACAAAAATAATCAACAAACAATCAACAATCATATTATATCATACAATGTAATTACCCCCATTTGTGTAAGTTGAAACCACCAACCACCATGTTAACCTTGGATGGCTACTTTAGCACATTAATCTTTTCTGCAAGTGGGGCTATGTACTAACCGGCTGATAAAATCACCTTTTTTATTGGCTCCCAACCACCATTGTTGATGGTAAAATGACAAGTTTTCATGCTGAAATCACATGTTCCTAATGTTAACTCGACAGTTTCTTTGCTTAAATCATATGTTCTGATGGTTCAATCCACATGTTGCTGGCTAAGTCACCTTTTGAAGAAGTGATCTGAGCATTTTTTGCTGGTGAAACCCACATTTTGTCATAGTTTGATCCACATCTTTGCTCGGCTTTGGGCCATCGCTGGTGCTTCGTGGAGGACGGGTGGCGCGCGGCTGGTGGCCCTGACGACGCATCGCTTGATCATCCTGGGACAGTCGCGACATGGAGCGGCGCCTGGGCGATGGGGTAAAACAATCATCAACCACCTATTTGGGAATCCAAAAGTAGTTAAATGGATGGTTATATAGTAGTTATACAACTAAGTATATGGTTATACAAATAACTATATAGTTATACTATACAACGAATAGTTATACAACTAACTTTATAGTTATACAACTAACTATATAGTTATACAACTAACTATATAGTTGTACAACTAACTATAATTATATATCCATCCATATATAACTATTGTTAACTATAGATGGTTATATAATGATATCATGCTTATTGCCCATTTGGGATAATGATTATTTTAACTATATATCCATAATCCATTGTTTAAGAAAAGGATAATATCTAGTTATCATCAAACCACCTATTTAGATATATGGTTATCATTAATTTCCCACTTGGCAACCATACCACCTATTTCATATATGTTTGGTGAAATTGGGAAAGGTTTGAAAAGTTATATATATATATAGAGTCTATGGATATCATTATTATGATATGGCATATCATTTAGTTTAATAATATAGTATCAATATGTGATCAATTGTATATATGTGGTTTAATATCATATATAGGTATATCATGATTTACACTGATCTAAATAGTAATATATATATATGATTAAATATCGGCATATCATATATCATACTATAATTGATTCTACAAATATATATATATATATATATATGTATATATATATACGTCATGAACCACTGGGGTTGACATGTCATCAATATTCGAATTGGGATTAACCATAAACCATTGGATATATAACCATCAACCAATGAAATTAAATCCACTTGGTATTTGGAGATATCACTGATTTGTTTTTCGGGAATGTGATCGCCAACCATTGGTGACTTACTTGTATGATCTACTGGGAAGATTGAGGGATATACTGTATATATATATATATGAACCAACCAAAACTATTTGGCTGTGTCTGAACATAGGGGATACCCACAGGTAGCCTTGAAATATGGCCTATCCTATTTCGACAAACCCAAAATGGAGGTGTCACTGCGGAAAAACTGTGTTTTTTTTATCTTCTGGGGAAACAGTGGGGAGAACCAACAAAACTGTGGATTTCACCACAAAATGAAGGTTTAGGCAACAACCAAATTGAAATAAGAAAAACCAACAAACAACATGAGGATAACCATTTGAGTGCAGTGGGATCGTACGAACATCTACTGGGAATATTCCCCGCAGGAAACACTCATGAGGACTTCAACAGCTGCACCTGCGCTTCCGAGGCAAAAAGGCCTTGCGGTCTTTGTCCTCCGGAGAGTTTCTGTCCTATTGGTCCAGAGATTTTCAAGTCCTATTCCTACGCAGTGCCTGTGGCAAAATTTTGTGAGGCAAAAAAAAATGCGTGGGAACTGGAAGCAATTCTACATGTTTTTGTGGTTTCCATTTGGGTGTGTCTAAACTTAGGGCAATGTGAACACTTATACATAATCCATTGGAACAAAGAGTACCATTTTCAGAGAAACTCATTTGTTGATGCTTCTTATTCGCTGCGGATAATATACTCAGTTGCCAAAAATACCCGACATGCTATACCCACTGTATACGGAATCATAGAATCCACACTGTCCCCATTGCATCCCCAAAAATATGGAATATATAAATATAGCTATTAGAATAAACGCCATCAACTAAAGACATCCACGTCTCCACTATTCGGTCCACTAGTTTCAAGTCCCCATACTTTTTCCCAAGATATATACGAAACATCTTCCCATGATGCGCTCTCAGAATTGCATGAAGGGAACAGTTACAGGAATTGTGAATTGTGGCTTAAAAACGCTGGTTTCAATTTCAACTGTAGGTTTTCCCCACAAAACCAATCCATTGAATACATGAAGCATATGGTTTTGGTTAGTATCCCCAGTTTCAATTTGTGGGTTGATGTTCCCAAATCTATCCCCAGTTTAACCCTCATTAGTCAGTAGATATTTTCCCTTACTGTAGATCAACCCATGGAATATCAACACTGTTATTCCTGATGAATCCGGATGTTTGTTGGTGCAATCCCCATGTCCGTAGGGTTTCTGGTAACAAATCAGTCCACTCACAAGAATCCATCGATTATTACAGGTGGTGGTTAACTCCCAAGTGATGGTTCTTGATGAAAAAAAAGCCTTCGGAACGACCGGAAAACCCTCCGGAATCATGGATAATCATGCCCTATGGATCCAAGTACCTTCTTAGGAAGTGTTTGTGGTATAATTTACTATGATTTGGAGGCTTAAGTACCTTCTCAGACAGTGTTTGGATCCATAGGGATGGTATTTTTCTCGTTTTTTTTTTCCAGAGGTTTTCAACACACCCGAGCGATCCCAGGATCTCACCCGGATCTACTCCTCCGATGCGCAGCTTCTGATCCTGGGGCGGACCGAGCGCAGAAACCGCGAGGCGATGGTCCTGGAATGTTCCCATTGGTGAAGCGTGGAGAATCCCAGTAGCTTCACCCAATAATTGGATAATAATAACTGGAATTGGAAATAAAAACAATAATGGGAATAATTGGAGTAGGATGTCTTATTTTCCAGCTGCTCAGTCCACCAAAAATGGGGAATCGACTGGGATTATCGGGGATTACTATGTTTTTCTTGGGGCTCTTAAGCAAATCCACGACATTCCAAGACAATGATGGTCAATGTCAATGTCTATTTGATTTCCCAAACATAAAAAATTCTGGCAAGTGACAGGGAACTAAGGTTGGGATTGTTTTTCCAGTAACGAACATTTCCAGGTGATCGATGAGCGTTCCATCATCAGCTTTCAGAATTGTAACGGTGTTTCAGAACTGCTTCAAGGGAAAAATATGTAGTGGTGAAAGTCTTAAAACTGTTTCCCGTACGGTAAGTGTACCCCCTATAGTACCTGGTACAAACCAATGGTTTCCTCTATATTTTCCCTTAAACCAATCTATAAAGAACCTATGGTTGTTTTAGATCATAGCAAGATCTCATATGCACCCCATATGTTCCTCAGATATTCCCTATCCCAATGTCGAGCATTCCCCTATATAAATCTCAATATAATCATCTATAATCCCCCATACCCATATATTCCCATATGATCCCCATATACAATACATATATACGTAATTTATACGTATATATATATATATATAATCTCTATAACGATCCCTATATGTATAACCCATATAATCCCTACATGTTTGGGCTCCCCACCCCAGTGATTAGTTGGTTTATACATCCCATTAGCTATAGTTCTAAGTAGCATAAACCATCATCTTTCGTATTTATGTTCACCAACTTGGCTATCGTTTGGGGGGCCCACATTGTACCCTTATTAACCATCATTCCCAGAAGGGTCCATAAGGATAGTGAATTACAGATATTTATATCTAGCATAGTAACTATACAGATTTACCTACCATAAGGGTTAGAAGGTATACACCATTTTCAGACAGACCCATATAATCCCAATGTACAGCATTATACTTATAATCATATAATGATCCTCATAGCATCACCATATAATCCATATATATATATATGTCCATATAATATCCAGAGAATATCCATATAATGAATATATTCCATGTAATCCATATAATCCATATAATCCATATAATCCCCATACAATCCCCGTCACCGTATATAATCCCTATAACGATCCATATATATATATATATGTCACCTATATAATCCCTATATCTAATGTCCAACGATCTGCCAGGTGACTGCAGAGAAGTTCGACATGTTCATCTTCCATCAGGTAGATGCACAGCGGGAGTTCAAAGAACGCTGCTAGGTGTGGAATTGTTCATCGAGGATGGATGGATGATGAGGTTGTCATGGGAATCAATGGTGACCTATTAAGGATTTATAGTGATTGTAGCAGGATTAGTGACTTAATAGGAGTTGGAATAGGAATGTTAAACATGAACAGGGATTTAATAGGGATTTATTACATGCCTGGTGATGGGGTTGCGATCATGATTTTTGATTCATCTGATGTTGATTATAGTGATTCAATAGGGATATAGTTGATGAATGATTTAATTGCTTATAACTAACTATGTATGAATGAACATTATATATATATGCATATTATTTTGATGATTATGATGGGTTTGTTTCCCTATGTTTATATATTTATATATACATATGTATGTATATGATGAGATTAAAATAGTTTTAGTGATGTAAGAGGGAATTTTACCATGAAACTATGGGAAATTGGTTTGATATATATGTATATATAGTTGATAAATGATGGTTGGTTCATAATGATATGGATTTGTACTCACTGGATATAGGATCAGCATGGATTAGCTGGGATTGACCTTTTGGATGTTGGATATTTATGTATATACATATTATACATAGTATTATTTTCCATCTAATGTATATATATATATATATATATTGGAGATTATCACAATCCATAAGCTGGGACATCCGTTCTTCACAAACGTATACGGGACGAGGTTCTTGGTTCTTCACACGGTTCCGTGTGCCCTGAGGCTTAATGGTCTTGAGTGGCTTGGACCCCTTGATGCGCATCAAACTTCACCAAGAGATGTTGGTCCCTTGGCGATGTGGATGATGTGGCGAACACAGCACTGACCCCAAAGATATTGTGCTATGTTCCAAAGCATTTTGTTGCTAGAATGGGGTCAGTTCAATGGTCTTGCAGGATTCTCTTAAATTAAATATTTGGAGAATCACAGTTATTTATGATGTTTTTGTTCAGTATTTTAACCCCTGCTTGTATCTGGGATGGTATACTAGTTACAGCCAGAAGGGAACACAGCTACTGAGCATCCAACTTCATGAATTATCCAGTCGTCTGGGTCAACACCTGGGAAACTTACTGGTAAACCCTCATGTTTGTTCATGATGTCCCCCGTATGTGTTGAACATCGATATGGCCTCTTAAAAGGGATATACCAGTAGACACTAGACGCAACAAAATTACCAACTTAAGTGTTTACCCATCTTAAAATGTGGTCACTGTTAGCAAACTGTAGTGGAATAGGGATGGGTCGAAACTTGTTTAATCTACAATTATGAGGATCTGATCATCATGAAACTCGGAATCTGCCATTTAATTCAACCATAAACCTCCATCAATGATTATAGTAACATATGATGATTAGGTAAAATGATTGCAGTTGTAACAGTTATTATGGCTTAAACCGGTTAAACCTCATGGCCTCATGGTTTCTTGATGTTTCTTGCCACAAAAAAATATGCCCCGGGTCGGACCGGTCGGACCCACTGCGAGGTGAACCGTGCCGCCAAGTCGAAGACGGCGTCGCGCATCGCGCGGACCACCTGGGGCTTTCGACAGAGCGAAGAAGGTGCCAAGTCGACAGAGGATAGAGCTGGGAATCAAACATGGCAATTGGAAATTCATGGGATAAGTGATATGGATATGATTCAAGGTGTATATTTTAATCTATTTTAGATATCCATAGATTACACACATAATTGCCATATGCTCCATGTATGGTATATTTACCTACATAACTGGATGATTTATGCTGGGCAAATGTTGGTAAATATTCCAGCACCATGGAGCATATGGGATTGGAAATTAATGGGGATTTCCCCAACACAAATGGTGGAATTACTGGGGATCTGTGAATCGGATATTTGTTGATTCGTTCATGGTTTCTGGTAATCAAACTGGGCGGGCTGGGAATTTTTCGAACTGAATTTCAATGAAGGATTTTCCAGCACGCCATATTTGATTACCAGAGGGTACCTCATGTTATGACCATGGGTATGATGGGTATGTGGACGAGGAGGTTCTCAAGCACTGGATGTATTGGATTCTACAGAAAGGTGAATAGGTTGGTTTTAGCCACATAAATGGAGGAATACACTATATACTCTTCAGGGTTCGGAAGGAGCTAGGAAGCTACGAGGTTCCATCTACTATTTGGTATGAGTGGAAAGCCAAGGAGCTACTAAGAGTCTCTAAACATGACAGACTAAAACTCACTTTTTTAAATCCGGTATCTAAGATTGGCCATGACGCATTGGTGAAAAGTAATATAATGGCATATGGTCTCCAACATGCACTGGACTTCTGGAAAAATGAGGATCACCAACAACTGTGAAAGGTATCTTTCAAAGTTCACCCCTACCTGGGATCAAAGGTTGACTAGGCGGTAGAAGCCGAAGTGCTGGCATGTTTGCTTGGAGAGGATCCTGCTCGTTTTCTGGTTGGTTGTTTGAATCATACGTATAGTTTCCATCCTTTCCTGCCATGATGACTTTGATTGCTTAGTATTCTTGCGAAAGGGTGAAACCAACAACCAGAAATAGTTTTAGTATGTTTTAGTATGATTTAGTTATATAATACCATTTTATAGGTTTATTCCCATTTCAATACATCTCCATTACTTCCCCATGTTTCGGAGGTCTAATGATTAAATCACCATTTAGGTGGATGAACTCCGCCGTTTTGTGGTGTTTATGTCCGCGTCATAGTTTTTTGCATCTCTTCACATTATTGTTTTCTGATTGTCACCATCAGCATCCCGTGGATCGTGTCAGCAAATCCTTACCATCACTCACAGTCAGATACACTTAGTTGCTATCCAATACCAACATCAATGACTTCCAACATGGTTTCACCATGGTGAAAAGCCAGAAATTATCCCAGCGAGTCCTCCTTATCAACATAAATCCCATATCGAAATGCCATAGTTTCCATACAAATTCAGATTTATAGAGATTTATAGCATTTTTTTTGAAGGCATTTCATGCTGAGCTTTTCCGCCCCTCAGCCAAGAAATCAAGGTGAAAGGCTGTCACTCTTCCTGCTCACGGAGCTGAACTTCTTCGAGTTTCAAGCGAATTTCAGTCTGTGGATCCCCAACTCAGCAGCTTGGATGCCGCGGCAAGTCATGTGGTTTTTCAGTGACAGAACACGACACAGGGCCATAAAAGGCCTAAGTCATGGTTGTTTCAAGTCACTAATGGTCGAGGACTGGATGATTTGGGTAGCCTGATGACTTGGACACCTCCATTGATTCAGAATTGAGGTCAAACTTCAATGAAGCTTCATGTTTGATCATCGATCCATCTTTGATCCACGTTTCCGTGTTGACGATCGATTCTTAGGGTATCCCAATGGTTTTAACCCAGACCCCATTTGGGATGCTGGAAGCCAATTTCAGAAAGCCATTATTAGTATCATGTGTGGAATATCTTTCATAGGTGTGTCTAAACATGGGGGTGTATCTCCAAATCATCCTTAAATTGTTGAGTCTTTGACCATGACTTAGTATTGAAAAACAGCAGGGTCAGGACCGGGGATCCCCCATGACGAAGACTTCTGCGAGGTGGTGCCCAATGCTTGGGGTTTCACCATCATTAATATACACAAATTAGCCTCCAAGAATTAACTGTAAACAAATACATAATTTCAACAAGTTAAACATATACCACTTTGTAGCCCCATTGTGTCCAGATAAGATATCCACTGTTTCTCTCATTACTGCTGCTTAAATCCAGAGTTTTCATGGCTAAATCACGATTTAGGTCGTAAGAACATCCCCATTTTGATGATTTCCACTGTATCCCTCATTTTCCAGAGATTGCCACAATGGACTCCCATATATTCCCATATATTCCATATCCCGATGTCACCATGGGCTGCAACGAGGTCACGGAAGAGAAAGCCTACGGCAGCGACAACGAGTACGACGGTGGGGAGAGCGACGAGGAAGCACAGGAGTTCCTCGGAGAAAATTGCTGGGTTTTGGCCTCTATGAATGGTGATCTAATGGGAATATCAATGGACTATTCATATGGGTATGGATCAATACCTATACATACCATTTTTAGGGGGATGAACATCCATTTACCAGCTATTTTGATGTTCACCAGGGGCACAAGGTTTTGACACACTGCCATATCTATTCATGGGAATAGAATGGAATATGGGGCAAGACATGGGAATATAATGGAATATCAAAGATGGCCATCATGGCTTGCTGGAAAATGGCTATTTAGCGAAACCTCCATGTAGTTTGGGGATGGATGGTCCAAATGTTGGTGAAACTTGTGGATGGATAGTCAAACCAGCCATTTCTTCGGGACTTCTTTTTGGAGGTAACAATTGCCTTTGGGATGATGTAAAATGACGGTTCCTTTAATGTTTATGGGTTCTTACAGGGATGGTTCATGAGTGGGTTCACCACATGTTGTGACTATTTCTATTAATGATCCAGGCACTGTCCAGTCGGCTAAATCTATGACATGATCATACATTGTCCGGCGAGAAGTGTGCTCATGGAGAATTGTGCGATACTGGTAGCATGGAAAAACTGAATCACTAAGGAATAGTAATAATCAAATTGTCCAATTTTGGAGTTGTTTGCGGGTATAATCCCATTTGGAATGAACTAAACTGACGTTTGTACTTACATTATGACAGACCTACATGGAAATACATACATTCATTAGAATGTGTTTGACATCAATGATGTTCTGGGAGCTCCACATTCTAGTGATCTCGTATATATATATATATATGTATATACATATATTATTGTTTATAATATAATGTATGTGTATATATACACATAAAATTATATATATATATACATGTGCGTGCATATCTATCATTTGTCAAACGGTGATGCTCCAGTGCGTTAAGTCAACCGAAGCCGTCACTTTTCCAAGGTTCACAAAGGCCTCGGACTTTTCCAAAGCACCTGGAACTGAATGGATTCTGACCATCTCCAGCTGGATGTCCGGCAAAAGTGTGGTTTTATCCGAAAAAAAAGAAACATGGGGCATGCACCAACAATGCTCTCCAGTAAAGCAATGATTATGTATATATATATACACATAATTCAATAATATATATGTAATGTATATTTGGGAAACCCACCAGTTGTTGATCATTAGGGATGGGATCCTTGGCAATTGGATTTGGCTCACCATTTGCGCCACAAAAAGCCTGCGTTGGGTCGGCGTTGCACATATATCTATGTCAGAATCTATGTATATACACGTTGTGAAAAGAAAAAAACATGGTATGGATCTTTGCAACAATAAAGATCAAAAGCAGCACTGAGGAGAATAACCTTCAATGCTATTTATCTATCTTCGGGCACATCGACATGCAAATGGGTCGGAGCTTTTGGTTGTCACAGAAAATGAATCATATGGGCTATTCGTTGGAACGGTCGCCTTTCTTGGGTTTGGCTTGTGGCCACAAAGGGTGCTGAAAATACCCTCTGGTACTTGCAGGAAAGCCACTTTCTTAGGGGGGGTAATCAGGTTCACCGTGTCAGTGGCTTTACCGTAACCGGCACCAGGCAATGGCGAAAGCGGCCAAAGACGCCAGAACATCGAAATTTAGTCATGAGAGGTGGATGGTGGGAGACCGGAGACCAAACCTGGCTAGAAATAGCTGGGAAAATCCGACGAAATGAGGATTTGAAGAAGTGCAAACTGTTTCATTCCCGGAGCAAAGTCAGTGAAGGTAAGAAACATGGTGCATTTACGTGGAATTCAAGTAACAAATCATGAGGATTGGGATTTATCTCTGGGATGATCGGATGGAATTTCAGGAGTCCTCACCCAGTGGTCCTTACATTTTCCTATCCGGTGTTCAACTTACTTCATGGCTTTGAAAGAACTCCCCATAAAGGTTTGATGTTCATGAGTGTGGACGACTATAGAGAGAATCGTGCTGCAAAAAGCATCGTTTTGCTCGGTGAAATCTGCATTTCTGTTGGTCAGGCGCGAACAAGAAGAACCCATCCTGCTGCTGCGGCAGAGCGAGCGACAAGAACGCAGATATCAGGTGGGGCCGCCGTTTGGCGTGCGGGAAAGAAACAGGAAATCCGGGAGTCATTTGCACAGTACTTGTTCAGAAAAAAACAACTGTTGGCCCCACACCGTATATGATTGTTGGTCTCTCTCTCTCTCTACTTACCTGCAATATACATGAGTACTCATGAGTGTATCGTTACCGCAAATCAACCAACATGTTGCTCGTCTTCAATTATGGATCTATATACTATCTTATAAATGGGACCACACTCTTGGTAAAATTCCCACTCAGAGTGAGTATACTCTCAGTTGGTCAGTGGTTTAGAGCCTAATTTGGGTGGTGAAAAAATACCTGTTTACAGATTCAACATCGTCTCAAGATATTTTATGAGCCCAGTGAACCCTCGGTTTTCACATTTTGGTCATTTCTATGGACCTTATTCCCTCACAAAAGAAAATACATCAAAAGTTAAAACAATAGGTAGGAAGACACTGGTGTGAATCCATCCCCCAAAGAAGAAACAAAACTTATGGCAAACAAATCTTTGATTGAAGGTTTTCCCTGAGGAAAAAAACACATTTCATTAATTTTCATTATCTATGGGGAGTGGGTCTGGTGACCTACGCTATTGTATTAGAACATGTTTTGTTTCCGTATAAAAACATATAAAAACCAATGAACATGCTCTTTTCCCTCAGAGTCTGTGGTACCCCTCATATGCTCGGCTGGGGAGCCCCTCGGGGCTACGAATGACATTTTCGCACCACACGATACTAGGGACAATTCACGGTTCTCTCAATGACTTCCCCATGAAATCACCATTAAATCACAGGTTGGATCCCCATGTCCCAGGCATTTTTCATCATTGTTCACCTGTTATCATGCTAAAAATCCACATCAAAATTCCCTCTATAGATGCCTATGTAATAGCATGAATTCCCGTGAAATCCCCATCAAAACCCATCCATGTCTTCATGGTTTTGGAGTATCAGGATCCGCCCAACAAATGGCTCCTGGACGGCATCGCCACCGAAAAGGCCGTCTCCGACGCTCAACTTGGCAAGAACCGGTGGTCAGATTCCAACGGCTATGGGTCAAAATGACTTTTCCCTGGGGAGGACCACAGATTTGAGTCCATGTTTCGAATCAACCAACCAATGGGGTGCCCAATTCTGACTCATGCCGTACCCAATTATTAGTCCTGCAAGGAGGTGCCCCGTATGTTTGGAATACCCCGATTAGTTCAAAAGTCGTAGAGGTTTTTCACCAAAGTCATGGGGTACTCCAAGTTATCATCCAGTCGTCATGGCTGACCATGACTTCGGATTAAAACCTATTGTTTTGGGGATCCCCCAGTTTAAGAAACACCTCCATGTATAGCTTGATGATTTTGATGACTTCTTGGATGTGCCAGTATCGTTTTGACCGCAAGAATGTGTCTAAATCGTCGTTTTCAAATGTTGCCAAGAGGTTTCATTATGAATTCTACCAACAAAGATAGATAAATCAACAAATGTCATTGTCATTGTATAGATTCAACTGATAGGACAGGATTCGGATTCAATGTTTTTCGCGGATCTAAGCCACACTTAAACAGGTGCTTCTTCAATATCAATTGGTTCGGCAGGAGCCCAATCAAAGTACCAGATCAGGAGTTTAACAGCAGATGCGGCGAGAGGTCTTCACTCCAGTGCTGGCATATCCTTTGCAAGCACAAGTGATCAGGGTTTTGTTCTAGCCTTAGGATTCCAAGCTGCTGGGCCCCAAGGCCCGAAGCAGCAACTAATCATTAAGTTGATGATAGTTGATGCCTGGAGTAAATGAATTATAAATTATAACGGATTGATCCAGCATGAATTCATCAACCTATTGATGATGGATGATGCTAGTCATAGGTTTCAGGAGCCATTTACTCGCTGTTACCGCCCCTGAAATAGATGTGGCAACCCTGGCAAGCCTTCGAAGAAGTCGAAGTTCTCGAAGTTCCCGGGAGAATTTTCCAGACCGATTTTAGAAGGGTAAAAGCCAAGGACACGCTCTGGAAGTATTTGCCCGAAGCCGAGATCCAGCAGATCAAGAAGGACGGCTGCCATGTTTGGTGGACAGTCGCCTTGCTTGTTTTATATGTTTGGTTTATCAAGTTTTGTGTCACATGTCACCTAGGCATGTCAATGAAATATGTCTGATTTGCAAATGCTGTTCCTTTCCATTTCCATGGCCACTTCTTGGCATATATAAATCATTATAAATCTATATCCCAGATGTGGATTCATTAATTACATCTCCCCATTTGGAGGTTTCATAAGGATTCCTGAAATGGGGGTACCCCTAAATCATCCATTTATGGATGGATCTTCCATTATAAACCAACCATTTTGGGGATCCCTCATTTATGGAAATCCCCCATTTTAGCCCAATGGTTTGGATAAACATATATGTGAAATCTATATCCCATACACATAAGTGTATTATATATATATATATATCCCAGATTGGTTTACATCTCCGAGATCTCCCCATTAAAACCCAATGGTTCCAATGGTTTGGTCATCGAGGATCGAAGTCAAGGCCTGGAGCTCACAGAGCAGGAGCTCTTCGAAGTGCCTGGCGCGTCACGGGAGAAGGAGATCAAACACATGTCCCTGGGCGAGCTGTGCCATGAAAAAGTATAGTAACATGGGGAAAATGGGGTAAGTGATGGGTTAAATGGATTTAAATACTATTCAAATGGTTAAATGGGTTAGTATAGGGGAAAGTAATAGTAACATATAGTATGGGGTTAATGGCTTAAATACCTCTGTTGATGGGTTAAGATGGTTAAGTTAAACATGGGTAAAAATGCCATGGAATTGATATTTCATCAATGGAAATCAATGGAACTAATATATGAATTAATTAAACAATTTTGATGGATTAGTATAGGGGGTTATGCTAACTGGTTTATTGGGGAAACTAACCCATACTGGGAATATTTGCTAACCAATATACTGTAATGAGATACTGTAATGAGATGGAACAACATAGTATTCGGCGCAGCTCAGTGGCACTGGGGGGTTAGTTCACCCAGTGATACGCAGGAGAATTACCATTTAGTGGATTTCTTGACCAGGGTTACTAACTCGAACTCACTGTAACTTAACACTGTAGTGGAATGATCCTCGGAGTGACCAGTTGATCCTGGGTGACTTGGTGAGAGGGCTTTCAATATTTTAAGATATTGTTTCAGCATTTATACAGGGGGTTGAAGGACTAGAACTATGGAGATATGATATACATCCGGTCGGGGGGAAAACCGCGCCAGCGGTTGTGAGCGTGTTGAAAAAAAATGTTGTTTTCGCCATAGCGAAACTATTGATCTATTCCAGAAAAAGCGACTAACATTTTCCGGGAATTTTCATTGAATTCTTGATCAACTCCTGCAATTTACAGGAAATCTGCTTTGCCAAACTCGCGCGGTGTTTTCCTCCTTTCACATGGCCATGCGCTTCTGCAAAGAGCAACCAGTGATCTCCAAAAGGTTTTTTGCTTTGGAGTTCATCCAACGCCATTGCCAGACCCTGATGCTTGGCATTAACTTTTAATTCACTTAACTATTGACTCTGGCCGCAAGACTACATGGAATGGCCGATTTTGACCGTCACATTGCATCGACCCTGGCGTGACGTCGCATGTGCGTGTGCGGCAAGTTGACATGAACGATAACACCCCCCCTGACACCCCAAACCCTGGCGTGATGTAGAATGTGCGTGCGCGTCAAGTTGACATGAACGATAACACCCCCCCTGACACCCCAAACCAGGCTGCAAACCCTGGCGTGATGTAGCATGTGCGTGCGCGTCAAGTTGACATGAACGATAACATCCCCCCTGACACCCCAAACCCTGAAGGCATGCGCGTGCGCGGCAAGTTGACATGAACGATAACACCCCCCCTGATACCCCAAACCCTGGCGTGACGTAGCATTTGCGTGTTTCAAAATGTGCGCGACTAATGGCGCAGTTTTGCCCCCGCTGGCATATACATGATGGGTGATTTGTTGGATTGGATGTCAGTCTCGGATCCCGGACTATTTTTTCCCCTGGGCCATTGATCATTGGGTGGTACTGTATTACTGTACCATTCCAAAATAGCAGAGTATCACTACTTGGTGGTAACTTACTTCCCTAATTTACCAGGGTTTAATGCGGGGATGACATGAATGGGGAATTAAATAATTGGATTGTGCAGGTTTAACCCTTAAAAACTTTATGTAAGGGATAATATAATTAATGGCTACAGTAATGGATTTTTATATAGGGAGTTATGAAATTTTGTTACACCATAGATTAGGAATTGTCATAATCTGTCTCAACCAACTACAGTGGTTCCGGGTTTTGACACATCCCAAACAATTGTCCAAACGGGTCGACCACAAAACCAGACATTGGTCATCAGCACTTCAAGCCTCCTTGCCATGACTGTTGTGAAACATGCCTCCTGCTCAGGCATCAAGTGACGTGGCAGCAAAAATATCTGTGGCTCGTGGGATTGGTAAAGGGGCGGTTTCCAAGATTTCCAGGATTTTTGTGAAATGGCTGGATAGTTCCCAGAAGTTTCCCAGTTCGCACTGTCCATCTAAATTGTTATCTCAGTTTTTGGTCGATCACCATTTTGCAGGTGATATGATATGACACATTTCCGGAGAGTTAGATTCATTTCAGCCAAGTTTGGTTGGAACCGTACATGACCTTTACTTGGGTGGTACTGTGGACTTCCAAGTGTAGACAGTGTATGGCTATCTTTTGGGGGATCTCGCCGATGACTCCATCCTTCACATCGGGGGACCTGGGACCTTGCATCAGTCACTGAGGTCATGAAAGACAAGCGGAAGGTTCGGCAAACAGCGAGTTTCAGGGTTGGAAAGATACAATATGATACAATAACAGTTGCATCAGCTGGTAGTTTGCATTCATCATGTCATGTAAGAGATAGAGATTGAAGAATATGAATGTGATGATAAGATGACTAATGCGTAGTCTACTTGTTTTTTGGGCCTACCATAATCTACATGTTGCAGCCCTTCTCCTTTTGACACCTCCCTCAGCTTCACATACCTCTGTTTTTGGCTCTGTTTTGCCTGGAACTTCCCAACCAATCAGGGGTAATGATAAGTTAGATTCCCCAGTATCACTTAGAATATCAATGATTAGGTACCATTTATGAGTCATGGACGAATGTGACCCCATCGATCTATCATTAATTATCATTATCTATCTATATATATATATATAGATTCAGATCTTGCTAGGTAGATGTATATATGATTATACATGGGTGGCATTTGGACCCGTCAAGACGAATGCGAAATTGCTCAGGCGATCTTGACGCAACTCTTCAAATGTCCCATCCGAAATCTGAAGCCGCTGGGCCGCAGCCCAGTTTTTGATGCCGCTCATAGCTCAGGGGCCACCTTTGCTGGGAGTTTTAGGACGACAATCCGAATTGAAGTCGACCTTTAAGTGAATTCACTGGAAATGGAGTTGCCACTGTAAGTCATTCCAAGGTATGTTCCCATTATACCATGATAACTTAATTTATATCATGTTAATTCAATTATATATATATAATATTATATAATATTATGTTATAGAATTCTTCAACCATGAAATCATGATCACCGGAATAATAGCCGCCATTCATGCCCATGTCACCATCGTAACCCAAACATTTTGAGTCTGTCAGGTCTGTGAGCTTTGATCCAGGCACAAGCTGGGACGATTTGGGATGATTTTCTTGTGTTTCACATCAGGTGTTTTTCAAAAGGACATGACCGATCTATTGTCACAACCGTTTCACGACTGTTTTCCATGTATTCGAAAGAACCTTGGGACCGGCCGAAGGTTCTTTGCTGAATGTCAGACATGACCAGCCCATCCACAACAACCAAGAAAATAGCCGTTGCGACCACGCAAACAACTTCATCAATCTGGGTTATACTCTTGGTGTTTCACCCTTTCAGTCAGTGGGTTGTAGCCCTAGCTAGAAGTAGGGTAGGGTTTGTCTAGTTGTATTTTTGGAGAACTAATAACCCACTTACTGAGGGGAACGACCAAGTACCTTGTGATCCCCCAAGGAACCCCTTATAATATATATATATAATATAAACATATATATATATATTTGATGATCACGGTCATTATATTAATATATTATATTGTGTTCATATGTGTCTATCGTTTTGGAGATCGCTATAAACTATCGAAACATATAGGACCACTGTGTTTTGGGAAGTTTGTAAAGTTCATTCACATCAATTATAATATCTACAATAGAAGCTAGTTATACCCGGTATTAGTCATAAACCAACTTAGCTGTGGGCCCCCCCGCAGTAGAAAATGCTGGTGTTTGGTTCTGGCCAGGACCTATTCCCATCTTGCACCTGACCTTTCAACCAGACCATGGTCGCGAAGAGCAGGTGCGAGTTCCGGGTGATGCCCAAGCAGGATTCACTGGATGGGTAGAAAACGAATCCGATGAATTTGTTGTTTTCACCATCACCATCAAAATTGAAAATAACATAAACTAACCATCACCAGTGGATTTGTTTAACAGTTGGCAATGACATAAAATAATCATCACCAGCAATTTTGTGTTTTTTTGTGGAAGATTGACCATGGAAAGATGTAATGAGTTGTTGCGACTCCAACAGAGGGATACAACAAGCGTAACATCTGGAGATGTATCAGCAAGATGGATCAAGAAAATCAGCAAGATTAATCAAGAAAAACATGGAGATTTGATCAGCACACAATGGCAAAGACGTGAAAGGAAAATGACAAACCATAGCTGGTTGGTCGTGACTGGAACCATGGAATTTCATGACTTTCCATTCAGTTGGGAATGTCATTTCATCCCAACTGACGATTCGTCCATCATTTTTCAGAGTAGGTCAACCACCAATCAGATAGAAATAGGATCGTCCCGGAAGTCCATGTTTTCGAGTTGAGGACATGCTGGTTGAGTGGGAGCAGGGACTTACACATACAGAGCAGCTCATTGTTTGTTGGCGATTCTGATATCCAAAGTATATTAAAGTCCCTCCCAAAACTCCAAAGCACCACCCTGCGGCTTGAACAGGTGGACATCCGATTTCTGGATGACTGTGCAAGAGAGAGCTGGCGCAGAAATTTGAAGCTCGGATTCGGCAATGGCCAATGGTTTATACATGTTTATACCACTATAACCATTACAAACACTATTATAGCCACTATTATCCACTATCATAACATTTTATACTTGTTTCGTTTTTTGATGAAATTTGCCATTGCACTGTTCACTGTTTAGATAATTGTGAGGCGGACAATGAAGATCAAGCAACACAGGTACCAAAGCCACAGATAGCTTGGGGAATCAGTGATATTTGATTTGGCCCATGCATGTGGGACCCTGAGTGGCTTTGCTCACGTACCCTGCTTCCCAGGCAACTGGTGCTGCAAAAGACCTTTAGTGGTGGCTCCTCGACGTATATCAGAGTTATGGCAACCCAGGATTCATACACCCTGGTTATCGCTGTTTTGTCAATTAGGGGGGATATCCGGGATACCCCAAAAGTGAAAAGCTCGATAATCTGCCATATTTTGAGCCATACCCAAATAGATGTATTTCTGTATGCCAGTGGTTGGTAGATTTGGTGTTTCATATATTATAGAAATATATATATATATACTATTCTATACTGTTCTATTTGAGATGTTTGTTTTTTTGATTTCCATCCTGAGAAAAAGATACTGACCCCCATTCACGTACTCATGATTCAGGGATAGATTATAGCCACCAGCAGTCTATTGTTCATCGACTCAAAACCCTGCATCCGGAGCGTGAATCCAGAATGATTCATGTGGGATCTGGAAATGATAATGGTGGATATGTGCCTCCAAATTTGCCTTTCCATTTGGTTTGGAGCCCCCCCGGAATTCATCGTGGGGAAGACTCTTTGTCCAAATTTGCCATTCTGATCCATTTTGATGTTGGGAAAATTATGATAAACCAGCGGATGGATTTGCTGTTCTCCACAATGTTCAGAGAAACCCATGTCCAAACATTGAGAAACCAATGGTAGGAAATTATATACACATGTTTTCAAACATTGGACATTTCCCCATGTCCTTCTGAAGGCTCTCAATGGGGACGCGTCTACGACGATCACAGGGAAGATGCTGCCCGCCACGCTGTGAAGACCAACCGTGCGGCAAAGTTCTTCGCACATGACTGAGGCTGACCCATGGCGATGGCAAGTGCAAGTTGGGCCCCCCTATTGCCCTACTGTAGTCAGTTGGCCAACTTGGTTTCTAAGTAAATTAACATAAGTTAACATAAGTTAACTATGTTAAATTTGATTTCTGGTAGATATACCTATTGTTAACTGTTAACGGGGGTTATGATCAAACATAGAACATCATATAACTACTTATAACAAGGGAGCACCCCTATTGCCCTTGTTGTGGGAATGTGGACAATGGTGACTAATATGTAATTTGGGAAAGAAACATGGGGACAATTGAATAACATTGAATAACACTCATTCAAATTTTGAACGTCAAAGTCTAAGATCATGGGATGGTTTTTCCTGGGTTGACAAGATTGACCTGGAATTGATGACAAGCAATCTGAACAAATGTGAACCAGGGCCCACCAGGCATGAGATCTTTGATAGCGAGAAGGCAACTGTGGAATCGTATGGGAGTCCCATCTTGTGGTACGTTGAAGTTCAGCACAAGAAATCCATGTGCTGATCAAAAGCTGAGCGCAATCGTTGAAACAACCTGCAAGGCGCAATCAATTGCGTGTGGGTGATAATGCACCGCAAGCTGGACACGCTACAATGCATGGCATGCTCAGCTTTCAGGAGGACAAGCTGGCTGCTGGTTTCTTTCGCTGCCAGTTTTTGCACATATGCCTGTCAAATGAAAGGATATCTCAGACACAGTAAGGTGCATGGTGATGGTTGGTTTTCCCATTGTGGCATGTTTTCGCCAAATGGAGGGACCCTTCGGTCATCTATGTGCTATGGCAGTTTGAGTCAGCTCTCCACTGCCACCAGAGGTCATGTTCAATCAATCCAGATCAATCCAAGCCAAATCGCTATAGACACAAGACCATCCGCTTGACTGGTTGTTCAATCGTTGTTCACACTTCAGACATGTGACTGGCACTGGCAATGCGAAAAAAACAATGCCTGCCATCCACTGCCTCCCAACGCAAGTGGCAAAGTTCCTGGCGCTCAAAAAAGCGCTCGGGCAGTTTGCGATGGACAAATTCCGTCCCCCAATCATATTCAATTACATTTCCATAGCCCCAAACGAAACTCTGGTTTTGTATTGGATCTATATTCTTTATTGGGGACCATATTTTTTGGCTGTTTCAGATTCGGGGGATGGGACAGCCCCAATAAAACTAGCCCTGGATCATGGTGACACCAGCTGCATATTTCTGACCTTTTCCCTTGACTTCTCTGATAGGTTGCTGGCATAATTACATATTAATACATATTACATACATATTACTGTACCCTTGTCCAGAGTGGGTCACTGGCCAGGACCCGTATCCAAAAAAGAAGGAGCTTGTGACTACGGTACCACTGTGAACAAGTTGCTACTTGAAGGTGAAATGTACTTGACTCCGTATCCCCAGGTCGCATTACAACATGTCCTGCGGTCCAGTTTGCTGCTGAGCTAACATCGCTACAAGACACGTTAATGTGTTTACATTCTGGCAGTCAAGTATATATATATATATATGTATAATTCTTGAATACTTCTGATTTGGACAGACACCTTGTTTTTGTATGTTTTTGTGCAATCTTCGGCATCGATCCGCTCAATACTCTTGCGTCAAGGCAGATATTATTTGGTTATTTTATTGAAGATTTTCCCTTAGGTCCCCGACAAACCTTCCTTTTTCTTTTGGATACGGCTTCCTTGCGTCGATCATGGCACTTTTTCTGCGCTCCTTGGCGCTGAGCTTTGCTGCAGCGGCGGACATTCCCACTGTGAAGTTGAATAATGGGGTCGAGATGCCAGTGCTGGCCTTTGCCGCTGAGGCGGGAGAATGCCATTCCAGTGGGAATATCAAATGATATTGATGTGGCTAAACCTTTTTGTTTTTGTTTACGGTACATTGGGCGTACCCAAATTATAACAAATGATAATAACATATTCTAACTATAATATATTTTTATGTATTTGTATATATATATACACATATGTTGCTGTTAAAATATAGTTTTGCCAGTAGTTTTGCCAAGTAACATGGTCATACATGGATATACATGGTGTAACAGTAAATCAATAAAGCCCGCATGGGTGACATCAAAGAACCCTTCGCCCTGTTGCCAACAGGTCTGGGACCCCACCACATGCAAAACGGCCACGGCCAAAGCACTGGACGCAGGGTTTCGATTCGTTTGGTCTTCAACCTTGGCAGCTCAGAATCAATTCAGGGTCCACTGGTCTTTCGACTGGCCATCAATGCAGGGTTTGATTAGCAAGGTGGGAGGTTTGACCAAAGAGCAAAAGAACCTGGCGCGTTTTCTTTTTTGTTGCGACCCTGAAATGATGAATGCGCGGAAGATGGCTGGAAAGATCTTGGATCATTTGTGGCCCCCAAGATCCCAATTGATTGAAACAACCTGCTACAGTAGCCTGCCAGCCTGCCAGCCTGCCTGGACTCCACTAGGTAAAGCAACTGGTGAGAGAAGTCAACGATTAGCCACAGCAAGACAGTACCTTAAAAACCAGGGTATATCTATGGTATATCTATATAAGTATATATATATGGTATATACAAGATTTTCCAAGATATCTAGGGTTAGCCATGAAAAGATGCGCCGCTTAGCCGCTTTCAATGAACAAAGTGTTGATCCATCAGTTCGGCGCCTTGGCCATAGTCTAATGTGACTACCAAGCAGAAATCTCGAGTCCTGGACGTGTCTGAAAATAGAGGAAACCCAAATTTCTTGCTATAAAAGTACCATATGTTCAATAGCTATGTTAAATTACCGGTGGGTAACTATCCCAACCCATATGCTCCATGTATGGAATATTTACCAACATTTACCCCATAAATCACCCAAATGTAGGTAAATATACCATACATGGAGCATCTGGGCAATACACACTCAATAAAGTATGAGAAAACCATAGACCTATGGGATGTCCTCGTTGAGGTCGGTGATGATTGTCAGAAGGCGCAGCAGGAAGCCATCAAGGTGGAGCAGGGGTGAACTGCAGCAAGCAACACATGGGGATGGAGGTGATTTAATGGAATATTAATATGAGGATATTAACTGATTGAGGATTTTTATGGAATATTAATATGAGGATATTAATATGTGATTTTATATGAGGATTTTATGGAATATTAATTGATTGTACCCTCTTCTAATCGAACATTAATATAACGGTATATACGGTACTTGTAATGGAATATTCATGGATCAAAATGGAATATTCATGGAATATTGGTATAGACCACCCTTTGGTAAACATATAAAAAGCTATTGAACATCACCATTTTTCATAGGTATATCATTTGTGAATGAGCAATTGTCCGTAGTCATGTTAGTTTACTGGGGGATAGAGATGATCAGTTTAAACAAAAGGCGACATAGACCAACATCCAGCAACTATTGAAGATCAGAGAAGTTGCTTCCTACTGAACAAATGAAACCTCAAACCAGAGTTGATTTGGGGCGCAACCCATAGCAGTCTGGCGTGGTACACTCATTATACATATTCTCCATGCTTGGGGGTTCAGTAGGCCAGGTAGTTTGAATCATACTTTTATATTTGTTTTATTCAGTGGTTGATATTGTTTGCCTTTTGCTTGTTCAACCCGGATTTGATATTTGTTTTCTAAACTCCCGTTGAGGCAACATATTTAATGATGTTGTCTGGCAAGGTGGCATCTTTGTCAGTTGGAACATGTTAAAAGCACCTTGATCCAAAATGACGTGCTTAGATTCCCATTATTGTGCAGTCATTCCATGTTTGTCCACGTGTCTCCAGGCTATTAGGTTATTAGGCACTGCTGACGGGCTGCCCCCTTGGCTCGCCAGGAGTCACAGCTTCAGCGAAATGAGCTTTTCATCGCAGGCAGCGAGATGTGGTGAGTCCATTTGAAGGCAACAAAAACGGTCGCATTAAATGTTGGCTATGTGATTAATTGATAAATATCATAGAGAATCTCCCTGGAGTAGATAGTATAGCTGGATTTTCAGGGATTTTCCAACATATTCCCATTCGTCAGGATTTGTTGGAATGTCATGACATTTTATGAAATTTCCATGTTCTATCTACTCCAGGATTTTTCTATGCTTGGTTCATCGCAGTGCCACTGCCCCTGCAGGTACGGTGAATGACCCCAAGTGCTCCGGTTTTGAAGACTGCTATGCGCAAACAAAGCCGCTGAGCTGAACATCCCATGTTCGGACTCTGCGAGAGATTTCAAGGGATCAATAGCTGGGATGATTGTGCTACGTTCTTTGGTGTCAAATGGCACCAACATCAGTGACATATGCAAAATCAGATGATTTACTACATTTGGCTGGTGGATATGCTATAATCGATGTATATATGTGTACATGTATAGTTTATGTATACATGTGTATGTACACTCACGTATTTTCATGGTATGGTTGGCTCAACCACGAGCCAGACCCAGGGTTGGCGCCGAGAAACAGTTTACCCTTCTGGCTGAAAAGCAGCTGCTCGGTGGACAGGATGGGCAGCTGCACCAGGGTGCGGAATGGATTATGAATGGATTATTGCAACCCCAGAGACTCAAGACTCGAAGTTAGTGAAACCACTATACATGATCTTATATGGTTTTACTATGGTTTTACTTTGTTTTCATGATTTACTTTGGTTTCACACAGAGATAACTGTTGGGAGCATTCGAGACATATTTTTAGGAGCACACTTCCTCACCCTGTAGCCGCGGTACTTGGTGAAACTCAACCTACTTGCCCTGGTCACAACCAGTTTTCTCGCGACGTAGGAGGGATGAAGCACCAAGTATTGCTAATTTGTATTATTTTGTTTCATTCAGTTTACCCTCTGGTAATTTAACATAGCTATTGAAAATGGCCATTTATAGTGGATTTTCCATAGTTATGTTATGTTATGTTAGTTTACCAGAGGGTAACTTAAACCACAAACAACTCCCAGTGTTTGTTGCTAAAAACCTTCTCATTGTTGATAACCCCTCAATGTTTGTTGCCTCAAACCTACCATTTTGGATCATTCTAAGTGAACCTGCCATTCTGCTGGCTTGAAGCGGCGAATGGCTCCCCACTGGTGTTGAGATACCCTCTGGTAATTTAACATAGCTATTGAAAATCACCATTTTTAATGGGAAAATCCACTATAAATGGCTTTTTTCAATAGCTATGTTAAATTACCAGAGGGTACTGCCCAGGTTGGAAATGTTGATGTTGGACTATCCAGCAGATGCCAACTGCGACAGCATCCGCGGACAGTGGAGAGCCTTAGAGGCGCGAAGCTTAACCAGGTGGGGGAAAGCCTGGGGTGTCAACTCCAGATTTGGGGGTTTCCAGAAATGGGGGTACCGGATGGTTTATGATGGATGGAAAATACAATTTAAATGAATGACTTAGGGGGTACCCCTGTTTCAGGAAACCGCCATGTCAACTCAAGATTTACGGTACACCTTTGGGGAATTTAAGATACAATTTTTGGACCTTAGGAAATTAAGATACAGTTGTTTGGGCATCTTGGGATACCACTTCACTTGACATTCTTTACAAATCTTGGGATGTCATGCATAGATGTCCTTTTCGGTTGGTTAATTGGCAGTGAGGTTAACCCCGTTTGCGACCAGTAGGGAAATAGTGACGACTGATTCTCTCCCAAACGGGGTTGCCTTGGGTTTTGTTCCCTGGATCCAAATACCTAGCAGGTCCTTAAGCCCCAAAATCATACCCCTCATACTCCCTGCGAATGCACTTGTATCCATAGGGTAAGAGTACACTCACGGATATTCCACTTGGTGAATTTTGGCATCAGCTTGCTGGATCAGAAGTCAATATATTGTCGATATATATAATCCTTCCCCCCGTTCATATTTAAAAAAGCAGAAACTATATGAAAGAAAGTGCGGGAATTTACACTTTGAATTCCATTTATGGTGTGGTTCATAGATGTTAATAGAGTTTAAGACTAGGGGGATGGGATTACAACTGGAATGTAACTTCAATGTTGTTTTTTTGTGTAGACCTGGGTAGCTACATAGGAAGTCTATGCTGCGAAGCGCGTTCGCAGCATTGCGGTGAGACGCTTGGTGTTGAGCTTGCTAACGGGGAGGCGGATCAAAAGAGATATACAGAGTACCACTCCCAAAACAACTGACATGTATTTTGATCGCTATGTTTGTAGGATGTTAAGCGTTCTTTCTTAGATTCTTCTTTGGAATTGTTAAATATTGTTTAAACTCATATTCAACAATTGATTTATTCTGGAGTGTACATTGGATGTTCCCCAATGTCCATGTCTTATTTAGATGATGTTCCTATATCTATCTATTGGGTACAAAGTTGGTTTCAGCATCAAGTACTCGGATGCGAAACCACTGTATTTTGGGCATGTCTTAGCCAACCGCACATATCACTGCTTGGTGGTTTTAATTTAATGAAGTTTCTACTATGTTCCATAGCACTGCCATCTTTTTGGGATCCTCATTCTCCCTGAAATTCCCAACTGTCACAGACCAACTGAGGCAACTTCAACCTACAGCAATTGCCGCTCGACCTGGGTCGGCTTACCGTTGGCCCGGTGAAGTGCAACCCTTTTTGGAGTGTTGAAGATGTTGAAGGGGGTAGAAGGGTAGAAGGGTAGAAGGGTAGAAGGATTCATGGATTCATGGTTGGCCTTGGGCAAGTTTGTGATCGAGCCCCATTCCATCCATAAACATCACCAGAAATTGGGGAGGACTCCATTTTCAGACACATCCAACTAGTTTCGGTTCGTTTTTCAATTCCCATTAAATTCCCTCTCAACATGCCTGAGGCATTGTCTCAAAGCCACCAACAGCACGACTCCTGCGGTGAATCAGATGCGCTTTGCTGTGGGGCATGGGAAAGACCCTGTGGTCCAAGAGGATCACGACTTGGGAGTTGCGGTGCAGGTGGGGTGGATGGTGGATGCTGGATGGTGAAAGAGGGCTGGTTCTTCAATCATTCAACCTTGGTACTTGTATTATTTCATAGGATATAAGTATATGATCATAAAGAATCATATACATGATATTATATTTATATATAATTACATAATACGTCAATATAGGCATATAGTGGGAATGATGCAACTAAGCAACTATATCCAAGTTGGCACCAAAACATGGATTTAAGCAGCAATTATTTGGGGAAAGATGTGATTTAGTGGGTGATACATAACCAACAATAAAGATCTATGACCAACTCCATCTGGTCAGGCTACTAGTCCATCTGGCGGTGAACTTTATGACCAACCCGTGTACCAATCCCATGTAAATATTGAAGCAAAGCACATGGGGGCTAAACCGCCATAAAATCTGGATCTTCACGAACATTTGACTGGCCTGGGGGTTCAAAGATGTTCAAAGTGCGCGTGAATGTTCAAACCTATTTGGCCTGATGATACCAATTGAGCAATATTTTTCCGGGGGGCTGAAACCAGCAACCGTGCAGAATGTGTTGCATTTGGGTCAGCCGATTGACATTTAACAAAACATGGAATTCCAAGTAACGGCCCCTTTTTCTGAGGGGTACCAATCGATGGTCACTTTTGGAAATGGGATGTTCTGAAAATTGTGGACCACCATGTCATCATGTCCTGTCGGTGGTCAACCTGGTCAACCTTGTTCCGCAGGCGTATTCGCCCCTGGCAAAAGGCAAGCTGGCCAAGGATCCTTTGTGTTCCAAAATTGGTGAAGCCCACGGAAAGAGTGCCGTTCAGGTCCGGTCAGGGAAGCTGTTCAGTGAGCAAATCTGAACGCGACCTGTTGTAAGCACGAGGTATGCTTTATGTCTGGTTTGGTGCAAGACAACAAGCGATCCATCCTTCAACTATTGTGCGATGCTTAATTTTCTGGTTGGTGGTTCGGAACATGAATTTTATTTTTCCATACACTGGGAATGTCATCATCCCAATTGACGAACTGCATCATTTTTCAGAGGGGTAGGGCTCAACCACCAGCCAGTTTTGATTGCAGTTTCTTGGGGCTGGGGCGGCTGTTTTTTGCTGACACCAGAGCTACCGGATGTCCGTCCATCGGTTGATGACCCGCCGATCTGATCGACCAACGGAGTTTTGCTACGTCGCCACTGAATCGAGCACTTGAATCTTTTGCCAGAAATACCAATACCATCTGGTTATGACTAACAGTTTGCCATGGAAAATCCCAACCATAAATGGAGGTTTATAGTTTATAGCTGGGAAAATCATCTATTTCTGTGGGCCATCTATACCATGGCTATGTAACAAATAACCAGAGGGCACCTATAAATGAGGATGGTATATCTTACCCAGATGCTCCATGGTGCTGGAATATTTACCTATACATTTACCACAAACATGGCCCAAATGTAGGTCAATATTCCAGCACCATGGAGCATCTGGGTTAAGATAAAACTGGCTTTTCAACAAAATCAGGGCATCTAAGAGCCGTTTTTTGCCATGAGATCATCCCCAGGTGGCCTTGAAATGGATTCTGCAGCTTGGTGTTGCGATCGCCACGCAATCCACCAGTGCCTCGTCACAGAAAACGGGGAAATTTATGGTTGGAAGTTACAGATTCCCAGATTTATCCTGATCAATAGATGGGTGTAACAGAATGAATATGAATCAATGTTACTGATCCAACTATGAAGATGTAGAAACACTATCTTCCTGATGAGATTTGTGTGTTCAAAATTGTTCAAATAGTAATCCAGCAATTCCAATGCCTTAAATTAGGATTGGGGATTCATAACGATTTATCTTTGTTTAATCCAGAAGGGTTGAATGCTTACGCATATTAATCGGAAGCAAACAACACGTACCTTATCGCATTTATTGAAGGTGGTTGGTGTTTGAACAAATTCATGTGAAATCTTATACTTTTCTGCGCTCAACTTTGTTGACTGACTGCCATGTTCATGTTGATGGTGAGCCCTCGGTTTGTTACGGTTTGTTCAAGCAAAGCATTTGTTGCTCACACATGACGAGCATGTAGAGCTAGCGGTCGGGCACAAGTTGCAATGACCTTGAAGGTCCCCAGGCTGATTTTCCTATCGTCAGTTTCAGCCAGGTTGTATCTCCAGTTTCAATGATTGTGCAATTTGAGGGGCCCATCCTTTAACCCAGATGCTCCATGGTGCTGGAATATTTACCTACATTTACCACAAGAATGGCCCAAATGTAGGTAAATATTCCAGCACCATGGAGCATCTAACCAATATAATTGTTGCTTACTGCAAATATCCCCCCCATTTTGTCAACGATGTTTCTGTGTCACCACTGTGGGTGGTCGCCACAGCCATTCGTGCGAGGTGGTACCCCCCAGTTATGTACGGTAGTTTATGTTATCACCGTAGCTATAACCGTAAACCAGAGTATATCGCTAACTATAGACTATAGGTGTAAACTGTAGTTGCTGTTTATGATTTATGGATATTTATGGTAGATATACCTATAGGTTGAAATAAAGGGTATGCCTACCATAAACCCAACAGTCCAACTTCGCGGTTTAGCTCCCTGGAGAACCACCTAACGTAGCTTTAGCTGAGGGGCACCCTTCCAGGTTTGGATCACTTGAAGAGCGACCTGCAGCTCTTTGACTTTGAGCTCAGCGATGCTGAGATGTCACTTGACTTTTGGGTCATGGTTGGGAGTCTGGTTGGGGTGTGCTTAAACGGTTCAATGGTTAAACGAAGCCTCAACCCATTAAACCATTAACCTCCCAACCACAATGGTTAAACAGTTGGATTGACGATGGAACCATTGTTTTCACCAAACGGTTGAGAGACCCCCGATCCGCCTTATGTCCCGCCCCTCGTTATAAGTTGCCAGTTGGGCGTTCAAGAAGTCTTGCCGTTTTGCCGGAGCAAAAAAGAGGTCCGACTCGATGTAATCCAACAAAATAATGATATATTAATATGTATTATCTATATGGAAATTTCCTGAAATGGTGGTTCCATTATAAAATTTATAAACCATCCATTTTGGGTACCCTCATTTTAGAAAACTCTCAGATAAAAATAGACAGATAGAATATATATATATATATAGAATATATATAAAATATATATATAGAATATATATATAGAATATATATATATAGAATATATATAGAATATATATAAAATATAAATAGAATATATATATATAGAATATATAGAATATATATAGAATATATATAGAATATATAGAATATATATATATAGAATATATATAGAATATATAGAATATATAGAACATATATATATAATATATAATTTAGCTAGTATAATATAATACATATTTATAGAATATATATAGAATATAATATATATATATATATATATACAGAATATATATAGTATATATAGGGAATATATTTATATATAGAATATAAATATAATATAATGTATATATATAATATAAAATATATATAATATGTTTTGTATATATAATATGTTCTATATATAGCATATAGAAAAATATATATATATAGTCTAGTCTTTATATATACATATACATATATATATATATATACATACAACATATAGAACATATATAACACACACACATATATATGTGTATATATGATGAATAAATATACATGATATAAACTCCAGATTTAACCAAGTATCCAGCGTTCTGCCAAGGAAACAGCTCAACGACTACTCTCCGCAGATCTCCACTTTGATGGTGTAGGAGTGTATAGAGTCTCGCCCCAGGACCAGGACCAGTGCCATGGGAAGCAGCGAAAAATGCTGAGTGTTGAAAGACATTGACTTCAGAACTGAAAAGTTTGGACCTAGAATAAATAAAGTACCTATAATGATTAATATATATATATATACATAGATGATCGTACTAATAAAGTACCAATAAACATTGACTTTAGATAGGACACATATTGGACCTATAACATATACATCTACAATATCCTAGAATAACAATGCATGATGATACCCTGAAAAATTCTATGCGGCTTCCCCATGATGTTCTGACCTTGGCACCGATGGTGCAAACCATGGCATTGCAGTGGCAGCCTATCAGAAAACGCAAGGACAGGTTTGCAAACGTGGGAGGGCTCCCTAGAAAAGGGTTCTGATAACTATGCAGTTTGGGATGCTTACACTATTCATATCATTTCGTATCTGGTCTTATTTGTACAACATACAGTATATATATATAAGTCTTATTTATATAATTCATTTATATCCAATCTATTTCATATCTGTTCTTATCTAAGAAACCCTCACAGTTGCTGATGTTACTGTTAATTCCCTTTGGCATGTGCTATTTCTTGACGGGCAAATATGATCAAATTTGGATAGGTAAAATCAAGCAATTCGCAATTTGGATAGGTAAAAAAATATGGCAAAATCAGAACTGGTGCATGTTCCGGGATCACCAAGGTCGCAGCGCGCCGGGTGGCCCCAGACAACAATTGGGGGCCTTGGGGCTTGCAGAGAAAGGGTTGTTTCACATGGTTTCACCTTTTTTTTGAGGGATCATTGGTGAACTTCCGGTTTCATGTTTAGTTGCACAAATTCTTGTTTTCATACGATTGGATAGAGCACTAAATATACCGGAAAGCACAGTGGCTGATCGTCACCTGGTATACGCTGGTATAGCCCATGTTTGAAAAAATCCAAATGGTTTCACCGCTGCTCGCTAGCACGAAGCATGTTCAGAGGATGTGGGCAGAAATTGGCTGAGCAAAACCTACCATTTGACACATGCAAAACATTGTACAGATGTTGATGTTGCTGTTGGAATTGGCAATGTTTTGGTTCCATGTGAAGCTTTCCTACCATTTGGTTGGCCATTCAACCATGTCTGGTTCCAAACAAGCTCGAGAAGATAAGGTCCATTCAAATGCATCATCAGTAACATCAATGATGACCCTTCTCAGAGCCCATGTAAGTGCATGAATGTGGGTCATGAGCAATGAATTTTGATGATATGTGGGTCATGCACCAATCATTGGATGGGTCAAACTGTCACAACAGTCATGACCAGTTGCTTGGGTGGTTGGGTCTCGAATGTTGATCCTAGCGATGACATGACAACTCATGGCATCAATGATGCTTGTCAGCGCAGTATTTGGGATGCCCAGCTGGGTGCTTTGGAACAAACACTTAGACTTATATATATATAATATTATATATATAATATTATATATATAATATTATATAGTTATAATATTATATGTATATATATATTATACATATATATATATCATATATATATATATATATCATACATATATATATATATATCATACATATATATATATCATATATGTATATATATATATATCATATTTATATATATATATATCATATCTGACAATCATTGATTTATAATCTATATCCCAGATGCTCTATGTATGGAATATTTACCTGCATTTGGGCAATTTTTGTGGTACATGTAGGTAAATGTTCCATACATGAGCATCTGGGTATATAATATGTGTTCAATATACTCTCTATGATTTGTCTTTGCCTTTGAGCTTCGGAGGACTCAACCAGATGCTATCCCAGTCCCACAACTGGGCAACCATAGCTCCAGTCGATCGTTATTTTCCAGATTGAGCATGCCACAAACTCTGTGGTAAATCTTCAATTTTTAGACCGAAATTCTGAAATGTGCTCTTAAGAAGATCCCTTGGCAGTTTCACCTAAATCAACTTTATCTCATTCTTTCTGCAGCCAAAGGACACGGTGGTGAGTCTAAGCATTCAAATCCCCTGCCCGGTGATATTAATGGCTTGAAACCTACCTGCTTTCTTGGTGGATGACTATTTATTTATTTATTTAGATAATGAAAACTACGGTGCTTGACTGCCTGACAAGGACCTTCCCCAAGTATATGGGCGTACGCATGCGTACCGCTTTCCAAATTCCAGTGTCCCCCACTCTCGGGTGTTTAATGATTGTTGGTCAATTGGTTACTATCTCATACTATCTCCATGTTTGTTGGTCAGGCTTCAATGATTTATCATGATTCATCTTGATATATACGTTTGATTTTTAATGACATGCCTAGGCCTGGACACTCAATCTACAAATGCAGATTTGTATTTTTACTATTTTCCTAGTGCCCGATAATTTTGGTATATATATATATGTGTGTGTGTATGTATATATGCATATATATATATATATGTTTATATGTTTTTTCACTAATTTCTCATGTGCAGGCAAACACCACCAGATTTGATGCCCTCGAGGCGCCACATACACCCCTTGTTGGGTTCCCAACAGTAACCCCCCAACAATAGTGGTGTAAGCAGGCTGATGGATGTTCATGATGTTCATGTCCAACAGGTATATTCCAGTATATCCTCAACAATTGGTTGCTTTGGTTGCTGAGTATTCCGATTTTATATCCTATTAGTGTTGCTTAAATCCTATTCGCACCACAGCCCCCACCTCGCAGGAGTAGTGTTTCTTATGCTATTCCCATTCCTGGTTGGTTATAGCTATGCTACATTGGTACCCTTCACATGCCACTTGTTGGGGAGGGACCTTTGGAGGGGGCCCTGGGCCCCCTCGATTTCTCGCATCTCAGGACAGCTTCCGCCGTTCCGCAGAACGGCTCGCAGCGCGCAATGGTCTCGGCTGCTCTGCGGGGACATTGGTCCAAGCTTCAGATGCTGGTGGAGAAAGGCGCCAAGCCTTCGGGTGGCGTTGGAAGGTATGACTTGGATAGATATGGGGTAACAAAGCTGTCTCATTGGGACAATTCTCAGAGATACAAAGTGGTGTCCCAGGTTCTTGGCAAAGTTGAAGATGGTTCAGTTCACTAGATCAGCTGTTGGGTTTCGAGTCATGAGATAACTATTAGATGGAAATTGAGTAACATAAACCAACAATAAACACTAAGGGGGAATCACCTTATTCTTATATTGTGACAGACACATGATGTGTTTTTTGAGAGAGAATGATCGTCAATGTCTAGGTCTGTGCATTTTCAGACACCATAACTATACCCCATTGACCCAATCATAAACTCGAAACGACTGGTATTTAGAGGCCAGGATGGTAGAACAGATTGTTCAAAATGGTGAACTGAACCACCAATTGAACCATCCATGTTTTTCTAAACAAAACCTGGTTCATTTAATTGCTTTAAACGGCCGATTCGTATTGTTTAGGGGCCAATGTGAATCGCAGTATTACCAGATATTACTATGCATTAACATGTTGCATTCTCTACATGGGTTCTACATCATATGTCAGTATGTTGGGATTGTTGGGGTACCACCAAGGAAGGTTGATTATGGCATAATGAATATGATGTGTTTGTGATGTCTTTGTGAGAGTACCATGATTGGGGTGCCATCAGCGCAAGGTGCAAACCTCTCCTCTGATGCCGCCATGCGTGCGTTCACTCTGGCGGCCGCAGCGCAGTCTGTGGAGCCTGGGTAGCGGCGGTAACGGGGAACGGGTCAGGATGATCCACGTTGCGTTGGATCAAAGTGGGGGAGATTTCAGATCCAAAATGACCAGTGAATAACAGGGGAAGTTGTTATGAGAGAATGACACACCACGATGTGTGCATGAATGACGTATAGTTATATTAAAGCGATGATTTTGAAGTCAGACCGTCGCATGGTGCTGGTCTGTATACAAGCTGCGGCCCTCTATCCTTAGCCAGGTTGGTTTAGTTTAGGTAGTAGGTTAACTGGTGGGTTTGTGGTATAATATATGTACAGTGTATATATATATATACACTGTATATACATATGGAGGGAGGTTTCCTGAAATCTGGGTACCCCCAAATCATCCAGCATTTTCCATTATAAAGCATCCAGCTATGGGGGTAGCCCCATGACTATGGAAACCCCAGGCAGCAGGGGCTCGTCCTGAGCAGCCCAAGATGTTAAAATCTCAGGCAGATGATGCGACCAAGATATACAAAGGGGAAACCCACGGGATGGCGTGAAATTTGGATGAACTACCAAATGCTTTGGAAGGCAAAAGATGGATAAAGAAAGGTAAAGATGTTGTCTTTTCAATAGATGAATCGCTTTGCACTGCATTTACATGGATGTAAATGCGGAGATAATTATGTACATGACAGAAACATACTATTGGTATCTATTTGTATTGCACAAAAAAAACAACTCAAACATTGTGTTCAATGATTAGCCGTGCTGGTAACACATTAGGCCAAGACAAATATGTCAAATATGTTTTCTTGTTACTCGTATGCTTGATTGGGTGTCTATCATTCGTCTGAATTGAGTCTTATTATTCATGCAAAATGGTAATAATCTACACTGTATGTCCCATTTTTCACATGTCCAACTATCCCATTCTACACTGTACATTCCATTTCCAATTGTCAACTCATAAATTTCCACTATACATCCCACTAATCTACACCATCTATATATATATATATATACATTGCATATTCCATGGTTCTTTCAATTCTGAATCCGTAAATCTCCCATTTTCCTATCACTTTTCCATACTTTTACGGATAAATCACCGGGTAAATCCACCAGGAGGTGCTGCAATGCTTCCTGCTGAAGGGCATTGATGTGGACTCCTGGGGCGTCAAGAAGGCGGCCATGGAGTTATCTCAGCCTAGGATTTGATGGGAACTTTCTTCGGATGTCTTGGAGATTGATAGGGATTTTACGGGAGTTGCGTTGTGGATTTGTAGGATTGCGATACGGGATTTTAGAGGATTTTAGAGGGATCTATAGGGATTTATGTAGAGATTTAAGCAGCAAAATGTGATTTAACAATGATCATGTGGTAAAGCCATTGCGATTTTTTAAGCAGGATCTTATCCAACATATTCGTACTTCGGGATCATGATGTGTTTTTTTAGCCACCAGAAACATCCATAAACCACCACCCCAACATCAGAAATGGGTTGGCGGATCTCAGCCATCGATGGAATGTCGCCAGGGGGATGGTTGAATCCCCAGGAAATGGGTTGAACATCATAACATAACCATTGGTTTTTTACTATTTTTAAATCAAACTCACATGTCTGTTTTCTTCCAATGATTTTGATATTTATTAAAATATATTATAATCATTATTAATCATTAATAATTCTTAAGTGGCAACAATGACGAAGGCTATGGGCAAATTGGCGAAAGTGGGGTTTTCATGTCCCGCTCAGCGAAGTCTCCAGAACGAAACACCAAAAGACTGTTGCCTGGCAATGCTGGCGGGATAGAAGCAACAAAAAGATGGACTAAACCAGCAGCAAAAAGGATGACAGATCCTCCCTCTTGTGAGCACAAATTTCAGAAGCAAGATCAAGACACGTTCATGGTTTTAATATGAATCATTTTTTGGGCTGCTTGAATCTTCCCAAATCCACAATTTGATTGAATCAGCTTGAAATCTAAATATCTTCCCGGCTGAATCAGCATTATTTAGGGATATCTCCCATTTTTGTGCAGGTTAAGCCATAACCACTGCCGAGACGATACTGGCCGCGTCGGTGAATCTGAGAGGCCCTTCTATCAGCCGCCACAACTGGAGACGTGTTGGTTCTGAGATGTCTCGTCCCTTGGAGCGCAGAAAAGTTCAGCTGAGAAGGGGGGGGTTGAGCCACATAAAATACGGGAAACATGTGAAAAACATGTGGAAACATGTGGAAACATAGGGATTTTCATAATAGGATCTTGATCAAGAAAAAATGCCAAGAACTGCGGGAAGATATCTGGATTTTTTTTTCGAAGCAAACATGCTATGTCAATCATAGACACAGGGGATTGGAGCCACAAAATCCTGGGGAAACATATGGATAGATACTCCACTGGTGGCTGAGAGTGTTTTATGATTTATTGGTGCATATAATATCACAATATATTATACAATGTGCATGTAGGATATCTATGGATATCTATGATCTAGGATTCTAAGTGATGACTTTGTGTTCTCCTTGTTCTGTATCACTTTCTGTACATATCACGGATCTCATCGGAGAATGCCAAAGAAACATCTGCACCAGCCAAAGAAAGGCAAACCTGTTCTTCCTTGAAAAAAAAGTTGCTGAAGTACCAAAGAGTTGCAAAAGGCTGATGCCTTTAGATACGGTTCCTATATATATATATATGTGTTGTTCAATCCTATAGTAGTAATTGTTACTGTATTGGGAAACAAACGGCAACAATGTGTTTGTTTTGAAGTATTTGGTGTGTAGTTTGTTCTACCGCTATCTTAATCAGTTGTTTTTTTACACAGAACTTATCCACATGTGCATGTGGACATGCCAACGATCTTTGGATCGATGTGAGCAGTGTTCAAAGCCTGGTTGAAGGTGGCATTCCCATGATTGTTTGTAAGAATCCCAGTGAAGTTCCATGAAACCACTGTTAATAAGAATATAAATGTTAATTTGTCAATTCATATTCCATCAAGCAACCATTATTATGTTCTTTTATAATCTTATATATATATATACATGGGTTATTCCAAACATATTCTATCTCCATTTCTGCTACGGTCGCCTCCTCTTCGTTGGTCACATCTTCCCTGCCGAGCTCTGAGGTGTCCAACCGAGCAGATCTCACATCCTGGGTTGCCCGACCATGGGAGGATGTCGACCGGGCTGATTTCACTGGTTTTTTTTTACTGCGGATATTCATGTGGGGGTGGGTCAAAACCTATTACTATCAATTTTAGTGGGATGAACATCTATTTACCAGCTATTTTGAGGTTCACCAGGGGTACAAGCTTTTGACCCATAGCCATGTGACTGAGGGCCCCCAAGATAGGTAAGTTGGTGAACTAGGCTTACTGTTGTAAAAATTATCATTCCGGTTAATTAGACTGGTTGAACGACTGGCGAGAACCATACTGGATGAACCAATCTTGCTTAGGGAACCAAGCAAACATGTGGGCGAAGGGTTGGGTAATTGGCGTTTAGCCAACCATGATTCTGGGGGGTTGTGAATCATTACAATTTTATTGCCAATTTAACCAAGCACAATTTCAACATGTTGGGGAAAGGATTTCTTGGATGCTGAAATAATTACACAGATAATCAGATAATTATAGAATTTTCAAATATTTCAGTCTATAGTAATATATATATATATAAATACAAATAAGCATTTAGTAATATTAATTATATGTAGTCTATAGTAATATATTATTTTTTTGTGGACATATTTGGATATTTTCGACTTTCGGCTAAAGCCCATGTCACTGACCTGCAGAAATTATCAACTTTGGGGCCGGAAGGTGAGGATCTTGTAGGAAGCTCGGACGCAGAGTAAACCACTAGGTTTGGGACATGTAAACCACCCAGTTCACTTGTACAACTAGGTTCATGTCATAGAACATGTAAACACCCAGTAGAGTTATATAACCACTTGTAGGTTTGACATCCAAAACTCATCAGGCCCTGATTTTGTTGCACGGATGTATCCCCACAGACTCTAGAGATTCCCGGTTTATCCGTGGAAGACCACCTGTTTATCGCAGATCAGAAACGCATTTGTCCGGATAAATTACGACAGTCTATAGTTGGAACCATGCCCATATGGCATAAACAAGGTCAGGTGTGAGAATTATTACTCAAATTCTCAGATGGTAATATAGAAATATGTAATATGTTACATACCATCTCAAAATATGTCTCTAAACCACAGAATTATCACAATTTATCACTCATAGATGGTATGTCACATAGCATTTTGTGGTTTCTATATAGAATATGTTACATTTTGAGGTTTACCATACCAAACTCAGAAACCACAGCTATGTTCCCATAGATTGTGGTTTCTCACAACGCCTATCAACGCCTGAGGCGGCCAAGCAGTCCTTGATCCTTGCGGCCGAGAAGGAACAGATGGAGGTGCCGAAAAAAATCAGTTATTTATGGTGCCCATGTACAGTAACTATGGTTAAAATATAGTTATTTCTTCACATATTACCATCATAAAATAGATGATAAAGCCATCTATAACTATAGCATCTAACTACAGTATGCTATAGTTGTTTCATTGATGATAAAGCGATCTAACTATACCATATACTATATCTAAGTCTAAGTATAGTTATTTTCATCAGCATAAGCCTTAGTTATGGGACTTATATACCAACTTAGCTATGAGGCACCACTTTGTGGAAGAATTTCATCAGTTTCCCAGGCTTTCCTTGAAGTGACCTCGCGAGCTCACAGTCACCAGAAATGGTGGTTGTAGCAAGGGCAAGTCCGGGGAAGTGCCCTCCAACATGGGCCCAGTTCAAGTTTAGGAATTCCTATCAAGGTGATATACAAGGATATCATGTTTAGGATCAAGGTGATATCCCATGTATATACATATATATATATATATATATCCCAGATCATGTGATATCCCATTTTTGTTGCTCAGATCCCCGTTGTTTGCCCGTTGGATCCCCAGTTCTTTGGGCAAAGCAGGTGCTGCGTTTCCTGCTGCGCAGCGGTCTGGAGCTTGGACCTGAGATCGGACACTCGGAGGGCCATCGGAGAACGGCGATTCAGTGAGTTGGGTACGGATCAAAAGTTGCATTGACCCATCAATGGGTAAAAACATACTGGTATAAACTTATTTGAATGACATATACCATATAAAAGTGAATGGAATGGATATTTTAGACCAACTGTTTAACTGGTATAAACTTAAAATGTGTGGAATAAAAAATCGACCAAATTTTACGGGTATCGGTATAGACAACGCCATGTATCAAAATGTGTTAAATTCAATCAATGGCTTTGGTATGCTTTGAATCTCGCCCAAATGGCAAAACATGGAAGTAAATTGGGGATGGTTTAGGTTGTTCGGCATTAAACACATAGCATACCTACTTGGTGGGGTTTCTGGTCCAAAGCCTCACACATGGCCTCACAGTAGGCACTGGAAGAGCAACATATCTGGTCACGGCAAAGCCACCAACAGAATTGGTAGAAACAGCCCAAATAATAAAATTCGGGATGTTCTTTGGTTTAGGGTCTACCACATCATGTTTTTTTTGTCACTATAGTAAACGATCAATTCATTGGGATGAAGTCGTGGGTTGGGATGAAATTTCCTGAGAAAAAACTACTGGCTGGTGAATATGTGACTCATACCCTGAGACTGTAGAGATCTACTGTGAACATTGCACTTCAACGGTTTTTTCAAGTTACACTTGCAAGATCTTCATTTAAATCCGAAGATGCTAGAGTCCTGAATTGACAGTAAAGAAGCTGTTCCAACCTCTTATTTGTATCTGAACATTACTTCCACAAGGGCGGGAAAAAACAATGTTTCGCATATTTGTTACATCTTTATTTACCCTGAATCTGATTTGCCCCCTGGGTATTTGGGTATTGGTAGCAACATCGTGCCAGTATGTGCCAGTCACGAACAGATACCAATGGGACAACTACCCACAACTGACTGGCCTTTCATCGTATCCCAGAATCGGTGCAGGGCAAAATCGTATCCCAGAATCGCAAGCGTTTGGGGGGAAAAACCTGGTCAAGGCGATATTGAAATCCATGAGCAAGTGTTTCCTGGAACAAATACCCACGGAATCGACGATTCATTGCAGTTTTCTGAGGAGACCTGGTGATGGAGACAGCAGCAACTCGCCGGATGTGCCATGTTGGGTCACGCGTCTCCTTTTAAATATGAATAACCAACTGACAATTAAAGTACAGTCATATTACCGTAGATATTGATTTCGGATGATAAAACTTGTAGCCGACAATATGATATTCGGGTATGTGAAACAAGCATGAGGGATTTGCATCCACTTACTTCATTCTCAGAAAAATCCATCTGAATCCATGTGCAAGAAAGAACTGACACCATTTGACACCTTTTCTGCCTACGTTTGGGCATCATTTTCCTTGTCCAAAGCACCGGCGATCGCCCAGGCGTCCAAGAACGATGTGCATGTGTTGCAACTTCTCCTGGACAAGGTGCTCCAGTGTTGTCCTTAGGGTTTCGCATCATCCCTGCCAGTTTCTACGGCAAAATTATTCCAATATTCTCCCAAAACGGTTCTTTGAAACATTTTGAAACTTTAAAAAGCATTTCGACTTGAAATCCAGTTTCCAGCAGAAAAAAACAGGGAAAAAACACCCATGATGTTGTTTTATCCACCGGTTTCCCAACGTTTCACCAGCGAACCCCCCCCCCCCGCCGCGGCCAGATGGCGCAGTTCCACTCCAGCGCCGGCGAAGCGGCGCTGGCCTCAGCGGCGCGCTGCCGCAGCTGGGAGGCCGATGAATGGGTCAAAACCTCTTACGATATTTGGAAAGTGAGGCCACTGCGATGTATTCATGATTCAGACCTTATGATATCAGTATATATTATATATTTATATAATTATATATATAATTATATATTTAATTATATATATACATATATATATATATCAGTATATATGTTGTAGATATATGACATTCATTGTATATGTGTAATAATGTTTATATATATACACATGTAAAAACAGTTGTGGCCATATATGAGTTATTATAAATGGTTATTTCTATGGGATCATATATTCTATACATGGGGTTTTCTTAGTACTTATAACTGGAATTTCGGGCCATAACAGTACGATATTTGGATTAAACATCCATGATAACCATTTAATCATTTAGAGGTATTTATATAGCAATGTGGGTATATTGATATAGCCATTTACATAAGATATAGTTGGTATTTAGATAACCGTTTAGCTCAGTGTATACCCAATATGGATATATAAACATCAATGATTGGCTATATAAACATATATATATATAAGTATATACATATATATGTAACTATTATAGATATAAGCCAACATCAATGATATGAGATGATATACATGTCTGAAACATCCATGATACACAGCCACTTGGGTATTTATATAGCCATTTATTAGATAGCCATTTATGTTGCCTACTATTATTATTATTGTTATCATTATTATCATTATATATATATCATGTATAATGTTTATGATTTATGATGGATAGAAGCCGCACGTTGCTATATTATATAATTGATATTTGGAATTAACATCCATGATATAACATTATATAACCATGTATTTTCGGTTGTTGGTCCCAGTGTTTTGACTCATACCCGATCCCAAATGGCTCTGCCATTTATTCGGGAGAACGATAAACACCGGAGATGAATGATGAGAATTACAGTAGCTCAACACATTCAATTGCCATATGTTTGCATGAGCATGAATTACCACAGTAATTGAGGATCATTGGCCAATTGAGGATGAAATGCCATAGTATACAAAGTATGATGATGATGGGCCTCTGAAAATGTGGATGAATGATCAGACTTTCCTCAATTGGCACATATCGGAATTACCACATGAAATGGACCTCAATAGCAATTGTCTATGGGGTAATTAGGGTATATTATATCCATAAAATTGCAATTTTTAGGGAACATGATTGGCCAGAAGCGATAGGGATTCCCTATTTTTAGACAAACTCACATGTGTGTGTGTTGGTTTATGTTGCCCCCACTACTTTGATACATCTACCATAAACCCAACAGTTATACATGTTAGACTAGTGCTAAATCAAGTCAGCCAACTTGAATCAATCACACGTCCCAAATTTTGCTGGTTCGGTTAAATCATGTTTAATCCCCATGTTTAGTGGTTAAATCATGTTAAATCCACGTGTTTGTTGGTTAAACCACCATTTTCGCTGGTTAAAATCACCACTTTTTGTGAGTCAAAAACGGGTCACATTGACCAACTGGCGCCCCGTCTTCTATGGAGGCACTTCACTTTCTGGTGCTGGCAGGGGTGGAGTTGGAGTCGCCATCTGGGCGACCTGACAGCGGCGACAGAAACGCGACAACTGGTGATTTTAGTGGGTTTTCACATGTTTTAATAGTGATTTCCATCGGCATTTTATGGGAATTAAGAAATACATATATAAAATCCACATAAATCACCATACAATGCAGTCAAATCCAATAATATCACCATTATATCTTATATATATATAATGGTGATTCTATTGGATTTGACTGCATTGTATGGTGATTGATGTTGATTTTATGGGATTTATCGTTATAACCAGAAGAAATCCCATCCTCCTAATGTCCAGATGGATGGTGATTTAACCAGAAAAGGTCGGTATGATAACACCTGGCGATCATTCATGGGGTTCTAACCGGAAGAACCAATGATGCTTCGTCACAGGTTAGTAGGGTTAGAACCCAGTTAAACATGGAATACATAACCCTAGAAATTGGGGACTTGCAATCACAAGGGTTCCTAACCAACTGCGTTTCCTGGAATGATCCTGAAAGGTTCTGAGCGAATTGTAGGGACAGTTCCTACGATTCCAGAGATGATGTTTGAGTAGGTTCCTGTGCTCCCATTTTATTGGGATGGATTGGTTGGAACACCAAGATGAGGATACCAGCTAGTCGGACCAAACCAATGGAGCTATAGGAACCAATCAACGAATGGAACCAGCGAGTCCCAATTTTTCTGGACCCCTGCAGACGCAGATTGGCGATCGGTGTTCACAAAGCATTCGAATGTCGGCCATGCATCTTTGCCTTTCGAAAATTTCAAATATCTGCTCCGGTGTTCAGAAAGGTGTTTTAGTATCTCTGAATATCTCTGGATAACATTGGACAACATGTTTCTATATTGGCCAGATGGAGGTCTCCTGAAATGGGGGTACCCCTAAATCATCCATTTGTAGATGGAGTTTCCATTATAAATCATCCAGCTATTGGGGTACCCCCATACTATGGAAACCCCCATAATTATATACATGTGTACATAGTATTAATCATTGTTAACCATCATTAATCATCATTAACCATCATTAACCATCATTAACCATCATTAACCATCATTAACCATTAAACCCATTAAAACCCATTAAAACCCATTTAAATCTCATTTAAAGGCCATTAAATCACCATTTGTTGATGTAAAACCACAGTGGCCTTCCAGTTCTTTCACGCTCCAAGGCAAGTCGCGTTGTTTGCCGCCGCTGGCAGCAGCAATGGCTTCATCCTGCGGGTCTTGGAAGAAGGAGGTTTGGACACCTCCTCCGACGCCCGGCTGAGAGATTGCCGGTGGATGAGTGGTGCAGGAGGGGTTATTATCTTATACAAAAAGGAGGATTAGATTAGATCATAATGAATGAATTGGGATGAATTGGGAATCAGATTCTTAACAATCTGCTCTATATTGGAACATATCCATTTCTATCTCGTCCCGCTACTCTGGATCTTAAATGTGGGAATGTAAAGCCCCCCCCCTACATGTATGATTTGTGATTGCAATTGCGCATTCCAAACTATATGTTCGAATTTGTTCAGTTGTAATCAGTATACGATGTATACGTTTAACCACAATGACCCCTTACACTTACACAACTATGATCGACTCTACACGTATAGACAGTTGTGGTTTTTGGCTTGGACAGTTGCTTGGCTTTGGTGCTTGCCGTATTTGGAACATGACCGATATCATAACCCTTCAGGTTTGGTAGATACGTACACTGTACTTGTATGTACTTGTATTAATTTGAAATCTATATTGCCCATGTTTTTTTCACTTCTGATTAATATATTGTTAATTGTTACCCCACTATCCCCTCAGCACTCTTTTCGTTCCTGCGCGTGCATCCCCAGTACAATATATCTAAGATACTAGGGCTGGAACATCTTGGAACATGCTTAGTTGGCTTTCTCTATCTACAGGTTTCGGTTGTGTTTGGTGGTTTATTCAGTGGATCGGTTTCGCGAAAAACTGCAGATTTTCCCTAAGCCAAAAAGACCAAGTCTGGGATTTATGCATTTAGCCCACATTTATGTCAAGATGAATTATCAATCATCAATTCCATCAAGTTAGGTAAGTTATTCTCCACCTTCTCTTGGGAACTTCCGTGTGATCCTCCCACCTCCCACGGTGCTCCACGAGGAACGTTCACAGCTGACCCTGCGAAGCGCTCGGCACCGGCAGCGCTTTGATCGCCGCCTGCGACGCAAGCGCCACTCGTTTTTTCTCGCCTGACCTGATGGACCCAAGGAAAATGGAGAGATCAACGGCCAAAGAGCTTGAAAGATCAGCAAAAATGGATGAATCGTGGAGATCTTACAAAAATAAATGATGCACGTGGATGAGTATACTATAGGATAAAACTCACTTACACTTGGGATTAGGTTGCTGATTATGATGGGGGGGTTAGTTGCAGGTGGTACTTCAGACCCCCACTTTGTTTGGAATGCCGGTGTTGTGGGTCAGATCCTCGTTTTATCATTGTGCCTATCATGAATTTGTTTCAGGATAAATATATGAAACTAGATCACATATGGCGGCATTCAGATCAAATATAGCTAATACTTAGGTCATAATATTCGGATCAAACACTCTTAATAAACAAATAAATCACATTAAACATTCCATTGAGATGTTGGTGTTGTAATGTTTTCATATGTTTTCATACATCCTCATTTTCTTATGGCGCAGACGACATGCCATATGGCCCCCTTGGTCGTCGCTGAGGCCTGGAATGCGACCTGGACTCCTTCGCCCTGAAATTTGGGAAGATCGTGGCCCGGCCTGGAAGTTTGTCTAAATTCCCGGTGCCAGACGTTATAATATCGTATATCCGTAGCTTAAATATTATATAAGATAAGTATAGATAACTTGTTTATAGACCTGGATGTAACTATGTAAAGATAAGTTATCTAAGATAAGTATAGATGACTATGCCCCCAGTCACATTATCTTATGAACCCATCTGACTATAGTTATTTCATGTTATTCAATCACCATAGCTTAGGCATAGTCAAGCTACTGAACTAAACCAACTAAGCGCTCACGACTTGGGGACCCTGCGCGGCCCGAGAAAAGCACGTCCGTCAATCTTGTTACCCAAAAAATATGGAACCAATTCTCACAAAGTATTCAAAAACTGGTCACCGCGTTATTTAGGTACATATAGGTACATATATAGGTACATAATGTTTTATAATCCGTTATTTATATAATATCGAGTAAACACAACGTCAAACAACATTGCATGCCCTAATTTGAATAAGCCATAATAAGCCACTATTTACTGGGTGAGATGCTTTCTGAGGAGACTCTTGCTGGGTAATCAAACATGACCAGCTGGGATATCCGCAGTGGAGGTTTTAATTCTATAAAGCATGGACTTTCCATTGCCATGCTTCTTTTTTGTTCGATGGTACTTCCTGCTTGGAATATCTTGGAATGGTGATCAACATTGACATGACTTTGAGATGTGTTCGAATCACCACAGGTTTTAAGGTGAATTTTGATAGGGCCAACCCACAGAGTCCTTTTCAATTTTGCATTTGGCAGGGGATCAACAGTTCATAGATGTACTTTCTTGTGCCAAGCCAACTATCTTTCCTCTTTCCTGACATGAAACAATAACACCTAACTATTGCTTGACATTGACTGGGAACTACTGGGAATCTCTGATGACTTACCTTAGTTGTTGCCAAGCTGTCACGGTCTTTACCCTCTGAGAATCACGGCTGGACAATCCTGAAATTTATAGATGATTTCCCCAGCTATCCCGGGGAAAAAACCTCCATTTATAGATGTTGATTGGGGAATTTCGTCCATGTTTGATTCCACCAGGCCTTGAGAGCTAGCCGTTGCGCAGAGGAAGGGCGGTTCCTGAAAGCGTTGACAGCCGCTGTCGTCCCAAGGCTCGGGGTGACCTGTGAAGTGAACAAATGCCTGGTTAGAACATCTGAACATCTTAGAACACCGTTCTCTTCATGGGACAGTTTAACGGTGTTCAGTTTTTCTGACATCGAACTGGATTTCCCATAATTTGTCCCTTAAATATCCTTAAATTAATTTATGTTTTTGTTTCCCTGTGACGAAAAAATCATTTTCAGTTGCAGAGCACCTCTGGAGGCCACCTAGTTTGAGACCGACCATCGAGACTCAGGCACAGATGCGAGTTCAACACTTGAGGGCTAAGCGGCGAAGTTGGTTGGTGAGTTCAAATGACATTTTGGGAACATTAACAAATCTACATTTTGTTTTTCACATATTTCACCATAGGGCTTATCCATGATTATCATCAATTCTATGTTTTTAGTATGTTTTAATATCATTGGAATAGATCGGCCAGGTTAAGCTCTGGTTCTCTTAAGGGGCCTTTTTTGGAATAGTAGCCATGAGCCACGATCAACCGTACAGGGTTGGTCCACCACCGCTCCGGCATATCCTTTGACATGCTCAAATCCCTGCATAGGGCTAGCGCTGTTTAGTTTCTGAAAATAATAAACCCTAAAGAATACACCTTGTATCCCGAAAATCAAAAACCCACAACCCTAAAACCCTATGAAACCTAAAGTCAAAATCGATGCGTATCGTGAGTGTTTTCGTTCATCTTCAGGTGACAAGTGTATGATAGATATTGTCTCGGTGTGTTCTTTGGATGTGGGCGAACGTGGGGGTTGGCGCCAGCATGTTTAAACGCACATGTTTATGTGGTTAAACATTGTTTAAACCTTGGATTCGTTTAAAACGATGAGCGCAGAAGTGGCCAAAACCCTGCAACCATTGAGTTCAGGGGTACCCGATTATTGGATCACTAAACCCCCCATTACACAAACGTGCGATAATGTGGGATACATCTACCGTAAAACCAACCGTGAAACTAGAAATTTCCAGCAACTTGGCAAAGGATTGGGGCCCACCAGCCACCAATGGTTCAATGGCTACCCACTTTTCGGCAGCAGGATGCGACCAGCATCGAGGAGGCAGAGGGGGTAGCGGAGTCGGCGGAGCTGCGTGGCGGAATTGAGGATGAGCAGCTGGACATGGAAGAAATGCGAGTGCCTCAGGCTGAAGTCAGTGTAAAACATCTATAAAGATTGGAATGGGATAAAAGTGGGGGAATGCCCACTAAAACTTGGATGAACCACGAAAACACTCTATATATACTCGTAACTTGTAAAAGTGGGGTAGAAAACCAAGAAACCTTCACAACTGTTTGTGATTTGAATTGGGGAACTTAAGTATGGTAACAACAACAACAACAACAACAAACAACAACCACAACCACAACCACAACCACAACCACAACAACAACAACAGCAGCAGCAGCAGCCGCGGCAGCAGCAGCAGCAGCAGCAGCGGCAGCAGCGGCGGCAGCAGCAGCAGCAGCAGCAGGAGTAGTAGTAGTAGTAGTAGTAGGAGAGGGGATATAGAGAACAACAACAGAGACGTATTGTATGATAGTGTTTGGAGGGTGGCTCAAAAATTATCCAAATACTATAATACATTGCTGACAAATATTATTATGATAAACATTGTCTATCCATTTATATGCTGACAATGTTGCCGACTGATAGTAATCGATAATGGGAGATAAGTTGTGCCTCTGTAAATTGGTCTAGAGTCTAGAGTCTCAGCCAACCCATCTTGAAGACTTGGTACGTTTATTTTCCAAAACATTTTTCACCAGAAAATCTTCCCATCCTGCTGACGGGTCATGGCACCAGGATTCGGAGCTAGATCTGGATTTCTTCGCGCCGCCGCTCTTCACATCCGCAGCTCCCCCACATCTGCCTCTGCCGCTGCCGGAGCAACCAGCAGAGCAGGAGGAACTGGACCCACACGTGGAAGACACTGCGGAAGCCAATCCAAAGCTGGAGGAGGCTCAACCAATGGAGCGATGTGATGTCCGTATCTGGGTTCTGACTTGTGTTTATTTCATTTTTTGTATGTTATTTTTGGCTGATTTGAGATACTGGATCCGTTCAATATATTTCAAGTATTTTCACGTATTGTTGCAGAATTTATCGTTTTTCATCCATGGGTAGGATGATCCAGTTGATATTGTAAAGCCAATTTGTCCCAGTAAGCAACCATTTGGGAGCTGGCAGATATCACCCGAGGTGTACAAGGGTATACGGTATACCCAAAAACAATGACCAATTGGGGATGATGAAGCATTATTGGGTCTACCTCTTCAATGTCATAGTTACATCCCATTCATCCACCAGTTTTCCTCCTTAACTTGCCATGTTCGATTATTCAAAATATGCATGTCATTCGTTCGGATGGTTTGAATTCGTGGACCCAGGTAGATACTTAGATCAGCTGATTGTCTCTGCGCTAGAATCCTGCGGAGCGATGGACAGCGATGCTTGGCCTTAACTGCGTGCCAGGGGACGCCCTGGCGTCGGCATGCCGCCTGCCTAAAATCTGGGTAACTGGATGGATAGTCTAAACTGTACTTTAAGACTGTGATATTTGAATTTCAATTGATATACATGTAAAATATATGATAACCTGCTTTGAGTAAAAGGTCTCTGTGCAAGATATCTCGGATTGGGCATATTGTGCCATAAGATGCATCAATATAGTTGTTCTGCTAACCACTGCAAATTCCACTGCGAGGCAGTTCAGCAAAATTGACTTCAAACTCATGCACCGTTCACTGTTTGGTTGGAAAATTCGAACGTGGCGACCCGGCTTTCTGAACAATAGTTGACTACCAAACCTACGGATATCGGTAGTATGTATACGATGTATAGTATGTTTGCTCTTAGACCATCAAAGCAACACAGTGGCTGATCATTCAGCAACGTTTAATCTACCCTGGTTGCCAAAGCGCTGGCTTGAAGGCACCCAACCGTTGATATACCGTTGATAAATAGTTCCTCGATCTGGACTCTACTTCCAGCCCTGAAAATGGAACATGGAATGATGATATTTGATGATCATGTCCTCGTCACTTCGCGATCTGTTCAGGCAAAGCACGGAATGATGATCATTTCACCATTTTCACCCATGTCTACCATCTGGTTGTGACTAACATAGCCATGGAAAATCACTTTATTTTTAAGTTCGGTAAACCATCTATTTCTATGGGCCATTCATTTTCCATGGCTATGTTAGTCATAACCAGAGGGTACAGTAAATCCCATTAAACCATCATAAAATCACCAGTAAATCACCATTGAATCCCATTAAACCACCATTTTCCTATGGTTTTTCCATGGTTTTCCTATGGTTTTTGGTGGCTCATTCCACTTCCACCAGCCGCTTCCTCCAGCCGAGGACAGGCCTTCGATGCTTGCCGGCACCGAACGCCGCAACAAAACGCCGCCAGTGGCCTGGCACGGCTGGAAACGGCTACTTGAGACATCTTGAGACAACCCAGAAAAAATTGTGATTTTGGAGATTGTTTACATTTTATTATATATATATATATATATGTTATTATATATTTAGTATTGGGTTTACCAGATTAAGCTATTTTGGTTCCAAGAACCAAGGACTTGTTTTCCATGTCTTGCAGCAGTTCATTGTCATTTTCAGAGGTTGTTTGTTCTGCAGCGCTTCAGATGGGCAGTGAACTCTGGTACACTTTGTGCCACAATGATTTTCTCACTACTGCTTCAGAATGCGCAAGTGATTTCTAGCCCACCTAGCACTATCCAAGAATATAGACTCTTTAGGCCCGATCTGTCCTTGGCCAGAGTAAAACCAATGCCATTGAACACCCCAAACAGATCAGTCAACTGGTGGATTTTCACCAGCCATGGTCCAATGGTTCAACTGGCTGAGTAGGCTGAGTATGACTCAACTGGGCTGCTGAGGCGATAACACCTGAGCCAGTCACTGAAGCTGACATCAAGCCACATGAGGCGCAAGGGTATCTGGTGCGGTCAGAAACCTCCAGCACTTCACCGCCAGGTTCACGGAGAGAGATTCCATCAGATTTGGGATGCGTAGACATTTATGATGCTAGATGTAAACATTGGTTCAGTATCTTGACGAATTAAAACATATTGTTGCCATACAACAGCTGGGATTTACATATGATTTGTGACAGTGAGAAGGCCAGAAGGCCAACTTTGATGGGATTCACATGAGCCAAACCCCTTGTCACAATGGTGTTCCAAGACACTACAAGGGTTCTATGGGCCCATGAAGGGACTTAACATCGGCTCTGTGTTGTATAATTTATTCAAGATATGAATTATTCAAGGCCACACAGTATTTGGGTAGATGATGGTAGATGATATTCTCTCCGTAGGCCTCACATCCAGTTCGGTACCTCCAATTTGGGCACCTCGAATGGCTCGAAAATTTGGAGCCTCACCCAGGACCATCAACACCAACCAGGCTCATTTGTTGGCTCTGAAATAGGTGTAGATCTCATACAGCTTCCGATGAACCATGGATTATGCTGGTCCAAGTCACCACTGAAACATGTGGGATGGGACCCCATTGTTCGCGTGATCACATCATCAGCTGCTATACTCTGCATGCATCTCCAATCTAAAAAAAAATGTCGTTTCCTCAAACAAATCTCCACAATTTTCGCCAAGTTACATCTGCAACTGGACAACCCTTGTAGAATTTACATGTTTTGTTGGTAAAATCTCTAGAGTTCGGCCAAAAATTCAGCACCTTCGACAGGTCTACGAAGACCTAAGGGTGGCCGCCAGCCGTGGGCAACAGGAGCGACGGACGGTGTGGTAAAAAATCACCAGAAACGGGTGCTACATTATAGACCATCCTCAAATGGTAATCAATGTGGTTAAAACAATAAGCCACCCCATGTTTGATGGTCTATACCACCCATAAAAATGGTGATGATATGTTATTAATGTGGTAACAATGCCATAAACCATCCCCCAGTCATCACCATTTTTATGGGTGGTATAGACCAGCACACATGGGGTGGTGACTATTATTGTTTTAACCACATTATTGGGTTGCCCATATTACCCGAATCAAAGATGGCGGGGGGCAGGAAAATCTGACATCAATGGGTTTTCAATGTGAAAAGTATCGAAAGAAACGGTTGATTGTCCAGCAGGCCTTGTTTGAATACCAGAGGGTATGGAATATGTCCATGTTTATTAGGTAAATAATCATCATCATCATCAGTGGACCATGTTCATCAGTGGGCCATGTTCAAAAGCTATGTACCGATTACTGGGCCGTGTACATTAAAATGATGTAGTGCCTTTATACAATTAGAACGCCCTACTTTTCGGATAGATTCTGGCTGGATTATCTGTGGGTCCTTTCAATTCAACCCAATTTTGAGGCAAAAACCTTCAGCATTCAGCCCACGATTCCCAATATTCATCAATATTCCAGTGCCTTTCTATACCATTCATAGTACTGGGTTCCTTTTTTCTTTGGGACAAACTGTGCCATGTTTGGCTGGTGAAACCACCACAAGTGATGCCATTGTTGCATGCTGGAGCAAATACAGCAACATTAATTTGAACTCCTCTTGGGCTGACCGGACCGGGGTCGGCTGCAGTTGAGGTTCGATCTTTATCATTTACCCACAGCCAATATGTTTGCTTAACCTCCCATGTTTTGTCCTTTATATCCTATCCTTTATATCCTTTATCATCCATATCATCCCCAGATGCATCCATATGCATCCTCCATATCTATCTCCAGCAAAACCTTCCATGGTTCATGGTTAAACTCACCACTTGGAGGATCATCCCATAAATGTGTTCTAATCCCAGTTGTTTAACCAGGTTTTAGTGGTTAACCTCCAATATGCATCCATTTGCATATAGTGAAAAGATGACCTCCATTCCTGGGAATAGTGGGGATAGTAGGAATCTCAGGCAAACCTCCCATTTTTCCCATTTACTCTCTGGTGAACTAATCATAGCTAATCATAACTATGGAACATCACCATTTTTTAGGCTAAATCAACTATAAGTTGCCATTTTCAATAGCTATGTCCGCCATTGCCAGGAGGGTGTATATATACGTGTATATTATATATATATGGTACCTGCACCATCGAATGTAGTTCCTTTTGATCCATGATCAAGTTTGATCAAGTTTTCTTGGCCTTGACAAGTTTTTTTGTCCAAGCCAACTTTTTTTGTCGGACCAAGAATACTTGTTCGCAAGAACAGAAATCTTGAAAACTCCCTTTTCCAACCGCCTGCCTCACATAGTGATCAAGCACGGCCGCCGCTGGATCGGCTTCTCCCGTTGGTGGATGATGTCGGGTGCCCAATTCTGGGTCTATTTCGCTGAAGGTATTATGGGCTGCAAAAATCATAAAGATAGATCTTAATAGAATCAGGGGACCTATGGATGCTCCATATCAAAATGATTCTGTACGCTATTTGGCTTACAAGGGATTAGATAGACTGCCTTCTAGGTGACGCAATGGTGAAGCGTTCACTTTCAAGTAGTTCAGAGAAAAGTATGCGTGACCACTTTGCTTGGGGCATTCCTGGTGAGCTCGCAAAGCTTCCTACGGCTGCCATTGAGTCTATCAAGACACTTTACTATGTTCCTTTGGCTATATGTTACCGCCATCAAGTATATATATGTTTTGATGTTTTTTGTTTTTCTTCCCTGTTTGCCACTGTTTCCCCCTGATGTTTTACCTGATTTCCCTTCACCATATCAATTTAAGTTTGCTTCGCTTCTCAATTAGCCCGAGGCTATCAGAGATGACTGTGATTTGAAAATGAGAGCAACCTCGTTCAAGTCAATCTTTACGTGGCCCGCAGAAGAAGGAGCTATCAATGAAAGCAGTGTCAGGGCAAACTACCAGGTGATCAAGCATGTGCCAAAGCCATTTGGTTTGTGGAGTGATATCATCCTGGTTCCCCATGGCAAGTGGGTGATAGAAGCTGTTGCTGACTGCTGGGAGGTGGGTCGTTGGATTGGTGGGGTCTCTGGTGGGATTGGTTGTACTTTGGGAATGTGCTAATATAGTAAACCTCCCTCGTCTTTATACACCTTCTAACCTGCATCTCCTAGCCCGCCCCTTCAGGTGCCTATCAAGAGCAAGGCTGATGCATGGTCTTTGAGAAAGATGACTAACCATGTGAGGAGGCTCCGGTCCAGGTCTGGGAAACAAAGGCATGGTGAGTTACAGGACCTTGCGGAGCCTTTGTTACATTAAAAAAAGTATCTTTCTGAGAAATGTTTTGGTGATTCTTAGTGGTGTTTTTGGAAAACATGAAAGATAAGAACTATGTTTTTTGTTCCCTTACCGCCCCCAATCAATGAGGATGCTTTTCAAGCTCATGCGCCCCGCGTTGATGGACCTGCTCCAGCTGTGGCGGGGCCCCCTGAACGTGATGATGATGATGCCCACGCTGACGAGCCGCCCTTGCCAGTATCTCCTCCAAGCCCAGCCTCCCCACTGCCCAGCCCACAGCACGGCCCATCCCCACCGCCCAACCCACAGCATGACCCATCCCCACCACCCAGCCCACAGCACGGCCCATCCCCACCTCCCACCCCACAGCACAGCCCATCCCCACCACCCAGCCCCAAGTTTAGCTTTGCGGATGGCCAGCGCCCCTCATGCCCACAAGCTACATGGGACCCTGAAGTTGATAATAGCCAAAGAATGCCTGGTTTGACCCCTGAAAATGAAGCTTGGTTGGCACACCAAAAGTCTTTGAAAAGTGCTGCTTGTACCTCGGTCTCTGATGATGCCTCGGTTCCCTCAACAGCTGTGGATTCCCCTTTGGATCCCAAAGCCGCTTCGAATGACAACATGGTTTGCATTTCTGATGAAGATGAACCTGTTCTTCCCCCCAGAGACCTTGCCAATGCTTTAGATTCTGCGGCTAGGAAGGAAGAGTCTACAGGCCTGATGCAAAAACAAAATATGGTTTTGGGGTTGTTTATTTATGTTTATTTTCCACATTGAGCCCCAAGAGTACGGAGAAGGGGACAGTTCCACGTTTTGAAATTTGATTGTTTGAAGTTTTGATGAGTCCAGGGCATCAAAGACATGAAAAAAAACATATGAAATAAGTACATCATGAGAAACAAATGAACTGGTGTCAGATAGCTAGGCACCCCTTGCTTGCCGCAGGTTCTGTCCAGGACACGGGTGTGGACATGGATGAACTGGGGTCTCTACACGAAATTTGCGCTGATGAAGGCCAAGATCAAGGCCAAAGTTGGGAAATCGTCAACACATGTGGATGCTCTCCAGACCTTACCTCTTTTTCCTGAGGTTGTTGATGTTCCCAGCCTGCACCCAGAAATACCCAACATGCACCCATGATTACCCAATGTGCCATGACTATATGAAAAGACTTACAAATTCTTACAATGTGCCATGACTATATGTGTGTGTTGAAGAAGGTGGCAAGGGTGATAAAATTCTTACAATCTTGAACATCACACAAACATGAATAACAGTTTGTTCTTGTTTTGGTTCTGTCTTTGCATTAAGGAGGTTGCCGCCCGATATGCTGAGCCCAGAGGATCAGACTTGGAGGCAGGAATCATCAAGCGCCATGTGTAGGTTGATGGGATTGACATTAGTGCTCATGGATCTTTACTATAGGCTTACTGCCCTTTATTGACATTGTTAGTTTGTTAAACATGTTTATGGGGGCATATTGCATCTTTCTGCCGCCTGCAGGCAGCAGTGGAAGATTCTGGCATCAAACCTTCCTCCGGCGAGTTGCCAGTCCCACGTGGTGCTGGAATGAAACTTGCAGTGTGTTATGTATGCATGTGTGCCCAAATGTGCCCAACATATGCCTATAACATTCTATAGCATATGATGTGCTTGCCAACTTTTCACCATGTATGGGGTGGTGGTTATAGGATGTTATAGCATGCGGTTACTATTTTTTTCAGCTAAGGATTGGGCTGTCAGACCCATTAGAGGCACTTCCGAATGAAGAACGAGCACTCACCAGAAAGGATCAGAGGGATCTTCGTGCATCAAAGGGCCGCGGGAAAGGAAGGGGTCGGGGTCGGGGAAAGAAAGAACCTGAAGTTGAGGATTTGCCTGACCCCGCTGATGATGTTACCCTCCCAAGCAATCCTTGTCCTGATGCAAAGCAGGCCCCCAGCCATGTTGTTGACACTGACCAGCATGAATCCCAGCCGAACACTGAGCAGAAGCATGAACCCAAGCCTGCAAAGAACAGAAGGGGGAAATCGAGAGCAAATGCTGAACCTTCCAGTGGATCGGCCGTTGCAGTTCCAAAGGTAAAGGGAAAGGCCAAGCCCAAAACAAAGGCAAAGGCGAAGGCAAAGTCTGCAGGGAGGAAGCGAAGGGCCCCAGCCACCCAGCCCGAACCCAAGCGTAAGCAGCGCAGGCCTGCATGTGATGCCCCTACCCCCATCCCAGTGGAGAAGCGAAGTGAGTTCAAACAGTTTCTTAGTTTTTAGGAATTACTTAGCCTTGGCTAGGGCGGTAGCAGTGGCAGTACTGCTCAAAGAATCCTGGTGGTGTTGAAACAAAGGAGCTGTGGAATTGGTTGAAACCAACTGTTGAACAAAGTATTATATTTGAAAAGCAAAACAGTTGATGTTCACAACATTCCAAAGACCCTTGAACCATCTTAATGTTTGGACAGGCAACAACATGATTGCAAATCTTAATGTTGGTGCTCATGCCACCAGAATTCTGACCCTCGCTCGCGAGCCACATGTGCTTCTCGTCAGCCTTCCTTCCTGCAGATGGGCGAGGGATAGATCGGATGAGTGGATGGTGTAGAATATTCTTTTGGGCGGCGGCTCCGCCAAAGAATCACCATAATCCAATCCAACATGGACTGCAATTTTTCAGATTGCATAACCAAAATGCCAAGGAATCATCTGTTGATGTGTGTTTGATCATCGTTGGTTGTAATATAGTTGACACTCATATAAAATAATATGTGTTTGTGTGTGTGTGTTAAATACTTGCTAATTTGCACCAATATTTGTAAGCCAAAGTTCGGAGGCCACAGGTTCCCTTTGTCCAATAGACCTCCAAGCGGTAGTCAGCAAAGACACCGAGCAACCTGAGCTGCCGGAGAGTCACATAAAATATTTGAAATTCCTTATCCCTGCCATCAAATTATACAGCAAACAAGTATTAAGATTTGGAAGGTTTGCCAATGGGATTGAAACAAAATGGGAAGAACACAAACAAAAACCATGCAGTACAGGGACTGAAAAACATTCACCTGAGCTGGCCGCGGCAGTTGAAGTTTTGCTCAAAGAGCTTTGTGGGTAGAGCATGGTCGGTCATAGGCTTGGGAGTGGCCAAGGAACCAGTCAATTTAACAATTGGTTGTCATTATCCATTTGGGTTCAATATTAAATTATATAAGATATATGGTCTCATAAGTCTGTCCCCTTCAAACTCAAAACATGGCTTTGGTGCATAATTTCAGCTATTTCTTGTACCCTGGGTGGCCATATATATCCCAGCAGGAGTGACCATGTAAGATTCGGTGGCGCAAGTCGCTGGGGAGTGCGACGCTAGCGCACATGGAAACCAATTGAAATGATTGATCCTTGTGGTATTAACTGCAGGGCTGACACATGAGATGTGCTCACAGCTGAATCGTGGCTAGTTGACCGAAGATTTGTCGATCCCGGCCAAAAAAATGGAGGTGTTTGCTTTGTAAGACCCCTTCAATGACAAGTGCCAATCAACCTTCAAGTCCTTCAACCTCCCAGACCCCAGGGTTAGCTGTCCACTTCTCACTTCTCACTGTTGGCCTGGCTGAGGTCCTTGCATGCCACGTGGCTCTTCCAATCTTCAAAGATACCTTGGGTCCACCAGCGGTTGCGCTGACATGTTTGCTGCGTGAGCATGGGGTGTGGGTCCGTCACGGGGACAAATTTTATGATTTGGAATTTGGAAACCAATATCAATTGAAATATAGATCTGGCTCCCAGCTGACCCGTGGCTAGCAAAACTCGAAGCCATGCAAGCTTGGGGCATTGAACAGCTGGTTCTTGCATTGTATGTGGCCAGGGTGCCAAAGGCAGGGTTTGGACAAATTGCTATTTCCAACAAATTAACAAAGCTTGAGGGGGAGTACGATGGCCCATCTTGTTTCTCAACAACCATAATGGGTGTATATATATAATTCATGGGGGCTCAGGGATTGGAATGATGGTTCAGGCTGTGGCAATTTGCTTACTTCTATTGATGTGGAGTGTCAACTTGAATGTGTCACGAGCACCTTGGCCTATAACCCCAGTATACAATCATTATAATATAAACGTCATAAATATTGGGTTATATTGGGTCTCCCCGCTTAGGGATCCTTTGTGGGCATCGTATTTATTTAAACAAATATGTTGGGATGATGGTATCGTAAATGTTTAAGCTGATTGGCTGATCCGGGATATTGTCAAATATATAATAGTGTTAGCCCTGTGCTTCCACTGGCCCAAGGAATGGCGATTCATGGAAGTATTCGCTGGAGAAGCACAGGTCACATCGGAGCTACGGTTGGCTTCCTACATGGGTGTCAGCCTCGACATCGTCTATGGTGGGAGGGCCATGGACCTTTTGACCCCTCCCGGCATGGCGTTTCCTAGTTGGATTTAGACAACTTTTACATCCAATACGATATAGGTGTGTCCCAGAATTGGGGATCTTGAAAATAAATCCCATTCATTTAGAATTATACCTGTGGGGATCCCTAACTGGCATCCATTTTTGAGACATGTTCATCAATTGAATCAATGGACCTTAATCACTTCCCCAATATGTTTCATGCAATAACCCCTCACGAATATTGGTGCCTTATATGTGGGGTTCAATATTGGGGATGTCTCTACATGAGATGCCCTTTTTTTCCATTTAAAGCATACTTTTAAGAGCTAAAAAAGGGCACAACATGTGGAGACACACCCTTATTTAGGGGAAAATAATCCTTTATCCTTTACGGTATTTGTGGTGTCAACCAATTAGGTTGGCGTTGCTCACCACCTTGAAGCTTGAACCAAATTCAATAGGAGTGCTTGCTCCAGTATGCAGCTCAATGGGCTTTCTAGCTTCGTCCTTGACGCAACGAAGCTTTACACTGCCTTTGGGGGACATACGCAAGATTCCAGTGGCCCAGGGAAATTTGTTGGCATGCAGGTACCTTGATAGCAACCATCAATTTTCAAATTGTTTGATATCCACCCCCAAAAAAACATAGGAGGTTCCCAATTTAACCCAGGTCAACTATAATAGGAGGTTCCCAATCCAACCCAGGTCAATTATACTGTGTTGGGTGCTGGTGGCCTTAGGGCATTGCTTTCTTTTGGAGCAACCAAAGGGATCTCACTTCCGGTCATTTCCACATTGGCGGTTCTTTTGCAAATACATTTGCAAAGCCACTTGGTTGTATAGGCTTAGAAAACATTTTGGTATATTTATGGTTTTCATGCTACTGTTATTTTGGGAATCCATTATTATAGTATAAATTATCCATTGTGCCCATTCTGCCTCGTGCGAGGTCTTTCGCCAGGGCGTGTGGATGAGGCATTGGGGCGCAGACTCTTCAAAGCCAACACTGTTATGGAGCAACAGTGTGTCGGTCCAGGAGCTTAGCCTTGGCCAGCTGACAAAGGACGGTGTGGCTTTTGCGTAGGAAAGAGCTGGGGCCATATAGATAAAACAGTAACCAGTGAATTTACCGGATTCTCCCAGATATGGTTTTGGGAAACCATTATTTTTTAAATCTGTATAGATTGAAACTGTGATAACATTTTGTTGTCAACAAAATGTTCAAATTGCAGGAACAGAGGAAGGGATCTGTACCGTTGGCGAAACAATATACCGATTCAAGTGGCAAAAAACGGTGCCATGGTGTGAAGAGAAGGTTAAAACGGTCGCAGCCCCTCACCTGCACATTGCAATTTTCCCATTTTACACCTGTCCAGCAAGAAATAATTTTGGGGCCATGAGTGAGATCTGGTTTAGGATCAATTTTGGGCCATAGCTAAGGGTTTACACAAGCCCTTTGCACGGCGTGTGGCTTCTATATTTCCTCGTTTCCGTGCTGGTGTTGCCCCATTGCGGAACCCTCAGGACTGGTAAACCTTGCCAATGTTTTTCAAAACCAAAAACAATATAATTTTTCCAGAAACAAGGATGTCATGTTGGGCCTGACCCTAAAGGACTCTGGGGGTGCTTCTACCCCAGCCTTGGTGAAATCCCTGGTGAACCCGAAGCTTTGGGAAGATGCCAAAATGGATGAAGTTGTCAACTATTTAGCGCAAAGTAAATTCGTGCAGCTGCCAGAAGTCTTTGCCGATGCTTTTTCATAGGTGGTTGAGATGCCACTTTGTTAGATGTCGAAGCTTTTTCAGGCTTCCATGCCAAATTAGTGTAAACTGAGACTCCAGCTGTCCATGCTGTGTTGGGTACCAACATCGCAAGAACCTTGGATCTGGGATGGAGTGGAAAAAAAGAAAAGTGGGACAACTTCAACACCAGGATTGTAAGAATGGACTGGGATAGACCCCAGAAGGTATAAAGGGGATGGCTTGTAAACCTTTTTTGATTGACATGTAGTCTCTAAATCACCAATGGGGGAGATATAGTCACATTTTTTGACTTTCTTGCGCAAGATTCTGAAAACCTCAAAATGTCCCCAAAAATGGCCGCGCAAGAACGCGCAAGAAGGCCAAGAAACCGCGCAAGAAAGCCAAAAAACCGCGCAAGAACGCGCAAGAATGCGCAAGATTTTTTTGGGTCAAACAAGTGTCAAAAATTGACACGTAACCCTAGTTTCAACCATGATCCAACAACATTTCATGAGAAATTGCATGCATACATATCTGATGAGGTCCCAATGAACAGTCACAACAAATATGTCCTGGATAATTCATGATGTTTGGGTGAACATGTGTATTTCCTGGGTGTTTCCTACAAACAAAGGGAAATTGATTTCAAACGGTTACCTGTTGGGATACAACTCTTGTAGGTTTCTATATTCCACAGGGTCCACGGTGCCAAACAAGGGTTCCCTTGTCACTACAGGTCCCACTATTGTATATTATATCAAATTTGTCTGATACATACCAAAGGTACAGCAATCTTGACATAAAAAAAAAAAACATATACTGTTATTATACCACAATTCTCCATCCACATATGTCCACGCAATCGCAGTTAAATTAATTTGATGATAAATATCAATCCTACTATACTCATCAAATAGCAATTGAACAATGCAAAAGCACCGGTGCACATCCAATATCTATACTGTCCATTGGATATAATGTTTTGATGGTCCATTGTCAACTTTGGATGGTTGAAATCCATACCATCTGGTAGTCAAATGCGGCAATGGCAAAGTTTCTCGTACATATGATGTCGTTCCCCAAAACCTGAAATGTTCTTGCATGTATATATTGTTTTTTTCACTTACCATGTTTGGTTACAAGAAGGCGTCTTCCATGATGATGATGTAATGGGAATTTGTATGGATTATTAATAACCATCGTGATTGAACCACAAAAAACAATTTAAATTTCAGTGCATATAAATGGTTATGTGGCAATATGATGGGGGTATACTGGGGTGTCCAAGGTTGTTTCTGGTATCTCTTCCACACAGGTTTTTTTGAACATAATATGACATATATTTTACACTCTGGTATACCTGCCTTTCAGGGAAGAAACGGTATATGATCGAAAATGAAGGTGTGAAAGTAAAATACCAGCTAACACAACTTCATCTTTATTTATGACCATTTGGTACTGGCAGCCCTTTGTTGAACATTGCAACCCACAAAAAAAAACAAACATTTGGTATTTTATTTCTTTATTTTGGAGGCCACCATGGGATCACCGTATCTTAAATTATAAACGATTTTATGTGTTTCCAAAAATCTGCGATGCCTCACACTGCCAGGTTCCACTCCGGCATCATCTGGGGGCTGCTCTTTGAATGGTGCGCCCTCTTTCACCCTGCGGTCGCTCCCGGGCTTCAGGAAGTAGAGGATAGATGATATATTAACATAAATAAACTGGTATTGGAGATCAAAGGGCAGTTTTCTCACCAATCAAAATCGAATAACATTATATTGAACACTTTCAATTTTGAACAAGTTTCCATCCATGTTTCGAAGGGTGAACTACTTGTTGCCCCCGCAGCAATTTGGAACCACATGGGTTAGGATGGACCTATGACGGAACGGTTGCACTCGTCAGCCTCTTTAGGGGATGGCATGTCGCGGCTGCGCGGGCAGCAGCAGCCGACTACACCCACTCGTGTCAGTGCAGATTCTTGTCTTAAATGCGATGTGACATGCAGGGCTGTTTGTATGATTTTGTACGCTTTAAGTGCCCGATAGCATGTGATTTCCTAATCACTTTGAAATCACATGTCCCTTTGCCTAGGTGAAACCTGAATGCATCGATGATGATGTTGGGGTTTTTTCCCCGGAGACCCGGGCTTTGATCAAGGGTCTTGGTGACAGTCCAGAGTCTTTGCAACTCAAAGCGGAAATTCTCAATGCAGCTAATGGGCTTAGACGAGGACACAACCTGGTTTTTATAGTTATGTTGCATATGCCATGGATGTTGACACTGTTTTTCAAATGCTTACTATGAAATCATAGCCACATAGGTTGGTCAAGTGCATTTGATAGCGGGGCACCCTGTCAGGATACTCTAGTGGTTCAGCTGGTGGACCATCTCTAGGTGATGATGAAACCAGAGAGTCACTTCCACCACCTGCTTCCCCAAAAAGCACGTTGCCGCCCAGCTCTCCCCAAGCACGTCCGCCTTTGCATCGAACTGAGCCGCTTCCGAAGCCAGAGTCTTTGCCGCCGATGCCTGAGATGGAGATGGCCGACATGGAGGCACAGTTCAAGGCCCGCATGGACGCCCATGCCAAAGCTTTGGAAAAGGCTTTGAGTGATGAGTTTCTGGAAAAAAACGAAAGGCTGAGCAGGAACTAGAGGTGGAAATAGAGTTGAAACGTGAAAAACGCATGAGAGAACTGGAAGAAGAAATCAAAGAGGAGGTGGATGCAAAGCAAGCCAAGCTAGCCAGTTTGGATGCTCAGTTGTCAGAACGGATGTTTCTGGTTAGTGAGGAACAGACCCTGTTGGATGATCTCAAACAAAAAGCACATGAAATGCAGTGTAAGTTGGATGAGGAGTCCCGCAAGTCCATGAATGCCATGGGTCGTGAGCCCCCGACGCATGCTGTCTTTCCAGTCCCATGTACCAGGGTCTCAGACCCCAAAAGTGCCATGAAAGAGAAACTCAGGGAGAAACTTGAAGAAACTCAGAAAAAGAATCAGGTGGGGATGAAGGATGTTTCCCAATCAACCCCTTCACCAACGGGGAGTGCTCCTGCCCATACCCCTTCACCGTCGACCGTGGCAAGTCCCCCGGATGGCGTGATTGTGCCAGTGACTGATATGCGATTTTCATCGTCTACTCACCCAGCTGCTTGGCAATTTCTCTATCGGTTGACGAGAAGGGAGGATCAGTGCGACAAAACAATCTATGACGCATGGCATGCAGGTGCGGTTTTTGTTGATCAAATAGTCTTTGATTGAATCTTTGATTCCAAGTCATACCAAATCATGAAGCTGATAAAGAAACAATAAGTTTGGCAAACTGCCATTTCCTGTTGAATAGGTGGTGCAAAACGAGATCATCTTCTTCGAGATTTTGTCTGCAGATGCTACACCCCAACTGATGACTTTGCCAAGAACAAGGCGATGGTATATATATATTATACTTGTAAATCGTATATTATACTCAATAAAATCATTATAATGGTATAGAGTCTTAAAATATAGCTTATATCTTGTAGGTGTCCCAAAAAGGTTTCAACCCTCACAGCCCCACTGTGCTGATGCCAGGCCAAGTTACAAGCGCTGGTGACTTTGCGCAACAGTGCCAGGTCCTGGCGCCGCAATTTGCAGGGGTACTCGTGGCACACTGAAGAAGAGCTGAAGAGCACACTGGGTTGGGCAGAGCTACTTGTCCGTCACTGTTGAATCTTATTTCATAAATTTGCCATTGCAACTTGAACCCGGACATTTTGATGCAATTGATTGAGAATATATTGGTAGCCAACATTTAGCCATGAACCATGCAATGACCCAACCTGTAGCTGAGGGCAAAAATCGAAGGGGCGGTGAAGTATTGCACCAAAAGGAAGATGACAAAGACTGCCATTTTGAATTTCTATACACATGTCATCTTGTGCAATTCTATGGTCATTTGAACTTACATCTTGACACTTTCTTTACATTGTGCCAAAGTTTCTTTACATTCCTCCGGCAGGAAATGCCTCTATGACGACAAGGCTGTGAAGTACCTTGTCATGGTTCGAGACGATGTGGAGGCTGGTGACGAGAAGCTGAAGGAGTTGGAGCAGGAGATGAAGGACTGGGGTCTGTTTGATACAGATTTTTGCCTTGGGGACGTCTTCGAGGACGAGGAAGACACCCCAGGCAATAGTGACTCCAAACCAAAAAAACGTATCGGAGACTGGCCGTCCGTAGAGGGCGAAGAGAGTGTCGTGGAACACGTTGGAGCCTACAAAAAAGCATGCCTTTCAAAGAAGGCCCTCATAAAGAACACCAAAGACAGGTTAGAGAGGGACCAAAGCAAGGGTCACGAGATTCTTATCTGTACTATTCTGTACTTGCAAGTTGTGAGACGTACTTTGTTATTCATGTATTTCAAACTCACAAGCCTATTTGGTTATGTAGCCTATAATTCTTCCCTCCCTTTAGTGTCATTTCCATAAGGAAAGACCTCGAAAATCTAGAGAAGAGTGCAGGCTGCTTGGCCCAGACAGTCCTCATTGGGTTCGAAATTCCGAAGCTTTCCCGCTGCTTGAATCCTGCCCAGCGGCTCAGGCAAGCTGAATCAGCTCTACCAGGAGCTGGGTGCGATCGAAATTGGAGCCCAGGGCCGGGAGAAACTTGTGCTGCACCAACCAATGGCCAGGTTGATTGAGTTATCTGACAATTCATATTGAACAGACATATAACCACAAAACATTGTGAGGAAAAAGGCATTCGCCTTGACTTGTGAGAAGATCCGCGTAGAGCCTGCAGCCCAGTTTCAATGATTGTTCATTAACTAACTCTCCCATGGATCTTTCTTAAAATGGGGGGTCCCCAAAACAATGGCTTTCAATACTATTAAATGTTCTATTTATTTGGGATGAGTTAGGGTACCCTGCCCCATTTTAGGAAATTTCCACATTCTCTGGACTCTCAATGGGGAATGAATTGGGGATCCATATCAGATGGGCCAGTTCCACTTGAGGTGCATCAACTTCAGCAACATTCACGCTCAGGTGAAGAGACTTACATGCACTATCATGTTGACAGGCCCATAATCAAAACATGAAAAACATATGCAAATAATTCGGTATATCATTTTTTCCTGAGGACTTTCTACACGAAGACCTCCGCCAAGTCCAAATCTAAGAAGCCGGAAGATGCTGAGTAGCTGCGCCCGCTGAATGGTCTTTCCCTCGGCCCACCCGGCCTGCCAGCTAGCCACCCATGGTCTCAACGGCATAAAAGCTTTCCAGCAAATGCCATAGCAGATGCCGTTTTGGTGCTTGTTGCAAATGATGTTGGCATGGCTGTTTTGGGGCCACTTGACTATAGATGCCGATGGGCTATGAGCATAGATGCCACTGGGCTATATATCCTATGCATATGTGGGATCATGTCGGATCCAAACCTGCCAAACTTGGGCATATGTGAACATGTGCGGACAAAACATCTGTATGCACTGTGTGTTGGCATTGTTTTCCCCAAAGAGGCGTTTGAAAACAATGCATGGATGTTTCAGATGTTGCCAACTATTGCCACCCTTTAAAGTGCATATGTTTTTACCCCATTCTCAGGTAAGATATAATATGATATACATTACTATATATTTTTTTACCCCATTATCAGGTAGGACATGCTGGTTTTACTTCCCCCCGCAGGTGGCTCTGCTGATGAAGTTCATGCCGTAATCCAAAACGTTCTCAAGACCTATGTCGCTCCTTGGCTGCCGGCTTTGAAATTCAAAACTATATTTCACAAGTAGTTGACTGAGCTATTCCAAAATGGTTATTGATTGTCTGCAACTATAGTTGTATGGTATTGGAACCCATTTTTGAGGTATTTCGTTTCTGAGACTGTATTATAATACCCCCATACAATGCCATACAATGTCTGTCATCTTGACTTTTGCCCAGGTCCATTCTGCGGATGCTGCCATTCAGCAAGCCAAAGGTGCTGGTGATGTGGCGAAACTGGGTCCAGAAAAAAATGTTTTACAACAAATTGGGAATCTCTCGGCATCACAGCCGTCAAACCAAAGCCGTGATTTGGCAAACCACTTACACAAACGTGGCTTCATGCTGAACATTCCCATTAGCTGGTTGAAAAATGTGCCCTGGCATCGCATGGATTATGGTTTTTAATGTTGTTAAAACAATAATAGACCACCTCGTTTAAAATCGTTTATACCACCATGTAGGTGAAATTGGGGATGGTTTATTATTGTTTTGACCATACTACTTTTGTCCCTCCAATGACATTCCTTTTTGTGGCTTTTGTTAATCATATAAAGCTGAACTGGGGTGTTTCTCACGAAAGTCTTCCCTATGGATTGAGGTTCATCCAACTCCGACGCGACAGAGACGGAAGAGGAAACAAAAAGTTTTTCTTCACCCTATGTTGAAAATTTTGGACGTTGCCAAATACCTTTTGGATTCAGAAAAGTATTCCGAGAAGATCCTGAACCATCCAATCTCGCAAGTATGCAAGTGGACCCATGACCTAGCTGAGTTTTGGAAGAAGTGGGAATGTGTGGACCCTACCCACACAGTGTTCAAGGACCATGGAAATGAACTTGATCATTGCATTCCTTGTATGCTACATGGTGATGAAGGGACTGGCCACCGTCGCAAGCCTGTTCTTCAACTTTCTTGGGGGTCATTGCTGCGGGTTGGAAAGAACGCGTTGGAGAGAATGTTTCTGATTACATCATGTGCGCATAAGATGTATTCAAAGTTCAACAAGGGCTCCGAAGCAGGCAATGTTGTTATTGACAAACTGTTGATGGAGTGTGCTAAGTCTGCTTTGATGGCTTACACCAAAGGGATTGAAACCCGTTCTGGTCGGAAGTTTTTCTTGGTGTTCCTTGGGTTGGCTGGGGATCATCCTTTCCAAACCAAAGCATACAGAGCAACGCGTGGGCATTTGAAAGTTGATGTTTGCCCCCATTGTCATGCAAACACCTACAGTGTGCCGTTTGAAGACATGTCGAAGGAAGCTTTGTGGCGACAAACTGTTTTCCAATCAGTGCCATGGGAACGGAACATTGCCCCACCTCTTGCCTTGGTACCTGGGGCAATGCACCCTAAGTTCATACGGTGGGACTTGATGCATATGTTGCCACATGGTTGTGCTAGAAATTTTGCAGCTTCGATCATCTGCATGATGGCAGGGCCTCTGGATATTTTTGTTCCTAACATTGGGGATGGTCGAATGCGCAACAGCAAGGAAAATAGGCTTGATGAAGCTTATTCCCATTTTCAAAGTTGGCTGGATTGCAAACAACAACATGTTCGAGATATGAAGGAGTTTACAGTAGACAACCTGGGCTGGAAACTGAACAGAGACTATCCGGAAATGACTTGCAAAGCCTCGGATTGCAATCTTATCATTCAATGGTTGATTGATTTTCTCACCACTGTGCCTTTTAAGCTTTGCTGGGTGCTTGAGACTACTTTGGCTGGACTACAGGGTGTGGATGAGTTCATGCGTTTGGCCTACACCGGTGATCGAATTTTTTGGTGCCCTGAAAAGCAACATCAGGGTAAATGCTACTTGGGAATGTTCCTTCACGCGTATGTGGAGTTGCAGCACTACTGGCACAAACATGGCTGGACTTTGTTCAAGATTGTTCCAAAGTCACATTTCGCGGCACATTGGCATGAAGAACTGGCAGAGGCATTGGCAGATCAAAAGGAGTGGGCCATCAGCCCTGGTGCCTTTGCAACTCCTATTCTTGAAGATTTCATTGGCACTGTTAGTCGCATATCGCGTACTTCGCATCCTAGCAGTGTTGCCCGCACAACCATCTACAAGTACTTGGTGGAAGTTCGAAAGGTTTGGGGATCACCGCGTGCGTGATTTGAAAAAAAGGGGCTGTGGAGATGTGGTTTCCAAGTGTGTACCCTGAGTTTATTGTAGTTTACCCAACATCAGCAAATCAAGAAATTGTTGAGGCCAGAAATTTTTGTTCGGAACAAGAATCTTTGGTCATTAGCAAAAGCCACAAAAAGGAACGTCGTTGGAGGGACCAGGTATATATATATATATTTATTCATGGATATACCCTTATCTAAAGGGACTTATATAGTTCGCTATGTTAGTTCGAAGCGCTAGGATCAGGTGCTGCACCTCCTCCGCCAGCGCGCCGTTTGTCAAAGCGCCAGCAGCGCTGGCAGCGCCACGGCATTGCACCTGGCGGCGCAGAATGGACACCGGGAGGTGGTGGAGGCCTTCGACGAAGGGCCCTTGGGGAAACTGCCAGGTTGATGGGTTGATGGATGATAACTGGCCAGCTTATTGTAGTTTAAACATGTTTAAACATGTTCCCCGCAACCCTCTGGTTCGCCCACACTCAAACAACATCCAAACAATATGATATACTTATCACCAGAGGATGAATGAAAACACTGGCTATACGCAGTGATTTTGACTTTAAGTTTTCAGGATTTAGGGTTTTAATTTGGGGTTTAGGGTTTTAGGTTTTAAGGTTTTACGTTTTAGGGTTTTGGTGTTTGTTGTTTTGGAAAGCAAAAACCTTGAACCCTGCGCAGGGATTTGAGCATGTCAAAGGATATGCGGCATTGGCCGCGAGCAAACCTAGGGGTTGCAGCGAACATGTTTAAACCCATGGTTGATTGGTGATGATACTGCTGATTTTAGTTGAATCCATGGGGAAAACAATAAAAAACGATGGATTATAATTATACTGGTTTAATCTTGGTTTAATTGGGAAAGCCCATTGATGATTATATGGGGAGTATACCAAAGGTAAACTAACAGTTCGCGAACTGGAGAAATCACCATTTTAGAGCTAGGTAGATCAACGAACTAAATATAATTTTTCAATACCTATATTAAATTACCAGAGGTATACTTTGGCATTCTTTTGAATTAATAGAACTACTTATAAATGATAAAATAGGATTTGACATATCATATAATAATATATAGTAGATTAGTAGGGAATTTAATATAAGAGAATCATATCATATTTAGTGGTTTGGTTATTGCAAAGGATTCTACTACCTGGTTTTTCCCCACCTGCCAGGTGAGGATCTCTGTTTTTTTTTCAAAGGTGCAACTCCTTCCTCCTCCTCCTCCTCCGCCTCCTCCTTCTCCTCGTCTCCTCCTTCTCATCGTCTCCTCCTCCGCCAGCTCTGGATGCAGCTGGGCACGCCTGGACCCGAACACATCACAGAGAATACCAGACAGATTGCAGATAGAATGCCAGATAGATGTACAAACTCTATTCATCTTGCGGTGCCAGATAGAATGTCATGTCAGAATATATGTCAGATGCCAGATAGAATGTTGTAGAATATATGTCAGATAGAATGCCAGACAAAATGCCAGATAGAATGTCCGGAAATATACCAGATAGAATGCCGGAAGAATGTCAAAAATAATATGTCAGGGCGGGGATCACTCCGAAGAAAAGTAATTATATATATATATATATATGTGCCTTTTTATGGTGATTATTAGCTCACCCATAGTAGGGGAACCTACCAACTATACATGAGATGGGATAGGGGTATTTTTTCCTGGCTCGACTACCAACATTGAGGTTTCACTTGGAAGATTGAAGATCAAGTAGAAAAATATGCTATCAGCTGGAAATTAAATATGGTGGATTAGCCAGCAAATTTGGGATTTCACGGGAAACAACCTGGGGATGAAGCTTCGGACTGAAACGCAATGTGGTAAATATCCATATGAACCTTGGCGAAGGGCGAAAGATAACAATTTTTAGGGTTTGATCAGGGAATATATATATGAGGAAAAAATCAAAACGCAATTAATCCTTTTGCAGGGTCATGGGTCAAGAGACAGAAGGCACATGATAAAATAGCGAAAGGACAATCTCGTACATGCGTTTTTTTTTTTTGCGGGTATAATTCTCCAGCCTTTTGGAAACAACAACCAACACGCCAACACGTCATGAAATTTCCACCTCCATTCAGTGCGTGGAGGCCCTGTTGGCGGCTGGGCATCGCGCCGAGAAGGTTGAGGGCTTCACCCCGTTGCACGACGCCGCGCAGAGACTCGCCATTTTTGGTGGTTCTTTTGGGGAACCCTTGGAACTCCAGGGTAAACCTGGGAATTTCAAGGAAAAATTGTGGAGATTTAGACAGCAATTCTGGGGATAAAATGCGGATATTGAGATTAAATGATTAAATTAAATCAAGTATAATTTTCTCGGATGTGCATCCCAGTTAGCAAATGATAGTAAGAGGACCATATTATAACCCAGTTGTCCGTGGGATAGCAAGCATACCGTCGCCACCTCCTTCGTGGTGCTTTCGGGGCGCTCCGTGTTAGCGAACACCAACGGCGACACTATGAAATCTATTTCCTTTCCAAAGAGACGAAAGGCCCGACAGTGCACATTGCCTAGTGTATCAGCTTCTGCAGTCCAAGACGATTTGCATAACAATTTGACCTGTGGCACTGCTTTGGCTGTGTGGTCCCTGAATTCAATTGACCGTTTTCAAATTCACAATTCCCTTGTATCTAAAAGCACCCACACACACATTGGGAGAATCGCCACGGGCATTTGGTCTTCGCCACTGGTATTTGGTCGCGTGAAATTGAATTTAGTTAACAAGTGGATGTATGAAATTTGCCAATCCTGATGTTTTACCAATAAATATATGATTAGCGAACTAGGGCAATAAAAAAGGTGTTTCTCAAACTAAGGGACACCAAAGCCAATCGGTTCCGCATAAAAACAATCTAGCCAATTACTTATAGATGATTTGAGCAAAAAGATGCCTGGTTTGATCATGACATTTACCACATTACAGAGTAAACATCAATGAGCAAACCAACTGAAGGTACCATAAATCAATTCTAAATCATGTGTTGTTTGTCATATTATCATGTTGTAAGGTATCATTTATCATTAATCATAAATCAATTCTGAATCATGAACATGATTAATGATAAATGTTATGATAATCATCATTAATCATCAATCATCATTAATCATCAATCATAATCAATGGGTTGTATGTTGAAACCCATCTTTAGTGGTTACTGGGCCCCCAGCGATGCTAGGAACGGCCACGTGGAGATCCTTCGTTTGCTGCTCCGATCTTCACCTTGCAGGGCTCAGCCGCCCGACGCCGGGGCCTTGCAGATTGCGGCGCGCCGGGGACACGTGGAGGTGGCCAGGGGAGGCTGGGTGAGTTAACAGTTAAACCCTATGAAACCACTGATTTTAGTATGATATTAACCATCTGATTTATGAGGGTACCCAATGTTGACCTGTACCCAAATGGGGGTGAAACCATGTTGAAACATGGTTGAAACAAAAAAATATGGTCAATTCACTGATTAAACATCCAGAATTGCAAAGGGAAGCTTTAGAAGTTACCAAAAAAGAGCAGATGAACCAGCAACAAACCAACCCCAACCCGGGATAATAATGAGCAACATGGGTGGATATTCGGGGTGAACTACCTCACGAACAGCACCCCAAAGAAGGGAAACAACCTATACAATCTGCAACAAATGGCTAAAATCAATGGTTTGGACCAAGTAGAACGGTTGTTGAATCATTAGTATATCCGGGTATAACATCCCACAATTTGGGTCTAGGCAGGTCAAGATGCATCAACATTGAATGCCCCCAAAACATGGATTGTTTGTTTTTTCTAATGGGCATTCATCAAAACCTACCATATCCTACCATATTTTCAGGGATGAACATGCATTTTACATCATTTACCCTCTGGTAAACTGTCCCATAACTAACTATGGAACATCACCATTTTTAATGAGTAAATCAACTACAAATGGCCATTTTCAATAGCTATGTCAGCCATTACCAGAGGGTAACACGGTCTTTTCACCGCTTCGGGTTCCAGCATGTCACAGCATGTCACGTCGCCATCTGAAAAAAAACACCTTGGGAAGGTGGTCCGAGAACTGCTGAGAGCAGAAGCGATGCCCGATACCTTAGGTGCAGCAGCTGTTGAAAAGTCCAAGACTGCTGTGAAACCATAGGGATTATATGTTCAAGATGGTTAAAACATGTTAAAAACCACCAACCAGTTTTTATACCCCCTAGTGTTACTAGTAACCCTATGATATAATTCATTGTATCAATAGTTATCACAATAGGATGTTTTGCTGTGATATTGGTGCGAAACATACGCCAGAGTCGGCGATGTACCGTGAACAATATAGGGATCAATAGGGAACATGTCCGACTGTTTTTTTCTGGGTCAGCAGAACCCTACCAAGGATCACAAAATGGTGTGTCATCAAGTTGCTGCCCAAGGAAAGAACCAAGATTTTTCGTGATCTATCAAGAGATCCTCAACATTTTCAGGCTCATGATGGATTAATTAAAGCACCAAAAACCGGAGCTGACCGGAGATATTACAAGGGTGGCCCTCCTAGAAAGCTAACTTGGTTTATAATTTGGCTTTATGGGAGATATACGTCACCATAAGTCTACTTAGGGTTTACTGACCAACTTAGCTATCTTGGGAGCCACCTGCTCGGCTCTTCCCCGCGCCCCGTGAGATTGCGGCTATTCAGCGCTGCACGATGCCTCCTATGCAGGTGGGAAGTCCAGAGGGGTGCGATATTGGACTGGTAAGCATGGATGGTTGGTGCAGTTGCAGTTGTGGCCCTTTACCAATTGAAAATGGCTATAGGGTGAATTATACACTCCATAAATGGGATTAGAACTGACTTATAACTGGTAAAGGGCCATAACTTTGGTTTGAATATCTTTGAACTTGTTGCTTTATTTCGGTGCAACAAACATGGGATGATTACCCAAAAGGTTGTTCCATCACAATCCTAGCAGGTTTCTCAAGGGAGGCTGTTGAGAACTCACTGATGGTCAGAGCCAAACTATACCATCTACAGTAGATCCATCTGAGCTATTGAAAATAACCAGGTTCTTGGGAGTTATACTACCAAGACTACCAAGATTGTTGGGGATTATGATCTCACCCATAGTAGGTAAGCCGTTTTCAACCTCAACTAATATATCATGAGATCAGAAATTGGGGTATTTTAATGGCTCATCAGGCTCATCTAGTGTTATCTACTTGGTTCTGCTCAAGTTCCGGCCAGCGATGTGCATTAAACACTTGACCATCTTAAACTAAGTGACAGCTTTATGTCACCAGAAATGATTTCAGAGAACATCTGAAGAGGACACCCTATATTTGGTATTCTAGTGGTTTCAACATGTATGTAGTTCAACTGTTTTTTCTCCAAGAACATCAATCCTTTGACCTGAAAACACCATCAAAATCTTGCCATTTCACAACTCCCCTGATATTCCCGACATTTTCTCCCAATTTCATCACCAATCCATGCCAAGAAAATTTCTATAAAAATCTTGCCAATTGTCCCAGCCTCTGGTCAAACATCACTGAAAGATCACCTCATGAGAGATGCAGCTGGGTAAGCCACATAAATCACCCATGAATCCACATGTTACTCATTAAATTTTCCATTTTTGTTGCTTAAACGCAGGATCTCTAGGTGTTGTGACCTAGCCAGGTCACCCTTCAGTGGTGCAACTGCTGTTGGATCACAGGGCCTCAATACAGCTGCGAGCCACCGATGGAGCCCTTGGACGATGGATTGGTGATTTTTGATTAGGTTAACGGTTAAATCTAAGTTGTTTTTGTTTGACTTAGATATCAAAAAAATGTTTATGTTTTTTTTTAAATGACATCGAAGATGGTTTTGAATTCGGGTAACTGTTTGGTTTGTGAACGTTTGGGAACAGATGGCGGCAACATAATCCAACAAACAAAGCTAGGGAGCATCACCGTGTCTTAGTTGGCGATTGATGGATTCGTCCCAGATTTGACGTTCTTTCCAGGTACGTTCCGGATGGCTTTGCCTGAGTATTGGGTCCCATTCCGTCCAGTGGTCAGAAACCCGAAACCGTTTCGCATTGTTGTTCACAAACAACATCAAATAACGTTTTTTATTGTTTAGACAAGACATGATAAACATCGAGGTTTCCAATCCATAGGGCTACCCCCAGTCATCATCCATTGATGGTTTCGGAAATTCCATTAACTATCCAGCAGGGGGCCCAGCTTCAGGCCACAGCGGTGCACCTGGCGGTGCTGGGTGGATCCCCTGAGACGCTGAAGCTTTTGCTGGAGGATGGGATGAGACTCGCGGACCGCTTTTCCGGTGACAGCCTCTAGGTATGTTTTTTGTTCTGTAGGTATGTTTGAAATTATAGAGAAATCATGCATACATATTATTATATATCATTATATCATATTATTATGAATATTTATCAATGGCAATATAACATGTGTATATATATATGTATCCATAAATAGTATATATATATATATCTGGAAAATGAACATTGTTCTGTCATTACCAGGCCGGGCAGACCATTCTCAACATTGGGGCTTAACCAGCACAGATCTTGGGAAAATGACCCACCATCATGTTTATTTCGCCACGCTAGTGGTTATGGGACCCCAGAATTGTCCACATTTGGTCATGTGAAAAAAAGGGAAACCAATAATGGTTTGGGGGTATCCCTATTTCAGACAAACCCATTTTTGGGGGAAGCCTTGGCAGTTTCATTGTGTGGCTGATGGATCGTGCAATATTTGCAGATGGGGGAAAGACATTAAGCTAAATAAATGCAAGCTATACATCATATCTCACATTCTTCTGGGGGGAATCGCTCAGCCCTATTGTATCAGGCAAACTCATGTAAACTATGCGTGTTATGTTGAGCAGTGCCTAGTCGACTACTGGCAACTTAATCATGGCCCCCATAGGATTAAGATGAAATCCTTGCAAACTCCGATGGACATCCCCAAAAAGGCACGAAACTGTCCAACCGTTGGGATGTTGCATCTCTGACTCAATGGATTGGTTGAAGGAAAAATTCTACGCGAAACCATGGCTTTCCCCCATCAAATATGAGGGTGTCTGTAAAGGTTTCCTTATAAATGACTGCATTTGTTGCTACCTGCAACCTGCAGCAGGTTCCTGGTAGTAAAGGTATAATCGGTGTTCCTCATATATTAAATCTTGATACAAGGTAGGGCCCCAGGAGGTATATGTTGCTTGATAACCCCTTAACTATAGACGATTTTCCCCATGAAGCCCAGTGTATTGGGGCACCACCTTGTATCTATTATGGGAATCTGTTTGAAAATCCCACATTCTACATCAGGATGATAATATTTGCATATAATTCCAAGATACCTGGATATAATCAAATATATTCCATATATTATTCATCTCATCCATATACATGTTTATATATATATATACATAATATTATCTCCGTACATTCCCAATCATATATACATATATATATATATATATGTTCATCCATATGCATCCATATTTTCCCATCATTTCCCATCTGTTTTTGTTGCTGGCTTCTTCCAAGCCACCATCCACATAGGCGCGCGGTGATGCCTTAGACGCCATCGGGCCGCAGCAGATCACGCCCATCCACCTGGCAGTGCCGTGACCGTCGTGGCGGCCAAACCACCATGAAGTGGGAATAGTTATGGCCTATAGATATGGAATATGAATGGAATATGATAAGATTTGATGATTATACATATATCCATAGCTATTCCCATAATAGAATGATAGTATATATTCCTATTATAAATATAAATGTATGGAATCAAATATACGTATACGTATGATAATATATGATAATTAGTAATGGGATAATTACAGTCTTGTAGATGATGGAATAGTGATAGAACATGAATTACTTAGGAACTAGGTCAACCAACTGGATGGGCAGGGACTGTATGGTCCTTTTAGGAATAGCTACTTTCACCAGCTAGAGATCTATTATGTTTTGCAGGGTATCAAAGATTGGCAATGTGGAATAGTGATAGTGGCATAGTGATGGAATATGAATATGATATGATATGATAAGATATGATATGAATATATATATATATACATGTTATATGAGATATGGTATGATATAAGATAAGATACGACACGAATAGATCGTATATGATATATGATATGATATGGAAAACACATATATGAAAACATAAGATGCAGTATGAATAGATATGATATGATACATGATATGTTGTGATAAGATATGTTATGCTAATACATATTCTGATAAGATATGATATGATATGAAATATGATAATATATGATAATATAATATAAGATACCCTCTGGTAAATTAACATAGACCCTGATAATGACCAATTTATAGTGGAAACTAGTCTTCCAAACCCTATTTGCCAGGGTCCATGAATAAATTTACCAGAGGGTAATATATGATATAATATGTGATATGATGCGATTGTATACGACAGTAAGCAAATTGTCATGGAATAGATATACGGACTGGTGATGGGATAGTTGTGGTTTCTTTGGATGATTGAGATGAATTGTCCATCCCCTAAGAGCCACCTGAAAGGAGGAATATTACGTGGAATGTCCTAACGAGTAATGTCGTATTGGGATTGGATGATTCGGTACTTTGTGTTCATCAATTTGATATATATATATATTATATATATACATAATATTATATATATTACATTTGATATATGTATGGGATTGATTTGTGGGACATTTACTAGCTGACACCCAAGATCTTCCCTGGTCCAAGGTGAGTGGTGGCCATGTTCAGATGCTACGAAGTATGGCAGCTTGCACACAAACTGAGTGGCAGCAGGGCCAAATGCTTGAGGGAATGAACTTTAGCGACTGAACTGTTTATGTGAGATTAGTGCTTTTTAACGGCAAACAAGTTTAAGGCCCCATGAAAATGGTTTGCCAGAAAACAACAACAACGACGACGACGACAACAACAACAACAACAACAACAACATGATATTGCACACTATAAATATTTCCAATACCGATTAGAGTAGGTTGTTTATTAATTACCTGAGATCAGACTGGATGGTTTCAGGCGGAAAGCATCCACAAGGAGAAGGCTGATTACGCATGATAAAGTCATCAGGATAGTCGTTCCTGGCTGTTTTTGAACTAAGCCACGGTGACACAGCAGAGTCTCTCAATTGATGACCAACCACTTGTTATGCTCACCCCACTGGGACTATGCTAAGCTCTGTGGAACGAGGTGAGCAAAAAGCCAGCTTCGCTTCGGAATGATGCCATGATGAATTTATGACCTGACTTTGGTGGTTCATCTTGCTTGGCTGGTTGATTGTTTTGCACAAGTTTGCACATGATTGAATGTTTTTGAGGCGCTGATGATCCCCACTGATGTCTATATTTCACAGGGATTGAAACAGTTGACCAGGGATATCGCTTACTTCTCACGGGGCGAACCACCAAGGAGAGCAAACACAGGGCCAAAGCATGTTGGGAAAATCCCAACGGCTTGACCGGAACACTGTAGGGTTTGTTGATTGATCAATGACGTGTACCCGAGCAAAAACATTGACTATACCCTCTGATTTAACATCGGATGACTTTGGACAATGCCCGATTTATAGATGATAGAAATTTTAAGAATTCGCCAGCCGTTAAAATACCATGGGGTATTTTCTACTATTCCCAACCTCAGTGGGAAATCCTGACATGGCCCTACGACTTCGATCCTCGAATCCTACTATCTTTGTTTGCTCCGACGCCATTGGGCGGCCTTTTTGAGTGTTCCATGGGCGAAATTCGCCCTGGATCGCTCCGCAGACCCTGGTGTTGGGCGCTTTCTTCTCGTAGAATTCGCGCAGAGTTTCCCGAGGAAGTGGCTATGGCTATAGGAATTGGGGTAAGATTGGACACACAAAGTGACCATTGTACTGTATAGAATGCAATAGTTGAACCATCTATTTTTGTGGATCAATCAGTTTGAGCCATGCACAAAATCGGGTGCTATGATACTGCTGGATGGACGAAGCAGAAAGGGGTTGAAGACATTTGAAGGCAGCAATCTCCGGAGCACTTTGTTTCACAATGCCAAGGATTGCTGAACAATATTCACATGTTTGGTTAAGACGTTATAACGCCTGGTTTCTGATCAGGTTTGCCATCTAAGCTCCACTATGATCCATTATGATCCATTGTTGACTTCCCAAACAAGGACATAAACAACAGTTTCATTAGACATGGGTCAAAGTCCACAACAAAAGAACCTTTCCCCTGACACACAACGATTTCCTGAGAAACGCTGGTTTGGTATTGAATCTCTCCATTTTGGGAACCCCGCAAAGAAAATAGGTGTCCTATGGCTATGTCAGCCCTCGGGCGATACATGCGCAAGCCCTTCCACTGACAGTGGCGATGCTGAGGTATGTCAAGTTGCTGACGCAACTACTGGTATTAAGATGTATGTGTGTATGAATTAAGTTGTTACTGGTTTCAACAACATGGATTGTTTGGAAATAGGGTACTCCATTCCATCCACTGACCGTCAGTTTCCCAACATAGACATTGCCATAGTTTTTTTTTTTTTTCGGAGGCTATACAAGCCATTTTCGGACTCAGCTTCACCACTCTTTGCGGAAGCCAGTTGTGACCTCTGACCTCTGTGAATGCTTTGATCATTTTTTCCACTAAAAACGGGAGTGTGAACTAGCAGGCTGTTGCAAAAATGTTTATTGTCCATCCAATTTGTCATAATGATTCCTGTTGACTTTCAGATTGTTCTGTTTTGTGGGATGGCTCAACGAAGGCACAAGAATCTGGGTCACTCTGCTCCAAGAACAGCTCTCAAAACAGCGCGCACACAGCCCCCAACATATGGGTGTCACTCACCAAAAAAAAAATAGATGTATACCTAGGGCCTTTTCAGACTTATATATTATGTCTCAGTCGGGTCTCAAGGGTCTAAAATTATGCTATTTTAAGAAGTGGCTCATGTTTTTGTGGCGGAGCCCAGGTAAGTATAGTGGGATTGGTAAGATCTATGGTTACATGAAAGTATGAATGAACATCCAGTAACAAAACTTGGCAGCAAATCTGGATGTAGCCCAAAAGCACCAACTGCAAATAGATATACCCCTGGTCCTGATGTTTTTTCCATTTTCCACAATATCCATGTATCCTTCGCAAATCACCCATCAATTAGTTTTGCTACATGGTTTTTATTGTTTTATCCGGACATATTCTATACAACACATACTTCAACACGCCACATTAACATATATTAACGATGTTGTGGGTGCAATAGCACACCAATTTGCAGCTATAGTCAAATATGTTTCTCCGAAACTAGGGTACCCGATTCCATCCCCTTGTTTTTCTCATTTCTATGTTCCCAGCATAGAAATTACAATTTGAGTGGTATTTTCAGACACACCTTACTGTACATACCCTTTAGATCCCCTTTAGTCATTTAACATATGGAAGATCCCATTTGTTTAGGATTTAATCAGTACACCAGTACATCACGTCATCTATAAATTGGAGGCGATTTTCCAGAGCCATGTCAGCCACTGCCGAGGTGGCTCTGTTGCTGAGCGCCGGCACCTTCTGGGCACCTGAAAAAGAGGGCACACATCGACCACCGTCGACCCGGGGCATAATTGGAGCATTGGATGGTTTTTTTCATGCAAAGGAAATGACAAGTTCAACCATGATGGCTGGGATACGCCCATATGATCCCATATAGTGTTGGCTTGTAGCTGCTAGTTATAAATAGTTAATTATTGCAACCTGGTGGAAGGAGCTTCAGCTTTTGTGCCCCAAACCTTGAGCACGGAAGCTCATCGATACCAATCCCTGCCCTCCAAAATGAAATATCATCAAAGATATCTTCATTTGGGGGACCATGCGGGGATTATTTCATGGTATTTCAATGTATTTCATATGTTTCCCGGCATGGACTATCTATGATTATCTTCTAATTAAGACCAATTTAGCAGAGTTCCATCTTCTAAGAAGTTCAGGAACTCCTGGTCATTCTATCCAATACCTGCAGCATCCTGCAGCCGAGGATTATCAGAAAAGCTGAAGATTTCCCGTTGGAATTGCAGTCAATGTTTGATCCTTGAGGGTCGCTTCCATCGAATTAACCAATGTTCAGTCGATGATTGGAACCGCCATTGGGTGCCACCAAAAACGTGTGCCCTTTCCTGGCCAGGAGCATTCCCGTCGAAGGTGCGGGGGAAGGGATGAAGGGAGCGAAGCAGGTCAGGAATTTGATTTAAAAGATATGGATAGACTTTGGATAGGTATTTTATGGCAATTCAACAAAGAATGATCAGAATTTGGATGAAATGGGATAGACATAAATCAGACTGCTATCCAGTTTTATCCAATTTCGAACATTCTTCTCACGAGGTATATGTCAGAAGTTGGGTTTCAAAGGAATGCATCAATAAACTATCATCGACCACTGGGTGATAGAAATCATTTGGACAGTTATTCTCACAAGAGCAAGGATGCAGTGCTATTTATGTATATATACATATTATATATATTATATATTAATATATATTAAATATTATATATATATATATTAACCCTGAATTGCTTTGTTCAAAGATATAGTTCTCGATCCTATACGTGCCAATTGAATGAGAATTCTCGCCTTTTAGTGGCAAGGACTGCAACCATGTCTGAACAACGAACCTCTATACATAGATCTGCTGAAAAATTGGACCCAATGAGATGAAGGTGATGGTGATGGTGATCACCATCATCATCTCCACCACCATCATAATTATCAACACGATCATCAAATATACATATATCTTTATTATTGATTATTATGAACAAAAAACATGTTACAACAATATTGATATCAATGTTAATGTGGGTAAAACAATGCCATAAACCACCCATTTGGGAATGGTAACCATACCACCTACAAAACTCGTGATGTTGGGGAATGATTTATCATTGTTTTACCCACATTAATACATTACTAGATATTATTGTACACAACTACTAGTAATATAATCATTGCTAAACTATTAATATTTATTTATAATAATAATGATAAAAGTGATGATAATAATAATGATAACAATAATAATACTATTCATAATAATGATAATAATGATAATAATAGTAATATATTAATTCATCATCATCATCATCATCATCATCAAAGGAGCGCGGATGTCTACGAGTCGCTGTATGCCCAAGGCCAGGGTGTCGTCACGGAGTCGGTGCTAAGTCGCAACGTTCGTTCAAGGTTGGGGGTGTCTGAAAATTGTGATTGAACGAAGAATCATTGAGAAACACGTGGAAACATATTATGGGGATAAGATCTGATATAACTATATATAGATTTCTAGATATGTAGCGTTCGGAACACACAATGATATTTGGGAGTCTGAAAACGAGCTGTATTCCTCCAATTCACCATCAAGAAAGAGGATCATTGGATGGAATGGGGTATGTACATGTATGTACCCTATTTTCACAGAACCTTATGTCCCACGACTGCTTTTTGACTTGGCTCAATTCAGCAACACACCAATGGATCCCCAGTGGCGAAGGCTTAGAGCTTCGAGCACGTCAAGCCGAGCAGGTGAGGCAGTCACAACAAAAACGAGGTGCTGTAGCTTTGGGAACTCTCATTCGCCCAGAATGCAAAATCTGATGGTAACATATTGAATATGTATTCTGACGTGAACAATGATTTATTGAACATATTGAACATATAATTTCATCTTCCAAAATATGTTCAATATGTGAACATGAAGAACATATTGAATAGATAATAATATTAAATAACATAAATATATACACTATGTACGATGTACGTAATTAATTACGATGATGACTGTTTTCGTCATGAACGTGTTGATTTATAGAAACCATCATCATTTCTGTAACTCCGGATCTACAGTAGAACATGTTTGGTTGGAAGAACCCACTCCATGCAGAAGAATCTAGGTTGCTGAATCCCGGATGTACCTTATACAATGATCCAGTGGCAGTTCCCCTTCAAGCAAAACGACTCAAAAGAATGTGTTTGTGTATGTTTTTTTTTAGTTTCTGGATCGTATTGCATTGTTTTGTTCTGGATGCACTCAAACCTATACATATCCCAGACCATCCGTCTTGTGGCATCTGAACATTGTGAGTCTCAACTCAGAGCGCACATGAAATCTCACGGGTCAAGCAAAAGGTCCCCACGAGGATGGTTGTGTTCAATTCACATGATTGCACTATAGCTGAATCCCCATCTCAATTCCAGTGATTTTAGTTTGTTGTTTTTATATGTGTCAAATTTTATAATT